CTGCAAAGCTCCGGGTAGGATGAGATGCGGTTCTAAGTAGGCTAGGCCTTGCAAAGTCGACAGAGAGAAGGTCATTGCAGTGCTGCTTTTAGCATATATACCCATGAAGATAACGTCACGGATGCATAAGACAAATCGCCGCTTCAGAGGCTCATTCAATCGTCGCTCGGGTGGGACATCCATCTCACCAGATTGTTCGCGATTCCAACGCATGACGAAGAAGTCTGTGAGGTAATAAACCAGTTGTGACAGGGTCTTGGTCCAATGGCCCGAGTTAGAAGGATGGAAGAACGTCTCAACAGCCTGGATAAGACCTTCCAGCTGTGTAAGGATCGAAACCTCGGAGTCCACACAAGCGGGGGAAAGCGACATCACAATCCATCGGGCAATATGATGAGCAACCGGGTGCTTCCGCCCATCTCGATCAAGCATGATACCCAGGCCAGACGAGATATCCACCAGGGCACTGTACGGGGAAGTGGATTGCCCGACGGGGATTTCCAGCAACCTCAGTACCGCGGTGAAAATGAGAGCAGACTGTTCCTTCGTGAAGATACCATGCTCGGAGAATGGAATGTGAGCAGCCGGCAATGAATCTCGGGCCAACCGGGAAAAATAGTCTAGATATGTTGTGTCAAATGTTTTTGAACGACCGACCAATGACCACAAATGGAAATGTGTAGGCAGTTGGCTCTGCGGTAGGAGATCGGTTCGCGATTCGGGGGCTGGGGATGTCGGAAGCAGCAAATTAATGAGCCCGGCGACAACGAAAGCACCTTCTGAGAATGATGTAGTATAATGAGGCAAGAATTCTTCCAGCATAGCGGGAAGTTCGCATGGGTCAATAAATAATTGAGCGAATGCGCAAAGCTTGGTAAGGGTCTTGACATTTCGCTTCAGGTTGGTCGAGTGAACAAGGCCGGACTCTGTGGGCAGGACAAAAGCCTTGAGCTCCTTGTATAGGGGCTTCCAATCTAAGACGAGGTCTTTGACTGGTCTTAAATAATGCTTGCGCTTGGTGAGAAGCATGAACATGCTCGCAAACCGCTCGGCGACCGACGGGTCAATGCCAGGAGCAAGTGCAAGCTCAAAATACAGCTTTACAAGGCTGATACGCTGCGCCCTGGTGGGATCGAACTTGAGCGATAGCCAGGCGCGTAGCTCGCGTGTCCAATGCACGGCTCCGGGGTTGAAGTCGCCTGCCTCCACTGCAATATAGAGCTGATTCAAGATCTCTCGCAGATTTTGATTTCGCTCAGTCTCATCTTCGAGCTGATATGGGAGATATTTGAAGTATGGATAGGTACGAGGTCGCACGCGGGCTATCGGTTCGCCTTCGCCATTCACGGCGATGGGCTCACCACCGGGCGAGGTCGCCCGGGAGAGGTCTTGTGCATGATGGAAATTGTCAGATGTGAGAATCGCCTTGGGGCCAGAGGCTTCCATCGTCGGATGAGAAGGTAAGGAAGGGAATGGTTGACGCGAGGTGGAGATGAGGTGAGGGAGGAGTAGCCGCTAACGTCGGGTGAGCTCTGGTAGCAATACGTCAGCAACGCCGATGGTTCACGAGGAGACTCCTCTTTTTTCCCGCGCGGTATAGATCACAGAAGAATATTCGAAGGAAATTGTACTTTTAATGAAACTCTGAAGCTCCCACTCCAAAAAGCGCGGGATTTGGAACCGGAGATTGTATTTCACACGACTTTGCTCGCATGAGGTACTCTTTCTTTTCTCGGCAAGCGAGGAGGAATATAACGAGCTCGTGTTTAGTTTGTGTTAATTGGGCAGTTCAAAATTCTGGCCTTTTCTTCTCTTCTTTGTGAAATTCCTAGATGTCGAAGGTCAAGAGGTCAAAGGGGAGAGGGTCGAGGTTTTGATGACATAATTCCACGTAACTTGCCCAGGTGGAAGCTTGGCCCCTGCAGAGTGACCCGCGTGGAAAGATGCAGACTAATATAGTTGGTTTTAGTGATTGTATAAAAGATATGTGAGATTCTGTTACTTTCCTGTCTCTTCTTTCAATTTATAATAACTTAGTGGGTGACTGCGACTTTTACCCCAACTTAGGCAGACAGCCTTACGCACGCGCATCGCCCAACCAATTCGGGATAGCCGCATTTTTGGCCACAGTCCAAATGTCCTATAACTTAAACATAATATACACAGCAGGTAACTCGGAAAAATATTGAGCCAAGTCATCGCTTGTTATTCTCTTTCATGCTGGGGGCAGGAAAGAACCAAAAAGAACCCCCTGGATCAATGCATAGGCCACCATGCTATACACAGCGGCAACAAGTGTCCGGCTTTGCTTGGGTGAGCTCGAGCTGAGATCTACAGTGCTGGTAACCAAATACCAGTACCACAAGGGATACCCCGACGAGATGCGGTTGATGATCTGGACATGGTAGCTGGTTAATGCCATGACAGCCAACAAACCTTGGGGGACCGCGAGTCGAACGAGCATTGACCCCGGGCTCGTCGAGGAGGAAGAGGGGCTTTGTAACGCCCACAATGCGGATCGACATAGAATGGCCAACATGGGCGCTGCCAATAGGAAAAGAGGTATATTGGGGACGGTCCAATATCCCAAAAACCCAACATTCCTATTGCAATCAGTAAGAGCTAGGACAGCGGTATTCGGACACAAATAAATGCTTACCAGTAATGACTTTGAACCCAGCTATATATGCTAGGCAATGTCCACTCACACCACGGTCGAAGATTACCCTTGGACACGCAGTACATGCGATAGGCCAGGATTTGAGGAATGATCATCCCAGATCCTACGATACAGCCACCAACAATGATCACTGCAAGACGAACCATGGTGTGCAGTGTAGGCCCTTTAGTCAAGATCTTCCAAGACAAAACTACCGCATCATAGGCAAATAGGAACCCGCTAAGAATCCCATTACTGCGCACCATGGTGGCAGCTGCAAACAGAACCGCGGAGGTGAGAACCCGAATATCTCGTAGACGCGTTGCCCCATTGCGCTCGGCAATGAGAGAGGATGAATAAAGATAAAAGCCAGTGAAGTTGAAAAAAGAGACTATGGACTCTCCATAGGGTGCGGATAGAAAAGCACCCGCTGGCGAAATGATGTGGAGAGCTGCGGATAGGAAGCAAATGAGATGTTGGGTGGCAGTGGCATGACCAAAAATATTGGCTGACAGACGATAGAGCGCCAATACGGACAAATAGTGAGCAACATGGGAGAGAACCACCCCCACCATTGCAGTACTAGCGGGCCCAGCATCTCCGCCGGAAAGACGAATGCCTGTTCACAGTATTAGTACGTGTAGAAATCCCAACATGGGTAGAGTAATAGAGGGAATTGTGTTACCGGAAACAAAAATGGATAGAAGCTTAGTGTAGCCCCAGCCAAAGGCCCATTCTTGCTCAAACAGATATCCCTTTTCGGCAATATCTAGGAAGTAGATACTGTCCCATCTGGCAAATTTAAGAGGTCCCGATAGAGAGTTGGACTGGGCAACAATTGATTGGTCGGCAGCATATGAGATCAAGGAGGTGGATGTATCATAGCCTGATCCTGGACAGGCGGCAATGACGATATACAACAAGACCTTCCATGACCAAAAGGCTAGTGTCAAACTTCGAATTGGGTTGTCCAATCGTAGTAGTTTGGCAAACAATGGGGGTGGCCTTGTGGTAGGTTGAAGTTGAACTGGTTGAACTGGAGCCATGACTCCAGTGACTTTAGTCAAATGTGGGAATGAAACGGAAGTTTTCCCAATTAGGATGCCTAATAGGATCGGTCTAGATGTCGGGATGTTTATCTCGCAATTGTCCCGATTTACGGTCGGTCTGCCGAGGTAACATTTTCTAAGGAAGGAGGTGAAAGTCTCGGCATAAATCTGCATAATTAGTCATCGGAAATAGGACCCGGGCCCCGGCCTCTGTAGCCCCCGAGCCGATCTTTTTCTTGAAACAAATCAGACAAATCAGAACAAATTTAAACAGTTAAACAAAATATTATTAGCTCAGTGAGACACAAAAAGGGTATGTTTCTGCTTCTGCCTACACAGGTACGGAGTACATATGTAGGGATCAACGCTAGATCAAGGTGTCAATCTTCCAAGGTTGGAAAGCTCTCTACTCACCTTTGTGCTATATAGTAGTTCGCCAAGGATTTCCATTACTCCCAAGGCGTTACAGCATACGTAGTCATGCTCGGAGATGATTTCGGGAGTTTAAAATACCTCATTAAACTCTCTTTACATCATTCCGATTCTATAAGTAATGTATAGACATAATTCCTGTTATCCTATTATCCTATTATCCCGTTATAAAAGAAAATTCTGTGTGAACGTGATAGTCCCACTATATAAATGGATCTCGTACCACTAATGGGCTCACACGGCAGCAAACCTCGTACAAGTCCACTCGGGAGATTGCCAAGATCCTAATTATCCTAATTCTTGGATCTTCCTTTGAATATGATCGTCACGGAACCCGGATGTATCGGGAACTGTATATGACCGATCCCGCTGACAAGAACATAAAGTCATTTTGTGCATAGTAATCAATAGTAATCAATATAGTTAATATTAAAATATCTACACCGTAACAACCTATTAAACAAATTATAAAATAACGAGGCTAAATTTTATGCTAAACTGGTTCCACTGTAAACAATTTTTCTTACCTTTTTTTTCCTTGGCTTTTTTTTTAATGGACTTCCAAGATTTTCTCTTTTCTCCATACATAGTTCTATAAGGCTGACCGCCCCATTGAAGTTCCTTTATTGTTGTAAAACATTTCCCCCCCCCCCTTGCATCTTCTTTCTCTTTATTGCAAGTCTTTATATTGAACTTGCATCTGCGTTGCTCTGCCAGTTCCCCACACATACTTCTGGGGCTGAGCTTCCCCCCCGCACCTGACGCGTTTGAATACGGGCCATTCATGACTACATCGGATCTGGATGAAATTCCACAATTTGGTTCAATTAACACCAATGTGGCTCCGCTAGGGCTCAAGAATGCTGTTGAATCTTGGCCTCACAGCGGATGCCGCAGCTGCCCATGCAAATGAACCTATTAACCAGCCCGAACCCCAGCCTTCTGTGTGTACTGTTTACTCGCCTACCTTCTTACTGTCTGCTCTACCATTGTTGAACTCCTTCTGCGGTCCTCCTAGGCTATCTGAAGGTACGGATCGCCCGGGGCTTGTATCCGCTATGGCAATGAGTCCGATTGAATCAGCCTCGGACTCTGGTTCCAAAGAATCAGCTCCTGTTGTTGCTAGGCCCCGGGTCGCTCGTTCAACCACAGGTCGGAGGTCCCGACCAAAGACGTCATATCAGTTTGCCCATCCTGCCGCTCATGCTCGCCACAAACGGTTTCGGTTCCGTCCGAAACTCCTCCTTCAGCTACAACAGGTGTCGCAAGCCCCCCGGCCGCTGCCCGTGGTGGATGTTCTACCATCTACGTCTTACCTGCCACTATTGGCGCGCAAATTCCCGGCCATTTATCGAACCAGAAACGGACTGGGTCCGTATGACCTGATCGTGGTGTTGAGCGAACAATACGACCGAACAGGGGGCAGCATTCCTGAAAGGCGCGTCAGCTCGGAGGATGAGGACGAAGATCACCGTGAAGTAGTCGCCACGATATGTCAAAAGTATCAAGATGAAGCTCGGTTGAAAGGAAAGGCGGAGATATGCATGAATTTTGGGCCCATCTGGGAGGCTTCACCTCTCCCAAGCGGGAGTTACGAGTTTGTCGCCCAAACAGACAGCGGCGTGCAAATCGTGCGGTGGGCTCTGCGTGGTGGAAGGAGTCGTCGGATGAGTACGCCCTCGGGGACCCAATCACGCGAGGACGGCAAGCGCTTCACTTTCAGCGTCATCGATCCTACCACTCGCCGACATCCCGTTCTCGCATCCATGACTCGAAATAAGTTAGAAATCAATGATGAATATTCCACAGCTATTCGGACCTCCGGAACCGGTCCCACGACTCCAAGCTCAGGTATGTCAGTCGTGAGTGATGCCTCGGATGCAGAGACTCCCCTCGATGGAAGCTTAGTCAATCTTGATGATGGAACGCGAACTTTGATCGTCATCACCGGCATCTGGGTCGCCTTCCGTGAAGGGTGGTCAGACAACTTCCGCTACGGCGACCCGTCTTCGTCTGTTACAAAGTCGATCACGTCTCCAACATCTGTGAAATATGCACATCCGACGTCTACTCAGAATGAAACCGACTCTTTCCCGAATATGGATGAAGACGGTAAACGTTGCTTATCGATTTCCAATATCCGCCGTTCCACCACCCCAACCGTGGATGGAACGCAATTCGGTAATTTGTCTAAGCGCTCCAACTCCACTGGTGCTGCGTTCATGGATCGAGCGAAGCGACGGTCCGCTTCTGGGCTTAGCACTCGCCTGAACCGGCACAGCATGTTCACTGCCTTGAGCGAGAACGGCCGCGATATCGTTGTCTCCCGCCCTCCATCTCCTCACCAACATTCCGGCGAGATGCAAGGTTCATCTCGAACTGGTCAGCCCAAGGCTAAATCTCCTGAAAATGCGCAGCCGGAGAGAGATATCAAATCAAAACCGGGGCCAGATCGAGATCCTGCCTCAAATTTCCACATTACACAGCATGACACGGGCAAGAAGAAGCTGGATTCTTCACTCCCCGGAGCTGGCGACTCAATTCCCAAGGGCAAAATTCGGCGCCGCCTCAGTACTTTCTTTGGCATCTTTCACCGAAAACACGATGCTCATTAACCTTTCAATTCCCCCCTGTATAACCCTGCATCATGTCCGTGGCTAGTCCACAGGTAGGCATCATCACACCATATTTGAGTCCCATTACATCTAGCATCTAAGTTGGGCGTTCATACGGTGCACAGCGATTCGTCCGGTACGAATCCTTGCAGATGTTCTTTTTCCACTCTCCTCTCTGTCTCATTCCAACTAGCATATTGCATCCTTTGCATCTGCGCGTCCTTTCTTCCCTTTTCATACCTATTTCTTCTTGTCTTCATCTTCCTCGGGGCGCAAACTCAAAATGTGCATGCTTGTGTTTCATGTACATTGCTATCCATATATCTCACGCTACCTATGAATAAAATACCCATCACCTATAATCAATTTCCTGGTTTTACCAAGTGTTCCATACATTCAAAATAACCCGTTAATTTTATTGGATATATAATGAACATTTAATTCAGCCAGTAAATCAAACCATCTACGCCAACTACCGCAAACCGATCCGGACTGTTTGGGAGGTAGCTGTAGGTATGTGTGACACGAGATGTAGGATGACCTCGTTTGGAGCACCGATCAGTCCGCTCTGTCAAAAGTGGGGGGACTAGCTTTTAAATTAAGACGAGCATTGAGTCAGCAGACGAGTATATTTTGTTCACTTGGAATTTGTAGTATTGGTTGCGGCCCCTCTCGCTGAACCCATAGATGAAAAGCTCTAGGGAACTGTCCTTACAAAATGTCATAGACATCCTTCTCAAGCTTTTACCGCTCAAGAGCAGTAACAGCCTTAGGTACATAAGGCTCCTCCAGATACTTAATCTCCTCCGGGGATAGCTGGATCTTAATAGCAGCAACAGCCTCATCAATCCGCTTAACACTATGCAGTCCAACAATCGGGTTCTCGCCAGGGTGAGACAAAGACCAAGCGATGGCAATTTGAGCCATGCTCACGCCCTTTTTATTGGCGAGTTCCTCAACCCGATCAATAATAGCCCTGTCAGCCTCTGACTCACGACTACGAACAAACATTTTCAGTGCACCATCGCTGTTTTCACGGACAGTCTCGCGCGAGCCCCAGGGTCGCGCCAGCGCACCACGAGCAATCGGTGACCATGGGATAATACCGACACCGGCGTCTTGACAGTACGGGATCATCTCGCGCTCTTCTTCGCGGAAGAGAAGGTTGTGGAAGTTCTGCATGCAAATGAATTTGTGCCAGCCGTTGCGCTCGGCGATGTTTTGCAGGGATTGGAATTCCCAGGCCGCCATCTGGTTGTTCGTTGGTTAGTGTGGAAATGGATGGTAGGAAGAGAAGGAAGGGAAAAAAGTAGAATGGAAGTAGAAAGAAGGATCAACATACCGAACTGGCACCAATGTATCGCACTTTCCCGCTCTCGACAACGTCATTCAGCGCCTTCATGATTTCCTCGCGGGGTGTATCTCGATCAAGACGGTGGATCTGCAGCACATCGATGTATGTGCCCAGACGTTCCACGCTAGCATCGACGGCATCGAAGATATGCTTACGCGATAAGCCGGTGCGGTTAACGAAGGGGCCATCGTTTGTGGCGCATGCGGCGATGGGTGGGAATTTGCCCTCGTCATCAACGCCGAAGAAGCACTTGGTTAGGATCACCACACGGTTGCGAGGGATGTTGTACTTCTTCAGGGCTTTTCCGACGACTTCCTCGGATTTGCCGTGGGAATAGACGTCAGCCTACACGTTAAATATTAGTAGCTTATTCGGTGATTTTCAAGAAAAGATAGCAATGTCCTGATTTACCGTGTCCCAAGTGTTGATTCCCTGCTTGTAGGCATGTTCAATCAAAGGCAGTGAGTCCTCCTCATCCAGGACCCAATCTTGCCATTGCTTGCTGCCATAGCCCATTGTCCCAAGAATAATCTTAGAGATCTTTAGACCAGAGTTTCCAAGGCTGTTATTTATTTAGCATTAGCATCTCATTGAAGTAGAACTGCCGTCGGGGAAGTCTGTACCGGACATATTCCATCTTATTATCAGCCATTGTGATATTTGATTATTTATGTGAGCTCTAGAAATAAATGTATTAGTTACCACGAACTTACATATCTTCGCATTGGAGACGTCAAACCCCAGAAAACTTACTGTGTCAGCACAATGGATATATTAGAAGTAATGAAATGGATTCTTAAACAGATATGAGTCAAAAGAAGCTCATTAATAATCCTGGTAAATCTGCCGAAAACAACAAGCGTAGAGAGCTTATAGCCGATGAATTACCGCGAGGATCCTCCGTTGCTCCACCTTAAAATGTTAACTCCATATGCAAGGTAGGTTTGGCAGATCGCTTAACTCGAAACATATTGGATTTCTCACAGGTTAGTTAGAATAACATTTCTCAACCCTTGACTGGATGTTGAACAGGATACAGCCATGCGCCCAGCGACTGTAAGAGATGGCTTGTTACACGGTGTAGCACGTTACCTGGTGGAGCAATGTCTTGATAAGCAGGCTCCGCATTCCTTTCGAACTTTTGAACATCGGTGGGGGGAATAACCCAGGGGAAACGATTGGGCACGAATCCATCAATAGTCACACCGTTGCCGAAACTTGCATATTTCTCATCAGGGTTCTCATAGACTAGATCGAAGTCTTCCCAACGAACAATTTCCGTTGCCGCATAGTAGTGGAGGACAGTTCCAGGCCAGGGAACAATCACCTTTCCATTGTCGTTCTTATCTATACCAATAATGAGCCAACATGCGAAGCTAGGAGAGGCACAGATCAACTTACACCATGATTTACATGGTCCTGACCAGACCATGTGAGGCATTCTCGACTGAACCCATTGGTTAAATGAACGTTGAGCGCGCGCGGACACAGATATAGATCGCAGGTTGTCAGTCTGTAGTCGGGACAAGACTCGGATCATATAGTCGCTTGCTCTCGCTATTCCGGGGACTGCGGATCCATTCACAGGGCAGATTGGGGGGTTGAAGACTGTTCAAGATACAAACTAGTTAGTATAATAACCAACAGAAACCACTCAGGTTCTTACCAAAGAAATTAGGGAACTCAGCGACCATCGCAGCCATATAGCTCTCGCAAGGTCCTTCGCGATCCCAGTCTTCACTAAGGGACCGTTCAGCTCGGCCAATAACTGGGAACCGTGGCTGATATGGCTCGAATCCAGTGGTGTATACCAATACGTCGCATCCGTACTCCCCTCCCGATTCAGTGATAAGGGTATCCTCGGTCAGTCTATCGATTGAGTCGTGCACGTACATCGCATTTGGCTTCTGCAACGCATCCAGATAGTGGCCACCAGGTGTGAAACGACGACAGCCAGCTTCGAACTCTGGTAGGAGCGCATCCAAGAGTTCCGGGTTTGTGATTTTGGACTTCATGAATGAATGTGCCAATGCTGTAAAATTGGCTTGAGACCGGGTCCCTCTCCAGAGTCCCGTGAAACTTGCGGCAAGTCTCTGTTCTAATGCGATACAAAAGTCATAATAACGAATAGGGGAAGCCTGGAGAGCTTGTTTCTGTTCGATTGAGTCTAGTTACGGGTTAGTACTTCCGTCGCTAGTCCGTTTCTTTTTGTGGCAAGGCGAGGCACTCACATTCGCGCTGGACGGTGCCATATTCAGCCGCTGCATGTGGTAGAATCCACGTAGGGCCGCGGGCAATGTTGACTATTTGTGAGACAACTTTAAAACACGACCTAGTCAGCATGGTACGTCTTCGGTGTGATCTTGCGACTCACCTGGCTGCAAAGCTGCCACGCACTGAACGGCACTCGCACCATTCCCAATCACGATCACCCGCTTGTCCTTGACAGTTATATCAGCCGGCCAGTTTGCAGTGTGTACTTGAGCTCCTCGGAAGGTGTTCTGGCCAGCAATCTTGGGGAACTTATAGTTGTTCAGCCGCCCGACAGCATAGACAAAGACATCGGCAAAGATGGTCTTCTCCTCACTGGAAACCAGGTCGTGGAGAACAACTTTCCATTTTGATAAGTCTTCGTTCCATTGAGCCAAGACACATTTGGTGTTGAAGGTCATGAAGCGGCGAAGATTATGCCTGTCGACCACATCCTCCAAGTATTTGTGAATCTCGGGAGCTGGAGGATAAAGTGATGACCATGATGTATTAGGCGCCCAACTGAACTGGTAGGTGTGGGAAGGCACATCGCATGTGCATCTAGCCGAACATTAGCAACCCAATTCGTCTGTTTACATTCGAAATACATACCCAGGATACCGATTTTCATACCACGTGCCCCCAACAGAAGAATTTCTGTCATAGATTTCGAGATCGATACCTGGCAATGATGTGCTCGCATCATGGGCGAATTGTATTCCCGAAATACTATGATTTGTCAGAAGTTGATTACTGTTCGAGTCCAGTATGCACGTACCCAGCACCGATAACAACAATCTTCAACGGACGTGCCACAAAGGCACTTGGGATGAGATCCATTGCAGGTGATGTGGAAGAAAGTTGCAAAAGGAAGAAGAACTCCAGAGCTGATCTCCAGGTGAAAATAACTGGGAAGACAGACCATATATGTATGATAACGTGTCTCGTCTTCCTCAGAGCAACACGTGCTTCGAGGACAGCATAACAAGGAGCAGAGTCGAATATTTTTCTTTGTTTACATATTAAACCCTAAGTAGTCTACCCACTATTTCCTAGGTACGGAGTAGTCTACTCAACAATTTTTCGACCTAGCTATACGGTGAGAGTGGGAAGACAAAGGGAAGACTGGACAACTTCCAGCATTTCTATACTAGTGAGTGTCCCAACGCGATTGGGGAAACACGGACCAGATTCAAGTTAGCACTGGCTAATGACGATTGTGGCAATTGGAAGCTCTAAAATGTCAGATGTACAGACCGTTTTTATAGCTAAATTAAGTAGGAAATCGGTACCTAGGTAGGTTACTGAGTAACCGGAGACCGGTAGACACCCCTGCATATCATTGTAATAAGCAATTGCTACCTACATACATATATGTAGTTAAGCTCAATGATGACAACTTTGGGTTCAGAATATGTAGTATTCAAATAGTCCTGACGCGCAGAATACTCCATCGTTCTCTTTTATGAATCAAGTATGCTATGTGAGATTCATTGAATAACCAAATTTTCTGCTAGAAAAAGCAAAAAAATAGATTGAAAAAGAAAACATAGCTTCACCAAGAGAATAGAAACACCCTGCATTACTTTTTCAGAGCCAATGAGAGAAAATCGGACGATTCTCATCGATACTATTAATGTCGAGATATAGAAGGGCCTAAGAGAGGCGTAAAAGTGTGTCTCGAAAAATGGACTGTTGAAAATAGAACGTCAGGCAAATAGACAAAAGGATTCTCTCAATGTCGTCCATTTTCGTTCTCTACGGTGTCGTTTCTTACCATCTCTCCAACCATCTCTACCATGCTAGGCATCCAAAATTCTTTTCTCTTCATCTTTCTCTACACTCAATACCTAACATGCTGATTACCGATTTTCTCTACAGTATGCCACAACCCTACATACGAACAAAACGACCTAACAGAGCCAGACATCATTCTCAGTCCCGAATGGGATCCAATCGAGTTCGAACCTCGAGGAGACCGATCGGAAATCCTACGCCAGCCAGTCGAGTGCATCCGAGCTATATGCCTGTCAAACTTTCAGTCCAACAGACCAAACAATTGGACCTTTTTTTTGTCAACCTCGGAGGAAAACATGACGGCCGTAAGGCTTGATTGTCACCCAACCTACTACCGCGCAACCACTGTCCTTGAAAACAGTAACGGCTCCAAAGCCAACATTTTCTTTGAAAAGAAAACGACCCTGGTCCCACCCGAGGGGGAATTGACCTTTGTTTTGACCGTGAACCCGGGATTCACAGTGGGGAATATCCACGAGATCATTGTTTTGAATAACCGGCACAAATACGAGATGGACAATGATGGTTGGTCTGACCGAGCCTGGGTCCATGACCAAATCGAACTCTTCAACCAACATGGTATCTTCGCCAATCAGGATGAGGTTGCACTAGTGATGAATGGAATCCAGAAAAGATGGCCAGGGGAGTTCCCCGACCCGCTCCAGATGGGGACCTACTATGGATGAGATCGGGGGACAGAGGTGCTTCTTTCTGGCAGCGCTTGGTGAAATGTTCTTTGGACGGATTTGCAGCTGCGAGAACAGGACTATTCAAATGTTTTTCTTCCTTTTTCTAGCTGTACAAACAGAGTTCAATGTTGATGCTACATATCAAGGCTGTCTATTACCGCCGGTGCACCACAGATTCTACCTAGCGTACTGTTTGATTTTGGCAAACAGGCGAATTGAAATACATTGAATGTCAAGGATGGATATATCATCCCCATCATTTGTGCCATAGTCGTTTTCCTCGATGTTTAGGCAGACACGAAAGGAGAGTGGTTTAAATTTAAGTTTTAGTATCAAGCGCAGGAGCACTTGGATGGATGTGACTTGCCAAATTTTCTTTTTTTTTTCTCACTTCTCACCTCTTCCACCTCTCTTTCACTTTTTGCTTCTTTTTGGGATATACTCCATGGTCACGTGCTTAACTCTAAATCATTACGTCATATATTGGTGGCTCGAAACGGTCAAATTAAAGCGAATACGCTCTACAGGCCCTAGTCATGGAAAACACACAGGGTACGGTCAGACCTCGAAAATCTCATCAAAAATCTCGCTCAGGGTGTGGAAATTGTAAAAGACGGCGAATAAAAGTGAGTGCTTTCGGAACAGTTCCTGGGTCTGGTAACTGGTTATCGTCTTCACAAGCTACTGCTGTCGTCATCGGAGATAGTTATAAAGGGGAGGAGGCTTTTATTCCAGTATTCTAATACAATTATCATTTGCTTTGGGAACGGCTAGACTAGGGAGGGAGTGAAAGTTTTGATCAGAACCCACTAATAGTCTACCTACAGTGCGATGAAAAGAAGCCAGCATGCTCCAAATGCATCCACCATGCTATTGAATGCGACTTCCTCTCAACATCAGCTATATCATCAGCTCCATCGTCTTCAGCGCCATCCCCATCCAAACCTTCAAAAGCACAATTTCGATTCAAGCCTTCTAGATATCAATCTAGGGAATGCAAGCCTGAAATAAGCCAGTTATCTTCACAGACAGTCTCCACGGAGGTCCAATGCAACAGCCCCAGTGCCCTATTACACAGTCAGGAGACCCTCTCATTCGCCGACCTACGACTCTTCCACCACTTCGTCACGGAGACATACCGCACCCTAGCGGACGAAACAACCGACCATAATCGCGTTTGGCAAACTCACTTTCCACAATGGGGTTTCACCTCACCGTCTATCTTTCACCTCATGTTGGCACTGGCAGCATTGCATCAGGGCTATCTCCACCCCGAGGTACGAGACCAGTATGTCATGCAGGCAGATGCCCACTTCACGTTCGGCATTCGATCTGTATCGGCTATTCTCTCGAGTCTTAACTCAGGGAACTGCCAGTCGATCTACGTGTCGACAGTGCTGATATGTTTTGTCTATTTTGCACACGGTCCAAAACCTGGTGAATACCTTGTGTTTAGTAAGACGGGGCAAGCTGAATGGCTCATTCTTATGAGAGGAGTGAGATCGATTTTGATGTCTAACCATGACAAAATCTTTACCGGGGTCTTACAGGTTCAACCTGATCCTTCTATTCAGGGCGTCAGCCCGTTGTTACAAGAGGAGCTTCAGGAACACCAGTCTCATATTAAAAAATTTCAACGTTTTATCGAAGCGCAAACTGGTGGGAGTTCCTCGCGGCAGTTCGATGTCGATGCACTTGAAAACTTGCTCGAAATGTTTGAGGAAGCATACCGGTGTCGAAGCTCGGGGAAGGATGGTATTACCTTGATGCCTTCTGTCGTTGGGTGGATATATAGGCGGCCGGAGGAGTTCATCGGTCTTCTTGAGGAGAAGGAACCACTCTCATTGATTGTCCTTGCTTATTGGTGTATACTTTTGAAGTACATGAGATCTTCATGGCTTATGGTCGCTTGGGATCGCCATGTCATCACAGGAATTCGGGAGTGTTTAGGGGTTGAATACCACCAATGGATTGAGTGGCCAGTGAGTGTTATTTGCGATTGACCTAAATAGGCGGAGAAAGTAAATAAAGAATGGTGACTTAGTGTGCGAAAGCAAATCATTGCAGCCATATTTTATCCCGGAACATAGATTAGTTACCTTGATATGAGTTCCTGTCACAAATGTGATTTCATGATAGAAGTCACCTTGTGCCTTTCTGTCCTTCTTGGCCTAACTCACTAACCCCCTTTGGGTCTAGTACGTATTCAGCGACAGCGCGCCTATTTGGCTTTTCCAGTTTACCTCAAAGCGAAACGTCACTTGTGCAGACCTTCAACAATGCCATTTTGACTTGCAACCCTTGGGGGTAGATGTATTAACTGGGAACACTATGGAGGTATTCGAAGGCCATTTGATCTCCACAAAGTGCTAAAAATGGCATCGGGCATTTCAATCACTTCACATGTGTCCGGCTCACGGATAGCGATGATCGACAAACTTCATGTCTTGTATGGAATATGGAGTACAGAGTACATCGGCATCGGTTAGCGATAAAGAGGGGTAAATACGTGTGAGACCCTGAAAATCGGTTTACTTGTTATCTTCCCCTTTCTTTACCGTCTCCAGTCGTGACAGACGGGTGGAGTGGATGATCTTTCCCAATGTGGTCCCCAAATATCAAGTCAAATTCAGTCCGTATGTTGTACGGCTAGCCGCTAGACCTCAATAGTTTGAGCAATATGATATCGAATGATACTCTATCGACACTATTTTACTCCATAGAGATGTCTTAGTTATTATTCCTACGCGAGTTTTTTTCTAGTGTGGAGCAGAATGGACGATCTCAATCACGGCAATCGATGCCATGGCCGAGAATAGTCTTTTTGTTCCCCGAGTACCCCGAGATCCAATACAAATTTCCATATTTCTAACTTCGTATTAATTCTGCTCCGGATAGAACCGTCATATCATTTAGGGGAATTCTGGATGTCTTTGAGACCATGGATCGCTTACAGTCGGCCTTGATCTGGACTTTTTAACTTTTTCTGGTTCCAACGTTCCCAATTTCCAAGGTTCCAAGCCTGTCGAATGCTTTTTATGCTTAAAAATATCCTGCATAATATTTTATGTACACTCTATGCTATGCAAACCTACTGATCAACAGTAGGGTAATCTGTATAATGGAAGGTATTATCCTCAAATGGTCCATAGAATCGACTTCGATCATATGGAGCCATGGGGAGCTTTTCCTTCAGTCTGTGCACCAAATCTGGGTTGCTGGTAAAGTAACGACCATACAACAGAGCATCGTATTTACCCGATTCCACTACTCCCCAGGAGTTTTTGTCGTCCCACCCACCAGCGGAGAAGAACGGAGTGGAGCCAAATATCTGGCGGAAACGATCAAGGGTGACATCCAACAGACCCCAGCTCGCGAGGAACTTATCCTTCTCTTCGGCGCCAAAGATTTGTTCATAACGCTGGGCTGGTTAGCAATGTGTCATTAGATAAAAATAATCGAAACATACCGGCTCAATAAAGCTGACATACGACAGCGACGGGAGAGTCTTCTTCAGACCCTCACACAAGTGAGTCCAAGTCTCAATACGCTGTTCGCCGCGTGCTTGATTGAACATACCAAACGGCGACAGTCTAATAGCCAAATTCTGCTCACCAATAGTCCTGGCCACTTGCTCCATCAGTTCAAACACAAATTGGCAGCGCTTCTCTGGAGTGCCGCCGTAAGCATCCTCACGCTTGTTGATGTTGGAGCTCAAAAATTGCTCCGGCAGGTAACCATTTCCGCTATGGATCTCAACACCATCGAATCCAATATCCATAGCTGTCTTAGCGGCAGTGCAATAATCGTCGATAGTCTGTTTGATGTGGTCCACCGTCATTTCGATAGGTGGATGATTGGCGTATGGCACGGGCTCGGTGGAGCCCACAGGCGGATGCGAATAACATTCCGCCGCGGAATCCCACACAGAGGCCGAGGGGCAGACTGCAGGCGATCCAGTCATCTGGGGGATTGTTGCACGGCCAGCGTGCCACAACTGGCAAAAGATAATGCCCCCCTTTGCGTGAACGGCGTTCACGACTCGTTTCCAACCTGCGGCTTGTTCGGAGTTGAACAAACCGGGTACTCCGGGCATGCCATTGCTCTAAAAAAAAAATTTAAAATTAAAGTTTGAACAATTAGAATTAGGCCAGTTCCATGGAATTCAGACAGTTATCCGAAATATAGCCGGAAGAGTGCCATAATACGCCATCAAAATTGGGTTTTGATGCTTACCTCGAGCGATGGTGGAATCCCTTCCGAGATTATCAAGCCACCTTTGGTAGCACGCTGGGAATAATACTCCACAACCGCATCTCCAGGTATCCAAATACGATTGGGGTTTTCCGGGGTGCTGATAGCATTCAATGGCTCTCCGCGGTTGCGAGTCAAAGGCGCATGAATAACACGATGTTCGAGGGTAATGTTGCCATTTGAAATAGTCAATGGTTTGAAGAGACCAGAGTCTTTACCATCCAAATAGTGGATAGTCATGTTTCTTTTTTTTTTTTCTGCCGGTTTACTATGTTGTATTGAATTATTGCGGACAGGTGGGATTATAGAAAAAGAAAGGGAAAAAACACACACACAACCCCTTTTTGGTCCAAGGTCGATCATTAAAGACATTGTTATCAAAGCTGTCAAAACACCTCGGCTAGTATAGGGTTTAACTAGGACCCATTTAGTAAAGCAACGTTGGTGGCGAGGTGGAAACTTCAGTTTCAAACAAATACGAGACATTGAAAAACCATTTGCCGTGATAAATCTTAGTGGAGTATAAAAGGAGTCATAGCGTCGTTTAGCGTTATTCATGGAACTGCCGGAGAACCATACAGAGAGTTCCGGCATTAGCGTTAACATAAAAAAGAGTCTGTTGGTGGGGTCAAAATGTAACTCCTTAGTCAATCTTCGCCGTCATGGATCCCGCGCCACAAAGGTATTACATAGTCCATTGTGTATAGTGTGGTTCACTAGCCTTTTAAGTCCCCACTGAAGATCGTCTTCCTGTCTATCCTCATTTTCACAATGTGAAGTTCTTTATCTTGTCAATTCCCTACTTGACTGTAAGGGGAGGGCAATTCCAACTTCAAACCCATCATGACAGTCGAGAACCCAACAGATGTCTTACATACTCTCAATCTCGTCACACAATATATATGTATTCCAATTGTGACTATCTTTGTGGCTTTGCGATTCTACACACGGTATCGATTCAAGCAATCCCTAGGGGTTGAAGATCGTGAGTTTGTCGCCTAACACATACTTTCCCGGAATTTTATTAACCATTCTTTAGTTGCCTGTACAATCTCATGGGTATGTTGAGCAAGAGAATGATTAATTAACCCGAAAACTGACTGGATGCAGCTCCTATTTATGGGATATTGTGGAATCTCCATTGTCAGTAAGTGCTATACTTCCCCACGTTGTAACCAATGACATACTTACATGTGGACTCTATCAGTCGGTGAACATGGTGGAGGATACTACTTCGACGAACTCAGCCCTAAGGAGCAAACAGCATTCAAAAAATTCTGCTACATTGCGACCATTCTATACTGTCCGATGGCGCTCTTCGTCAAAATCGCCCTCCTATCAATTCTCACCCGCATCTTCTCTCCATACCGCGGCAAAGTCTGGTTCATCTATATCTTCCTCGGTTGCTTATGCTGCTACTACATCGTCGCCCTGATCGTCAAGATTCGCATGTGTGACCCCATCCCGAGATACTGGCTCGGTGACAAGGTGGAGGGAACCTGCCTGGACCAGACCGCTGCCCTCATCGCCGACTCCGTGATTAGTGTCGTCAGTGACCTTATCATCCTTATTCTCCCATTGCCATTGACATGGTCCTTGCAAATGTCGCGCAATCGAAAGCTGCGCGTGATGGGCATCCTTGGTGCTGGTGGACTAGCCACTGCATTCAGTCTTTACCGGCTGGTCATCGTGCTGAAAGGCCCAAAGGATCAGAGTATCATGTTTGTTACTGTCATCTTATCCGGGTATGTCACGTTCCCCTTTTCCCCTACTAATTTTTTTATCTTTTTCCTAACGCCCAATAGCAATGCCGAGGGTGGTGTTGGACTGATCTGCGCTTGTCTACCTGTCCTAAATGTCATGTTGGTTTATTACAAGAAGAACTACGCGTCGCAGAAATATTATCAGAACGGCGGCTCTACCCATCCGTTGAGTGATAGAAAGTCAGCCCCGGCTTCGAATATTGCTACTGACTGGGACAAGGCAACCAACTTTGGAGACCAGAGCCACCTGATTTCATTTGCCGGTCCCCCGGAGGGTGGTGAATCGATCTACAACCAAGACGGTATCAGGAAGACCGTGGCTGTGTCACAGACCGTGGAGACAACTTAATGGGGAATGGCCTTGTCAATTTTTCCAATGTTATATACCCACCATCATTAATTTACTAATGAATTTTCTTTCTCTCTCTTTTTCCTTCCTTTTTTTACTTGCATATACTATTATATCGATCGTCTTTGTCACATGAACTAACCTTAGAAAACACATAATACTAGGGCTTTGTTGGCATGTATGCCCTTTGTATCCCCAGATCAAAAGCCAAACAATGGTCTTCATAGCATCCCTTCTCTTCTTTGTTGCCATGTTGGCCAGTCAACCATGTTACATAAATACTCCAAGTCCCCCCATCTACTCGAATCCATCACCCCAGTACCCACTGCAATCATGCCTCAGGTATTCTCATCCTGGCAAGACAAGCTCCAGCACGAGTGTCGCAAGTTCAGAGACAACTTGGATGCCCAAGTTCGTATTCTTCGAGATGATCCAGATAAACGAGGCAAGGAGCGCCACGCTGATGTCTCTCGGGCAGTAGTAAAACTATCTGGTCGGGCGGATCGGATTATAGACATTGCACTCCGGATGGTTGTCCAGGCACCAGATAGCGAGATTATTCGTCGCAATACTACCTTTTGGATCCGTGAAGATAATGGTCGTTACAAGTTCGAGAATGTGTTTGTTCGCATGGAGCATGACTTGGTCCATATAGTATTGGCTCTTAAGAAGGACCCGTGTCAGTGCAGACTTGATGGTATGGCTGACCGTATTGATAGGATCGCAAGGAAGGTTTCATTTAACCTTAATGTTTAGGTAGTTATCTACGAAGTCATTTGCAGTGTGTTTCTATTCCAACGTTGTAGATCTACCTACGTATATAGTAAGTCAACATTAGATAATTTTCCTCTGTACGGTACATCATATATATCTACTGTCCCATTTCTTAGCTATAAAAGAGAACAGTGGAAGATGATAAAAATAGCATTAAATAAACAATGAAGACCAAAAAAAGAAATCTCTCCCTCGGGGAATCGAACCCCGGTCTCCCGCGCTTATCGGTTTTAATGACAAGCGGAAATCATCACCACTAGACCAAGGAAGATATGATGGCTGAGTTACTGCTCGGCCACTTGGCTGGTTGATGTCAGATCCGCTCTTTTGGGCCTAATAAGCAAATTTTAGTCATCCTACACATACAACAAAAAATGTGTAGAATGCATGCATTCTCCAAACTTAATCTAAATTCCTTATGCTTATTAAAAGGCATATTTTTATTGCTATTCCCCTGTAAAAATTCAATATGCCAAATGCAACCAAATTATGGTGATATATATCTACGACAAGGATGTATACAAGCCATACGACATCATGTTGAAATGGTGATTTCTGGTGTTGCAAAGCAACGAATACCCCCTCAAACCAAAGAAAGAGCATCGTTATCTAAGAGATGGATTTGGGTCAAACAAGCCCGAGTTATACCACAACCCATCTAAGCCCGCATCGAACCCAAGGGACCACGACCCATCAATAAATGGCCATTGGAACATATCAGTTTCAAAGTCATGATGGCTACCCATAGCAGTAGTCTCTCTGGTCAGAAAGTTGGCTTCACCACCAAGACTAGGCGACGAAGTTCCTCCACGGGCATGTGAGCTGGTATCGCGGGATTCCGATGTTCGCGCTCTAGTCGCATACGCATCCCTGCTCGGACGAGATCGGATATCACCGTATTCATCCAGGGTACCTGCGAGGGCGAATCTTCTGGGACTGTGCATTCCAGACTCGGAGTGGGCTTGATTACTCTTGACTGTTTCGTAGAATCGATTTGCTTCTTGGACCGTTCGCCACTGATTATTGTTAGCTGCGATGTTGGTTAAATGTGTTTTGAAGTACTTACCCAGCTGCGACCAACGGGCCAGAGTTTACTTAGTCGCTCGAGGTAGTTGAGATTTCGGCTCTTTTCTTCTTCGGCCCGTTCGAGGCCGCCCGGATACCGCTGTGGTGCAATTGTCCCATACATGTTGATATGGGCAGCGACAAAGACACTGAAGCCAGAATATGGTGACATGACGGGTGCGCCAGAGGCGTCTAGTGCATTGAGAATACCCCCGATCCGTTGAGCGGCCTCAAATAATTGTTTGATTGTATCAGGTTCGCCTTGCGCGTTATCGCTTGTGCCGTGGAAGACGTCAGAATGGGGCTTGAGGTTGGATAAGAAGCGGTCTCGGTGGAGAAAAAGGATGCTGAAAGAAACAGAGTTAGTATCGCTACCTAGAATGCGCCAAATAGAAAGTAAATACCTCATGCAGTGGACCAGATTGATGTACGCAAACAGCTCTCCGTACCCAAGTGCCACGTGTGACTGAACACTGGTATCTGGGAACCGAACAGTTACATCCTGAAGAAACCTCCATTCATCCAGTTCCTTCTTGAGGACTTGCCAGGTTAATAGGAGTGGGGATGTAGTCGAGTCATCTGATGACAAAGAAGCCAGCGCCCGTCGATGTTCGTTCGCAAATCTTAGGATTCGTACGAATATGTCGAATCCTCGAGTGACAATTGTGAGGCCATGCTCAATCGTAAGATCATTCGCTAGCAAACAGTCTTTATTCATATCAGCAGGCATCAACCTGTTAGCTGGCGTATGATTAAATGTGAAGTCCCGATCACTGATAGGGAGAGGAACTGAGATCTGGGAGAATGATAGCGCAAAGTGCTGACGGGCCCCGGAGCTCAGCTCACAGTCTTGCGCAAAACAGCACCAGTAAGTTCGGACTAGCTGTTCGTACTGTGTTTGAGATGCATGGAACTCTTGAGGATTGTGTTCCATGCTGTCATCTGCCATCTTCAGAAGGGATTGAATCATGTATGTCGCCATGCCTGGAGCTTGTCAGCGAGTGATCTGCGACAAGTTGGGAATTCGATACATACCGCTATACATCCAAGCTTGATATGGACGTCCAGTTCCCCACTCATAGAACGAGATCATCACGAGGGACTGGGCAAGGTAAAGCGAGGGGGCCTCAAGCACGCGCTGGGCAAGGTTTTTGCGTGCATAGTCGGCATATATTTCTTCTTCTTTGAGTTCATCGCTGTTCATAAACCGCACACACAAGGAAAGGACCGAGGCCACAAAGACGGAGTCCACGGAATGGACGTTGGATGATATGTCAGAGATTAAAGAAGGGTAATGAAGAAAATTGGTAATTGGAAACTTTTTTCTGTAGGTTTCCACTGCGCTGATGACGACTGCGGGTGACAGCGCTGCTATGGGATCTTTGGATGGGTCTTGAGCGACGGGAACATCCTCAGTAGTGCTCCTTTCTGCATCTCTAACTCCCGGCGATAGGACAGATGACGCCTTTCGTTTCCTTGGGGTTCTGGATGAGACAGTATCCCTCCGTGTCCTCTGCCTCGAGGCGCGGGGATCTGTTAAATTACAGCCTTGGTTCTTGGTTTTTAAGCAACGTTGACAGGGCGGTTGCCCTTCATGGACGCATTTGACTTTTGCTTGCCTGCAATAAAAGAATATAAGAGATGATAGGCCTAAAATCTCCGATCATAACTTACCGACAAGCATCACACGATATTGACAACCTCATCGAGTGTACATATGGGGAAGAGTGGAGTGGGCCGTAAAAAAAGTGGCTGTCAAGTACGGAGTATCGTGGGTCATATTAAGACAAACTCAAGCCATCGGATCAATGTAGGAGCGCAATTGCATTAATTCAACCATTTATGTTGATTAATTGAACTGCTGGACAATTGGACAGTTGAACACACGCCTGTAGGAACAAAAGTTACACGGATAACTTAGTATCCGATCGTGGTTAGCGCGATCAGCTGACTAGTCTAGATCTATGAAGAATTTTGATATGAATTTTGACACGACTGTTGACATCTTATTATTATATTATTATTGGGTGCCTCTATAGCGACAAATCCCTGTGGGGAACAGTAAATGGAGAGCCACTTCAAATATTGGTTGCCACTGTCCACTGCTGCACCCACGCATTGAACTTGTCAATTTCCAGCTCATCCGTGGCCCAGGACGTCACAAGCCGAATCACCGAGTTTCCATCATCAAGTTGCTCCCAGACATAAAATCGGAACCTGTCCTGCAGTCTCCTAATCAATTCCTGAGGGAGGACAACAAACACTTGATTTGTCTCGGTATCCGCAGCTAATCTATAACCCAACTCCTCGAAGTTGGCTGAGATCTTCTGAGCCATCTCATTGGCATGTGTGGCCAGTGCGAAGAACAAGTCCGATCGGAAGAGCTCCATGAACTGAACTCCAAGAATACGGCCCTTGGCCAGCAAAGCGCCATGTTGTTTGAGGTGGAAAACGAAACCATCGGCTAGCTGCTTCTTGACGACAATTGCTTCTCCCATCAGAGCACCGGCTTTGGTGCCACCGATCCAGAAAATATCGGTCATATCAAAGATCTCCCGTAGAGTGAGATCGTTCTTCCTTGAGCAAATTGCTGTGCCAATTCGTGCTCCGTCCATGAAAAGCAGAAGATTTGATTGTTTGCAAATAGCGGAGAGGTTGCTCAACTCGCGTTTTGTGTAGACAGTGCCAGTCTCTGAGGCATTAGAGATATAGAGTAGACGGGGTTTGGCCATATGAGGATAGAATTGATTTTGCTGGAGCGCCTTTTGGAGATTGGTAGGCGTCATCTTGCCGTCAACTGCAGGCACGAGGATAAGTTTGTGACCGGTTGCTTCGATCGCACCTGCCTCTTTGCAGGCGATGTGACCAGAGTCCAGGGTAATTACAGCCTCGTAAGGCCTTAGGCAACTAGCGATTGAAATGAGGTTTGCAGAGGTTCCGCTGGGAACAAAGAAGATATCTGCCTCGTCTTCATCGCAACCGATCTTGTTTCGGATCAATTGCCGGGCACAAATGCTGTATTCATCATTTCCATATGTGACTTGCTGTGTGGAGTTTGTTCGCAAAAGAGCTTCAAGGATTTGTGGGTGAGCTCCTTCGCTATAGTCATCCATAAGGCTGTATGGAAGACATGCCTCATCTTGGCATAAGCTCGTTGAGGGCATGGTGGATATAAAAGTGTGGAATTGGTTGAAGACAACAAAATGAGTTTCCAAGGTTGAGCTTTAAAGAAATAACAGACAGAAAACCAAGAAAAATTATTTGAACCAGAACGACCTATACAACGGAAAAAAATTCTCGGGAATAATTTTCTCGGGAATGTGCCACACTTATTCCCGAATTTGTACCGGGAATTCCGTGCGGGCAGGACATTTCCCAGTTATTATCAAGTAAATTTGTGGGCCTGGAACATGGGGTACCGCTTTACTACGGACTTTCCAATTGGGGTGAAACTGGTCTCAATAGAGATATTTCGAAGATATCTTGTGTAACATCCCTCAAATTGAGGCATCCATGTTGGCCCAGATTGTCTCCGAGACCCGACCTCCAGGCTTCAGACACTCTGGAATTGTGAAGCTCATAAGAAACAAGTCACTTGGGAATTCCCCTCACAGGATACCCCTCATGAGGGGTTATTCCCTATATTTTGTATCACCTCAGATTCGGTGAGCGATCTTGGGCTTGCATCACTATCAGAAGGATTGATACGTATCAAGTCAGAATACACCGCTATCGTGGTTAGATGTGATCCACGGGTCCTTCCCAACGCCCACATCGTGCAGGGTCGCGTGGTTGATGGTTTCAAGGCCTAGATCTCAGATCCACACCTGGGTGAATTTTAAAGAAATCAGGATTTATATGCTGGCAGGGATCAATTGTGAGAATATTTCAAAGTATTTCGTAGTATGCTAACTGAGATAGCCCTAGTCGGGCCTTAATATCCGCATGGAGGTCGTTGGCGGTTATGGAGGGAGAATGAAAAATATTCGAAAAATTATAAGATGTTAGGATTAAATTAGGCAAGGGATGATTGAAATAGACGACACTAGCGTATTCGGGTGACATGGCCAATCGGATCACCACTCATGCTCGGAGGTCGTTGGGTATGATTCGAGGGTATTATGTCGAGCAACTTCCACCTATACATAATTGAGAAACCCCATGCCGATTATCTCAACTGCATTAATATTTTTACCAAAAGTTTGACCGTGTGCCGGGTAGTCGATGAAACTAGTAGCCAGTACTATATACACATTGGACTTGATTCCACCAAAGACACGGAAATTAATGTACGAAAACCACCCGCAGATAATGACAGTGGTCGACGCTTTTGACAAAAGCCATGGAAACTTAATCCTCATGTGACGATGCAAGATGTGCCCGTTCCCCTGGAAGTCCGTCTTCCGTGCGAACACGCTGGTATAACCGGACCCGCCAGCCACGGATGACCATATAAATTGCTATAACGCCAGCAAACAGGCAAAGAAGCAAAACAAAAGAGAAGATACCGCTAATACTGCGGATAGAATCGTATGCATGCTTGAGGACTTGGATGGTCTTCTGTGTTTGGGTATCGACCGCATCCGATGCCTTGTGGTCAGACTTATCCGTTGTATTGTCTGCTACGGCGCTATCGCTTGTTTGGTAGACAATCGCTGGGTCAACCGGAATGGGTGTGCTTGACTTCCCTCTGTATCCGACAGCTTTCCAGTCGGGGAAATTGCTTCGGTGCATTTCGGACCTGCCTAGGACGGTGCCATTGGCATCTACTGCCTCAGCAGATACCCAGTCTAGATATCCGCGGGCAATATACATGGTTTCGAAATCGGATCGGGGGGTCTTGCCGATAAGGATAGGGGAGCCGAATTCGGAGGCTTGCGCGTAGAATTTCCACTCTGCGACATCAGTTGCACCGTTCCAGCTGACCCAGAACGTGGTCACCATGTTGGTTTCATCGGTGCCGTAGACAGATGCCACCATGTCTGGTGGGGCCGCGGGGCGACCGGTGAATTCGAATTTGTACCCGCGGTAGGATGAATAGCGCGAGGAGGTGAAGTTGGCGGTCATCAATAATTCTCCATCACCGGCATGTTCGGAAATGTATCCCTCTTTGCTCCAACAGGTGAACACATTGTCATTCGGAAGCAGCTGGGCATTGCCTCGTAGTCTCGAGAGCTGGCGATCAGGGCGGTTGTAGCGTCGGATGGCTTTAGCGGTCATAGGCCTTGCGCCGGTATCCAACTCGACAAATAGGACTGATGACACATTTTCCTCGTTGAATTCCTCGTCCGAGGCATTGTTCAAAAACGAAATGATATGATGTGTCCCATTCGATTCTATAAATTTCGCGTCGTGCTGCTTCGAAAAGGTGAAATCTTGCTCGAAATCACTGTATTTTCCACCCAGTCGCCACATGATATTTCCATCCATGCAGGAGATAAGGTAGATGGTGTTCGTGAACCGTGCTGAGATCAAGTAGTCCCCAATCTCATTCTTGTCAACTGAGTTGATATGAAAATAATCCCAGCCAGGCAGTCCCTCTGTCGGAGAATATGGGGTGTAATGGACAGTCTCGGGCATGGGAATGCGATTAAAAGAGTCCCACGACTGGACAACCTCGGCAGTGTTCATATCAATCTCAGCGTACCCACCGGTCTCAAGCCAAGTAGACTCTTTTGGACGACCAAAGTCCTCTAAGGTAATCTCATGAGAAAGGTAGAGCGTGACCAGCGCAGTCTTACCGTTTTCCAGAATGTTGAACTCGTGGATGTCAAAAATGCCGAGATCCGCCCGCAGAGGAAGCTTTCGTTCGACTTTATAATCCTTGTTCAGGACCATTCCATACCCGGAATCTACTTTCGGATCCCACGAGGGTTGCAAGATCATCGAAAGTTGTGGGTCAGGGCCGAGACTGTTGACGACTTTGAAATCGAAGACATTCCTGTTTTCGAATTGTTGGGAACCAGTCCAGATGAGGCGCTATTATACCGAAATATGGTCAGCCGTTGGGGTCTGTATCGTCGGGAACTGATGTAAACGCACTCCTTCTCCATCGTAGATATGGGGGCCGATCTGATATTGTTCGTACAAGGTGGACGGTGGATCAGGGCCCATGTGTAGGTAAGGAGCGACGAACCAGTAACCGGGGCTAATTCGCTCGCGGTTCTTGTACTGGACATTGAATTTCACTGCTCGAACATCGGGGAGCTGGAGAACGCGATGTTAGTGGGATCAAAGAATTTGTGGGGGTGGCACGTACCGTAACGAATGACATGAGGTCATCGCTGGAATATTGCGCCAGCGCGGTTTGGCACAGCCATAACAGCAATGAAACGCTCAAAAACAGCATTCTTTAAGGAGCGTGGTATAGAAAAGTCATGAAGAAGAGAAAAGGAAAGGGGACCATCGTTGGTCTAGACAAGGCAAGATATGTGCGGATCGAAGGAGGTCATGAACCAATGACAGGGGTTGAAGGGCCAAGGAAATGTGATTGTAATTGGACCCCCCTCTGACGAAGGGGTGAAACGTCGAAAATGTGGTGCTTTATTCATGCCAAGATCAATGATCATCTTCATGTGGATCACAAAAGGCAGGCCTCGTCAGCACTTCTCGGTTCCAGTGTAAAAATGTCACTGTCAATGCTCCGGCAAAGTATAAAATTGTTAGCACTGGAGCCCCATATCCAATTTCAGAGCATAATTCTCCGAAACTTATGCTCAAGTGCATACAACATACTTGAAACTTCTCCCTGACTTGGCACTTTATAAAACGACGATCTGCATTTCCAGGGGGTTACCGCCTTTAATACTGCCTGATTTCTATAGACCTACCCAATCCGATGTGTTGACTGTTGCCATCTGCCCTAAAATCGATGAGAATAGCAAAATGATGTCATATTCTGCTTATATACAGTAGGTCTACTCAACCCGAATATTATACACATCCAATAGACGCTGGGCAGCCAGCAGTGAGTCGCCTAAGGGGGAAAAAAGACATACACCTTAGAATGCATCCTATGCAAATCGCTCCAAGAACCAACAAAAACAAGAGAAAAAAAAAAACGAGCTGTCGCGATCGTAAACAGGACCTCACTCATCAGGATCGCGATAATTCCAAAGCTTTTTCCGCTCCGCAACCCACCAAAGGCCAACCTTCTCAGCCTTCTGAGCCCAATCAAAGGCCTCTGGCCCATGCTTGGAATGAACCTCCGCAGCAAGCGACCCCATAGTCCAGCCCGTAATAGGCTCAAGCTCGTACGGGTCTTTATTCAAGTCCGTGAACCGGTACTCAAAGTCATTGTTCAGTGGCAGGTTGAGGCGCCATGGCACAGCTGCGGAGCCAACACTCAGCATGGAGCCACCGGCATTGATAACGCCCATGTTCCAGGCTTCGCGGCCATTTTGCGAGGTGCGATATGGCCGGATGAGTGATTGGCCCTCGTACTCGTTCATCAGATCCAGGGCGATTTCTGTGTCATCTGCGTTGAGGGAGTTGGTGTTCACCAGGAGATCGAGAATTGTGGGGAGAATGGATACGGCGCTGCCGTTGACATTAAGATGCATCCGGGGTAATAAGGGATGGTGGAATACTAAGGGTACGCGGAAGTTACTGATGTGTGGGTTGTGGTAGGTTCCTGTGACGGGGCAGTCTTCCCCAAATGCTTGGCCGCTGTTTCGTTGGTTAGATGTCAGGTTTGTTGGTCAGGGGTGGGAATTGAACGTACTGGTCTCCCACGAAGACCGTTAAGGTCTCGTTGGCAATACCGGCCTCCTCAATCATCTTCATTAAGTCGCCAAGCCATGCGTCGACGAAGCCATTTGCATTGAGGAAGGCATCCATGTGCTCGTGTTGTGATTTGTGGAGATCCCCGAAATATTCTTCTCGTTCCCAGTCTTCAGGTGTACCCCAAGGGTGGTGAGTTGTGCTGGTGAAATGTGAAAGGAAGAGTCTTTTGTTCTGACGAAGTGTTTCGTTGATCATATCTTTGATGTAGGGGCGGGCCTCGGTTTCGGGATAACTGTACCAAGTTAGTATTTATACAGATAAAGCTGCGGGGGAATTTTGCTTGACAACATACCCAAAATAGTTGATCTTTTCCATGTCGTCATGGAAGTATTTCGCCTCCTCCACATCAATGTCTTCCGAGTACAATGTCTGGTTGAAACCGAGTAGATCCATAAGCTTGGTTTGAGCCTGGAATTCCCCAGTGACAGACTGCGCATAGATGGTTTGCCATTCCCGTTCGAGGTGACTGTCGGTGGAATTCCTAGAGCGAGAGGAATTCTTACGCTGGTTGAAAAGATCCATGATGTGCATCAAACATGGCTGGTATGGAATGATATCATTTTCATGCATAAAATCCACCGGGAGCGGTCCGAGACCACAGTAGTTGACAAGACGCGATTTAGCAGAGAGACTACTCCCTGACAATATCCCGTCGAAGCTGAGACCTCCTAGTCCGGTATCCGTTGAGTTAAGAAAAGAGCCGAAGCCGGATTGCTCCCCCGTAAGCATCTCTGCCACTGGGGTAAGCTGAGACAGTTTGTCGTGTAGGTCAGCTTCATCTTCTTCTCGGTATAATTCATATGAATCACGGATTTGGTTGTACAAGCGAGAGTCATTTTTGAGGGGGAACAGGTCCTTTCTGCCGCTCTCCAAGAACACAAAGACTATGTGGTTGATCGGGATGGCATGGTCCTTCAGAGCCTCCTGCAGAGGACCGAGTGGTTCGAGGTCAAGGTTGCTTATCCTCATAGGATCTTGAACGGGGTTATAGAAGTAGTGTCGTGGTTCTATTGTTTTGTTCTGGTTTTTAGAATCGGATTCATTTTCGCTTCTCTTGGACACGCTTCGAACGGTCGAGTCAGACGCCTGCAAACTAATTCCAGTCGTGTTTGCATTGGGATTTACAATCCACCTCTCAAACGCAGCAGGAAGAGGGCCGTGCGCCCAGGCTGGCTTATTATTTCCATAGGCAGTGTTACCCGAGTCGTCCAATGTCGGTGCCCACCCCTTGTAGTGACCATTGGCAGGCTCCCGATATTCCTCCGCCAGCAATTCAGGTAGCGGGAATGTTTCGATGGTCATGCGACGGGCCCGAGAGTGTTCTCCGAGCATGGTGAAGGGCAGAGCTCCCGTCATATGATTATATGGGATTGATGGTCGGATCAGCCAGAGTCCGATGGTTACTCCAGTACCCACAATCGTCCAAAGCCGAGGTCTATTTGACACCAGATTTCTCAGATCTGAGGGGCCTGACAATACACCGGAAGTGGTGTCTCCGAGTTTATGGAGGGAGCATAGCCAACGGGTCATGAAATTCCAGATCCCCTGGGCCATAAGCCATGAAGCCACCGAGATCACTGTTGCAGTGGCAGCCATAGGCACCAATCCGCTCAATATCAACTTCATTCCTTGGCGACTGGTGCCCACGGACCTAGCCGCATCCCATCGAATTTCGCTGCCGGTCTGAGAATAGAAACTAACTTGCGACGCCGTTGCTATCAAATCAATGCACCTGAGAGTAAAAGTCAATATCGTTGCCCATCGCATTCAGGAAAAGGTAAACCCACGCGACAATTGCTGAACCGGTGACGGCGGCCACCGACCACCGACCGGAGGTTGTATACAAGAGAATCCATACTGTAATGAATAGGAGGAGCTCCTGTATAAAGAAGGTTGGAAAATACAGGGCCAAAAGGTATAGGGGAAGAGATCGATGTTGGTATATGTGAAGTAACTTGGAGCAGAGACCAGAAAGCACCAAAACAGACAAAATCAATCGCTGTGGATGATGGAAACGAGTGCTCATCATAATGATCCAACACAAAAAACGGCCAACATGAGGAATCACCTGTTCTCCAATTCGTATAGATATAGACACTGTACAAAAGGGGGAAAGGAGAAATTAAGGAAAGAAAATTGATTGCTCGCGTGCTCCACAGCATGCTATGTATCGGAGTTGTGGCCCATGCATATTGTCAAATCATCGGATCGTGTGGATGTGCATTGGCCAAGACAAGGTGGCGCTGACCTGGCCAGGGGGGGGGGTCTTCACTCAGACCTGGAGATGAAGGAGTTTTGATCTCTGATACGATTTGTTTTGATGTTTTGATGTTTTTGATCTTCATATGTCCTTTTCTGATCGGCGTTCTGGGCATCAGCCTTAGAGGGGCTTGTCAAAGTTCAACATCGCGCAGTGGGCCGTTTTGCGAGGCTAAACGAAGGCCCCCGTCAAGACTGGTTCAGGGGGGAACGGACCTATCGGAAATTTTTATGGAACACTGACATTGTTAGCTTGAGCGCTAAGTCAAAAATTATGACATGAAACTTGGTGTTTTCCATGGGTTGTTGCCTGTTCGTACTCGGAAAGGCGTACTCGGATTCTCGGAGGGCGGATAACAGCGGAAGAATACGCGTGGACCTTTTGAAAATTGGAAGAAAATAACAAGCCAATTTTTTTTTTTTTTTTTTTTTTATAGAATTTTGATACTCTGTGGCTAATAGCTAACTATTTCAGTATGGAATATGCCCCATTGTCTCATCTGGCATTAATTTTGCGAATCTCTCAGAGCAAGCACCATCTTTAGATCTTCATATCGAAGCTCACGTTCCTTGGACCAAGCTAAGAGACTGGCTGTCTTAATGACATTCTTGATCTGGCGACCGTTCAGTTGCAACTCGGCCACCTGGTTAAGTTGCTCGTCCGTAAAGGCCTCATTATTCGATGAGCGGTTTAGGAACTGTATCCAAACCTGGCGCCTGGATTCCACATCAAGCTCCTTGTAGGTGAGAGAAAGGTGGATCCGAGACCCGAAGGCAGGATCGATATTCTGTGTACGATTGGTGGTCAAGAAGAGAATACCCTGGAGAGAAGATAGAAGATCAGTAATATGTCCTTTTTGCGTATGTTGTATTTCCCCCATATCTTCTGGCGTTGATGATCTCAAGCCTACCTCGTAGTATTCAATTATCCTCAAGAAGATGGAGACAAGTTCATTGCGACCGAGATCGGCTGAATCACGGGTTTCCATAAAGACATCAGCCTCATCAAGCAATAGAATAGCACCCCACCTAGGAATCATCTGCAGGATGTCTGTCAATTTGTTTTCGAATCCTCTAGCGTCAACCCCAAGATCACCCGCGCTCATGACATAAAGAGGCACTTTCATGACCTCGGCAACGCTCTCCGCAGTAAGCGTCTTTCCGACCCCGGGAGGACCACTGAGCTGTATAATGAAGCCCCGGCCTTTGCCCCGAACGACATCGTCAAATGCATCCACTTTGTTGGAGTGAGCCTTCGCAACGGCCAAGATCACCTCCTTGAGCCCCCGCTGCTCCCGCGGTAGAACTAGTGAATCGAAGGCCTGCTCATCCCACTCAATGTCTTTCAAACCATCCACGTGGAACGAACCCCATTGTCTGTCATCTAGAGAATATCCATGGAGTATTGGAGTTGCAATGAGGCGCTGAGCATCGTCCAGCTCTCCACCAATCTGCCTCTCAAGTGTAATGAACCCACGCATGCGCCCCAAAAGCTTGTATCCTTCGGCGTCGATGATGACGCGATTTTTGACAGAACGTTTGGTGTCCCTCAAATTGTTATCCCGACTTCCGGGGTCCTTGCTGGTTGAAGCATTTTCATAGGATTTGAAATGGTACCCCTTGTACTTTTCCCACTTCTCGCCCCGTGCGGTCAATAAATCTTTGACGGTTTCTTTTTCTGGATGGTATTTGAGTGGGTAGATAGGCAAGGAGGTGATGGGTAGCGTGCCCGCAAACTTGGGTATCTCGAACCCCATGGATGCGTAACCGAATTTGCTTCCGTCAAAGTCAACGTATTGGACTGTGAAATACTCGGTTTCCGATAGGTCATCTTCTGATTCGTGCATGAGCGAATAGGCACGTAGCCCATCACTCGAGGAAAGGACCACATCTTGAGGTTCCAGAATTGTCCAAGCCAAATCGTGGGTGATGACCCCTTTGGCAATCAGGTCCTTCTTGCGTTCAATCACGTCTCTGAGCTCCTCGTCCATGATGCGGTAGAACAATTCCACATGAGCCTTGGTTGTTGGATCTTGCTCTTCGTCTCGGAACTTGGTAATTGCTTCCCATCGATGAACAAAAGGATGGAAAGGTGATTTGAACTCAAGGCGCTGCAAGGCTGGTGTGACACCAGGGTAATCTTTTAGGGCCTGCTTCAAGAACTCCTTGAGATACTCGCTTTGCACTATAATAGAATGAATAGACAAGCTTCTGCGTCCATCATAGCACTTCTTCTTTCTCACAAGAAGCGCATATTGTGCCGACTCTGCATCCTCGACGGGCTTAGGCAAGTCGAGGGGTAGTTCATTGACCCATGAATATTCGCCATATGCATCGGGCTCTGTCTGGTAGAGGGTTCGGAAATCACAGAGTGTGCCCACAGACTCATACTGGATATCCATGGCCTCAGGTGCTGTAGTACCATCATTGGCTTTTATGATTAGCCAATGTGAATGGTTTCTGAAAGGGCCATATAATTACCAATTCCATCTGACACTTCAATCATGATGTTAAGGGCTAGAGAATTGGAGAATTAAGGGAAGGAGTTTTCAGGATGGAAAATTAAGTGAGAGAAGGAAGAAGGTTGTCATTACGGGTATATGTACATATGTATGTTACTACATAATTACACCTTCATATGTACCTCTTCTTTGACAGAGTCTGAATTAAACAGCCAAATCAAGGGCAATAATTTGAAACAAGCTGGTTCGCTAGTATTTACTTCAGTGAGAGATCTTCCTCAAATCTGTGACATGTTTCTGTCTTTTCTAGTGATCTGAGCTCAATTTAAGCCGTTCCTCCCAGCAACGGGGCGTTTGGTAAGTAATTAGGCACCATGTTCTAAGTTCATATTAGAATATTAGTGGATTAGGAGGTATTCAAGTTCGAGTAGCAGAGTAGTGAGTTGTAGCTTGGGATATAAAAATGATTATCTCAGATCTGGCATGATCTGCCCGTTACTGTAGATCCCCCCACATCATGCCACTCTTGGGGGCCAAAAAAAGGGGATCTTTTATATACTTCTGTTTGATTTCTTAAATTTGTCGCTAACTAGAGAATTATGTTCCATTATGTACATGAGCCCTTCGGCTGAAAATTTCAAAACACCCTGTTAACTCACTCCGTTTGGAAAGCTGTCAAACGAGCCCTGATAACCTCTTCTGAATCCTCAGTGTCCAGCTCACTGAGGACACCCGATCCAACATCATAAATTAAGCCATGAACCTGGAGTCCCCGCTCCCGGATGGCATGCAGCACAACACTCTTCTGCTTGACGATGTTTAAGCCCTCCCGAACATTCAACTCAGCTAGCTTCGAAGCCGCCTCATCGGTTGGCATTGACTGCAGAAGTTTAAGGTTGCGCTCACGCAGCTGACGAAGAGGGAATAACCATGGGTCTAAAATACCCAAGTTCTTGTTACCCAACGCGGCCGAGACGCCACCGCAGGCAGTGTGACCGCATACCACGACGTGACTGACGCACAGGTATTGCACGGCGTATTCGATAACGGCAGAAGAGCTGAGGTCCCCGGGATGGAGGACGTTGGCGATGTTGCGATGTACGAAGACGTCACCCGGCTCAAGGCCCAGGAAGGTGGTTTCTGGACAACGCGAGTCGGAGCATCCGATCCATAGAATCTGTGGCTTTTGCCCTGAGGCGAGGGTAGGGAAGAGTTGAGGGTGGTCGCGGGCTGTCTGTGCGGCCCATTCCTTGTTCAGGCGCAGGCCTGTCGCATATCGATCTGTGAGGTCCGCACCAACTATGTCAGTCTGTGTCTTGGGCTTGAGAGGTGTGTCCAAGCTTGAGAGTTATTCTGCGCTGGCATTGTTTGTGACCGGCGCAGGAGAGGGGTGTGGAGGTTGGGAAGGGCTGGGTGTGAGACGCTGAGACAGTCATGCTGCGCGTTACTTGAGAGTCATGAGTACCCCAGTGAGTACCGAGAGGCCTCTGCTGTACGCGCAACGAGACCGGATCGGCCCATCAGTCTCGCAGCACTCATAGAGGGAGAAGGGGAGGGAGATGGGATATGCCAATGATTGGTGAAGGGAAAGAACTCCGAGGGAGATCGGAGGATTAAACGGATGATCAGGGGGGAAAATCCCCACCCATTGCTTCTCACAATCTGACAGTTGTGATCGGTGTGAAGTGGTAGAAAAAGAAAGGAAAACTTGGGGAAGTTGAATTGCCGAGAACGCGCAAAGACACCTACCTTCAACCATGGAATATTAACAGTCGAGAGAGATATAGAGGAAATATAGAAAAGAAAGAGGATATTGTTGGGACTATATAAATTCCCCAAGCAAACAACAGGGGAAACGGTGAGTCCCGAGTGGTACAGAAGAGGGGATGAATCGGGCATTTTCGTTCAAACACGAACGGCTCGTGAACTATCAGGAGAACTATCAGGATATACCCTCAGCCACATTTTAAATGGCTCAATCTTATACATGTTTTGTTTGGAACTGTAAATGCTTTTTTGAAAAGAAAATCGGAATAAGTACATGAGTTTTTCTATATTTTAAGATGTACCGCCGCGGCCACCGACACTCAACAGAGTCTTCTTCTGTTCCTCACTGATTTGAGCAGCAGGCAGAGGACGGGCTCCAGCAACGGTTGGCGCTGGCAAGAATCCAGTTTGAACCAGATATGAGGCATATAAGCCGACTAATTCCTCGGTCACGCCAGCACCGGCTGATGCGTCGACGCCCGACCAAGCGGCATCGGCCCGGAGGGCCGTTGCTGCATTCGCATCATCCAACTCCGGAGCTTTAGTGTTGGAGGGAAGGTCCGAGGTAACAAAGTGGTAAAGGGGCATACTAAAAAAGGTTAGTATAAATCCATCAACGGGCCGAGAAAAGCATGGAACTTACAGAGCGTGCTGGGACTCCTTGTCATTGTGCTCACCACCGTTGACATACTGCTCAAGGGAAGTGGACCAAGGCACGTAGTCGACCTGGGGAACATTGTATCCGTAAAGCTCCAGGGCACCAAGGAACTGGTTAAAGCGCAAACGAGGGTGGCCAGTAACGTGGGCGACGTTAACGCCCGTGGAAGGTGGGTGGAAGGCAGTGGCGATGACAATACGAGCCACATGATCGACGGGCACCATGTTCACGGTGTTGAAGATATTTGGACGAAGGCCAATTTGAATGCAACCCTTGAGCATACGGATGAGGAAATCATCAGTGTTGGTAGTTCCAGTGACAGAATCACCAAGAACATATCCAGAGCGAATAATGGTTCCCCTCAGGCCTCTACGGCCAGCCTCTTTGACAAGGTATTCTCCGGCCCATTTGCTCTGACCGTAACCGGTTCCGAGGCCGACTCTGCTGCCCTCCATATCGTCGTCTTCGCTGATACCATTTCCACCAGCGGCGAGGATACGTTCGGATTCTTGGACGTAGTGATCTTTATCCAAGGCACTAGTCGAACTGACAAAGGCGAACTGCTTGGCCTTTCCGCTGGCGCACATTTTGAGGGCATCGATGGTGCCCATGACATTAGCCGGTCTAAGTGTCGCATAGGGGTAAACCCAGTGGACAAGAGCTCCGTTGTGAATCACAGCATCCACGCGGTTGGTAAGGTCATCCCACACTGACTGGGAAAGACCAAACTGGGGCTTTCCAAGATCACCACAGACGGCTTGCAGCTTGAGGGTCCAGGCTTCATCCCAGAAACCATATGCGCGGCAAGTGGAGCGAAGTCGCTCAAGTGCCTGCTCCTCGGTCTTTGCCCGAACCAAAGCTACCACCTTAGTGGAAGGTGACTTACGAGTAAGTAGATCTCGGAGGATATGTGCCCCTAGGAAACCAGTGGCTCCAGTAAGGAACACGGTGGGTTCACTAGTAAGCATGGCTTCGGTACGCTGAGGGAATGTCTTAGGCAGTTCATTCACAAGCTGAACGGCATCCTTTGAGTACTCATCATCCGGCTCATTAGCAGCTTGCACGGCTAGAGACTTGTCGTCGCTAGTCGTGAGTGATTCCAAAGATAGCAAGCGATCAATCTCGGCAGCAAATCCTTTAAGGGTCGGGCTGCGGAAGATAGCATTCATACTGATGTCAATAACACGCCACTTACGACGAAGCTCAAAGAACATTTGTTGTGCGAGGATACTATGTCCACCGAGATCAAAGAAGGAGTCATCCGGTCCAATCATGCGAGATGTCACATTGGGAATGAGCTTGGCCCAGACTTGAGCCAGAGTCTGCTCGGTTTCGGAGAGAGCCTGCATAGCAGAGGAGCGACGGCGGGGTGCAGCGGCGCTCAGCTCTGCAGTGTCTGGGAATGGAAGTGCGGGCTTGTCGATCTTGCCGTTCGGGTTCAGAGGCATACGCTTAAGGGGAATGATAACGGTCGGGACTGCGTAAGTAGGGAGCTTACTCCGGAGATGCTCACGAGCATCATCACGGAGAGGACGGAAGCGTCGCAACAGACCAACCATACCCTCGGAATCAGAGTCGTCATCCTTCAGGCCCTTGCTCTCCAACCATGAGGCCCACTTGTTCATATCGGGTACAAAGTAGCTGACCAATGTGGGTTCCTCGTCTTTATCTCTTCGCACCAAGGTCACATTTTCACGGACTAGAGGGTGCTGAGAAAGATGTGTGTCAATCTCTCCAAGCTCAATACGGAAACCACGAATCTTCACTTGATCGTCGGCGCGGCCAGAGCATTCAACATCTCCAGACGGTGTGTAACGGCCTAGATCACCACTGCGGTAAAGGCGATCACGAGGACCAACATAGAATTGGCGCCAGGGCTCGTTCTTGGATTCGGCCTGGTCTTTTTCCACCCAGACATCGGGCTTAACGAACCAGTTGGTAAGGAACTTCTTCGCACTCAGATCCGGAGAACCAAGATAACCCTCCGCAAGACCCGCTGCACGAACGTAGATCTCGCCAACCTCTCCAACAGCGCAGAGACGAGTTGGGTCATGACGGTTGACAACAAGCATCTGCACATCCAACATTCCGCGACCAGCCATAATCACATCCTTCATATTGTTCAAATAACCCTCATTGCTGGCGTAGCTAGGGATTTCAAAGTAGCTGACAGCGCGCTGGGTCTCAGTTGTTCCGTACATGTTCACAATGCTGACATTGGGCGCAAGTCCCTGGAGTGAGCGACAGTCACGCTTAATCAGAATGTCACCCACAAAGAATGCGTGGTGAAGAGCAGGGAATTGAGCAGAAGCACCACCGACAAGAATCTGACCCATGGCAGGCGTAAGGTGAGTGATGGTGGCACCATATTTCTGCATCCATTCAGCAAGCTTTTCATTTTGGATGTCCTCCCGAGCGGGCACGAGGAGTTGAGCACCCAAAAACAATGGGGTGAAAATGTCTCTCTGGATAGGGTCGTGAGCAATACCACTAAGCATAGTAAACTTCTCGTCTGGGGTAAGCTTGAATGTCTCAGACATCCAAGGGAAATAATAAGCTAGAGAGAAGTGTCGTCCCCGAACACCCTTTGGCCGACCTTCCGACCCAGATGTGAAAGACAGGGTCGGGATAGAATCAGGGCCAACGACGACGCCCGTAGACTTGGACTTCAGTGCAACTTCGTTGGCGAAGACATCCTGACCATTGACAGATCCACCGGCGAGAGTTCCATCATCAAGTAGGGCAAGCGCAGGGATTTCAGTGCGGAGCTCAAGATTCTCATCAATGAAATTACGCACGATGTCCGATAATTCACCTGAATCTCTTGTAGCCTTGGCAATGTTCACCAAAGCGCGAGGACGGGCAACATCAAGATAGATGTTCTGACGTTCCGGGGGATAGGCAGGATCAATAACGGAGAAAGTCGCACCGGCTTTCAGAATTCCCATAACGGCAACCACCAGGTCCACACCACGGTAGGCATAAACCATGACAACCTCTCCTCGCTGAATTCCAGAGCGTACTAGATGATGACCGAGAATGTTGGAGGCCTCGTTGATTTGGCGATAGGTGAACTCGCGGTGAGGGGAGTTGGCTGACTGAGTTTCAACCACGCACAGCTTTTCTGGGTGTCTTTCCGCATTGGCAGTAAAAATGTCGTGGATGGCACCACGGAAGTTAGACCAGTGTAAATCGGATGTTGGATCGGGCAAGAGTGCGCGCTGATCTTCGGTCATCAGGTCAAGACGTCCGATAGCCTCGTCCGGGTTGGCAGCAGCATTGCTAGCAATACTGGCAAGTTGCTTCAAAATGAAAGCAATGCGAGCACTCGAGAAGAGACGCTGGTTGTAGTATGCGCCCAATTCGACCTCAGCTGAACCCGGTGCAACGTTAACCACCAAATCAGTAGTATCGAAGGTGTTTGCAGGGTAATCTTGTGAGGCAGCAGGGGCATCATATGCGGCGAATCGGAAGAGGACAGGGGTGCGTTCGGACTTGGACTTCTCCTGGATGTACGAGCGAAGGCTGCCCAAGGGCACAATTTGGGAAGACCCATCCTTATATTCCTGCAAGTCTTTTAGCGTTAGGATTTATAGCAAGGAACATACATCCATACCTTGTCTACTTTCTTATAGAGCTGGGCAAATGACTCCGAGGTATCAATGGGGACCCGGACGACGAATGCACGGCCATCCTCGTTGGAATTTGTGCCCACAGCGATGTCCTCATCACCAGTCAATCGCGCTACCAGAATAATGAAGGCAGTCAGGAAAGCAGTGAAGTCGGATGACCCCGAAAGCTTCTCGTTGGGGAGACGAAGAGACTCAAAAGCTTCAATGACTCTCTTGCTGTCGGGCTTCTGTGAATCGGGATAATCGCGAGTCAATGGAGAGACAGTCAGGTTATTCAACCTCTGTGCCCATATCTCTAGGCGGTCCTGCAAAGAGGCCGCTCCTACAGCCATGATTGCAGTATGTGAAAAGAGTTGGAGAATGAAAGGCACGATGACTCAATATTAAAATTACCCCCCCATAGTGGAAAAGTCCGATCTCGCCGCTATTTCTGCCAATGAGAGTTGGGGCACTGATTAGCTGTCTTTCCCCACACAGTATTCACCGCCTTGTACATGGTGGGGTGGCGTCGGAGTTTAGGTTTCTCCATCCCGGCAGAATGGGGTGTTATATGTTATATATTGTACTCCTTATTAGTCCAGGAATACTATTCATCTTCAATATCCTCGCTGCATATGTTGATATATTGAGGCTATTAATATCCCATACAGCCGTCTCTTATGTGCAAAGAGTAAAATCTTAACCAACTCAACGTCTGTGGTTTAGTAGAAGTGATATATATATATTACTATAATATCACCTAAAAGTCATTCCTATAGCTCCACTGATCTAGGGTCAAATGTAGCTATCTGAGGAGATATAAAGTGTCCATGAATAACTGCTAGAATGTTGCTTCTGAATGAACACAACATGCGTATCAGAAATAGTATCTATACTTTATTTTCCAGAGCTTCTAGAGGCTCACGGGTCACTCCCCGGATGAGGTCATTTGGAACGCATTAGCTGAGTCAGCATTGGGTGAAATCAACCTTAGGCAAGCAAGGAATGTCCTAACTTGAATGATTATTATCAAAGGTTCTATTTTGGTATTTTGTTCATTATTTGAAACCAGGGTGAAATCAATCCAGTCTAAAGCATTTAGATGGTAGTGCGTTGAGTTGTCTTCATAGGTTTTATTGCCAAGACTGGATTGGCCCGGAGTTTCAGGAGAAGCACCGCGGTTTGAAGCCACATTTGCTTTTTCATTGCTTGATTTGATTTGAATGTTGGAAAGATGATCCCTCACAGGAGTACAGCTCTCCTGTCTGTAATTGTTTTCGTCGCGCTTTTACTTTTCATTTTCTCGTCCTCTCCGGTTCCTGATGCCGAGCAACCAGCCACAGGCCCAGCCAAGTTTGTGCCCACACCAAAACTACCGTCATTAAGTAACTTCCACCTTCCCTCATTCCGCCCTCCATCCCACGAGCAGCCCGAGGAACAGAACAACAGTACACATGGCGAGTCGAAATGGTACAGCACCCTTGAATGGTTGAACCCATTCTCCTCTGCCATCACATTGGATGAGAACCGCTCCGTCCTCCCTCCCCTTCGCGAACGTCGACCGATCTACACGTACTACGATGCGAAATACAACCCCAACAAGTCCAATGGCAAGGATCTCAGGGACTTGCAGAATGCTGACGCGGAATTGCTGCTCGCGTGGCGTCGGGCATGGTTTGCGCAAGGATTCAAGCCCGTGGTATTGACTCCGGGTGATGCGATGAAAAACCCCAACTATGAAATTGTTCAGAAGTTGAAACTCTCGCCCAAGACACAGAACGAAGTGTTCGCCTGGCTTGCGTGGGGGCATATGGGTACCGGCTTGCTCGCCGACTTCCACTGCTTCCCCATGGCGCGTTATGATGATCCCATGCTCTCCTATCTTCGCCGGGGGAGTGTCCCGGAGTTAATTACCCGATTTGAAAACCTTAAGAATGGCCTCTACGCGGCGGACAAATCGCGGATCGATGCGGCCGTTCAGACTGCAGTCCAGAAGCTCGAGGATAAAACTCAGTCCTTTATTGATCTGATTTCACCAGAATCGTTCAAGGTTGAGCCTCCGAGCGCTTTGGCCTTCTATAAATCTGCAGCGATTACATCTCGCTACTCCTCCGTGCATGAAAAGATGACCCAGAACCCTGCGAGTGGGCAGCGGGCTCTTGTTCAACTGATTAACGCCCACTTGCACAATCACTTCCATAGCTCCTTCCCCGCCGGACTGGCCGTGCTGAAACCGTTCCCTCAGCATACTACCGCGCTGGTGGAACCTGCCCTTCGGCTGGCAAAGGCCCTCACCCAGTGCCCCGAGTCGCCCATTCCCGACTCTTGTCCACCGAATGAACCCGAATGTCACCCATGCGGGTCTGCGAAGCAGCCCATGCGTATCAGCCAGCCTTCGACCTATAAGAATACTACCTTCCTGTTCACCATCGGCACCCTTCCTCACCCCTACACCCTTGTTAGCCTGCAGAAGAACTCAGAGGAGATCACGACACCACAAGTTCGCCGGGAGACCGAGCGCGACGCATGGTTGTCTGAGGTGACCAAGGAACATCTTGGACCCGAATTGGGTTCTTCATACCGGGGAATTATCTTCAAGCAGGTTGTCGCAGGCGATGATGCTGTCGGGACTTCTTTGTGGATGACAGTGGAATCTCTCCCTGCACAGGCAGGCCAGAGTCTCCCCTCAGAACTCTTGGACGAGTTTGAATGGCAATTTGGTTTTAAGATCCCTCGTGGGGGTAAGATTGATCCCGCAACTGAGAACGACAAAGAAACCGCCAAGAGCGCGCAGGATCGCACACCAAGCGAGCAAGGAGTCGGAAAAGAATATGAACTGATTCAAAAGGCCCGCGAGGTAATCAAGACCAAGGGAACGAAACCCATCAACGTCAAGGATGTTGTTGAGGCTTGGAACCTTGCAGATACAGAGGTTTGGCGTTTTGTTAAGGCCTATCGGTATGTCATTGGCTTGTGTCCTTCATAACCTCTTGCTAACTCCATTAGGGCTCGAAGCATTGTAGAACGCCAGAAGTGGGAAGAAGAAGAGAAACCTTTTGCTGGCTCGAGGCAATAAGCTATCTATGGACTATTTTCTTTCATATATGTATACCACATTTTTTTTTTTGGGTTTGGCGTAATTCAATAGAAATTTCATTAGGCCATTGATATTGTGATAATATAAAACCCATGACTTTCCGAGGTCGAAGATTGGTCAAGGCGGAACCCGACGGTCATCCGACTTGCCATCGGACTGTGGCGATCCCCGCGATAAAAACAATCTCCAAGTGGGGTCGGAAGCTGTTATCGAAACTCTGGAGAAACAGATCTCATCGCCACATGGGTATACTTCCCCTCCTTTGATACTAAATCGTGACTTCATTATATTAATATATTTAGGTGAAACCCAACTCGCTATAAAAGCAAGATGCACACCTGTCGCCCTTGAAAGCCTCATAAATTCCAACACATTTTCACCATGGCGCCGGGAATCCTAGAAACGGAATCCACGGTCGCAGTTGATAAGCTCAGCCTGTCCGCATTGACTGAGGACTGGGATGACACTATTCGGTTCTATCTCAACGGCACCAAGGTTGCGATAGACACGATCAACCCGGAAGTGACTCTACTCGAATACCTGCGGGGTATTGGGTTGACTGGTACAAAGCTTGGATGTGCCGAGGGAGGCTGTGGTGCTTGCACTGTGGTGAGTTTCAGCCAACTATATTGCGTTACGCACTTGGTGCTAACCAGATGGTTATATGGTCAATAGGTCGTCTCCCATATCAATCCTACAACGAAGAAAATCTACCATGCCTCCGTGAATGCCTGTATCGCCCCACTCGTTAGCATTGATGGGAAACACGTCATAACAGTCGAAGGAATTGGAAATGCGAAGGACCCTCACGCGATCCAGCAGCGGATTGCGGTTGGTAATGGAAGTCAATGTGGTTTCTGTACTCCTGGAATTGTCATGGTATGCCAACATGGTCCTTTCGCTTGATTCTTTATTATTATTATTTTTGAAAGGGATCGGAAGTTGACTGATAGCTTCAAGTCTCTCTATGCCTTGCTGCGAAACAACCCGTCTCCCTCGGAACACGACGTTGAAGAAGCCTTTGATGGAAATCTTTGCCGCTGCACGGGTTACCGACCTATTCTAGATGCTGCTCAGAGCTTCAACTCAAGTAACAACTGCGGGAAAGCCTCTGCCAATGGTGGGTCGGGCTGCTGCATGGAGAAAAAAGGCTCCGGTGGTTGCTGCAAAGGGCCTTCCAACAATGCCGAGAACGAGACAGTCGATTACAAATTTCCTGCGCCGGAATTCAAGCCGTACAGCCCAGATACAGAATTGATATTTCCTGCCGCATTGAGGAAACACGAATATCGGCCCTTAGCATATGGCAACAAGAGGAAGAAGTGGTACCGACCAGTGACTGTCGCGCAACTGTTGCTGATCAAGAACGCCCACCCAGACGCCAAACTAATTGGTGGAAGCACGGAGACGCAGATTGAGATTAAGTTCAAGGCGATGCGATACGCGGCCTCCGTCTACCTGGGAGATATCCCTGAATTGCGACAATTTACCTTGCACGACGATTTCTTGGAAATCGGCGCAAATGTGTCTTTAACAGACCTCGAACACATATGCGACCAAGCGGTAGAGAAATACGGCGATGTTAGAGGTCAACCCTTTAGAGCGATCAAGAAGCAGTTGCTCTATTTTGCTGGGCGACAGATCCGAAATGTCGCTTCTCCGGCGGGTAACCTGGCCACTGCATCACCCATCTCTGATCTCAACCCAGTTTTGGTAGCCACCAACACTATACTTGTGGCCAAGTCACTTGAAGCCGAGACTGAAATTCCAATGACCGAATTCTTCCAAGGATACAGAAAGACTGCCCTCGCCCCCAACGCGATCATCGCTAGCTTGCGCATTCCAGCAGCGAAGGCGAAGGGCGAGTACATGCGAGCCTACAAGCAGGCCAAGCGGAAGGATGATGATATAGCTATCGTCAACTCCGCGTTACGCGTGACCCTTTCTGAGACTAATGATGTGGTCAGCGCAAATCTTGTGTTTGGTGGTATGGCAGCTATGACCGTCTCAGCGAAGAATGCCGAGGCATTTTTGGTTGGCAAAAAGTTCACGAACCCCGCAACTCTAGAGGGCGTCATGAGCGCACTGGAGCGGGATTTCAACTTGCCATTTGGAGTTCCTGGAGGTATGGCTAGTTACCGGAAGTCTTTGGCTCTGGGCTTCTTCTACAGATTTTACTACGATGTACTGTCAGGACTCGATGTCAAGGCTTCGGATTTAGATCCAGATGTTGTTTCCGAGATTGAAAGAGCAATTTCCACAGGAGCAAAGGATCTTGAGACTTCCGTCGCCTATCAACAGAAGATTCTTGGACGAGCGACTCCGCATGTTGCGGCGCTGAAGCAGTCTACAGGAGAGGCTCAATACACAGATGATATTCCTGTGCAACAGAATGAGTTATTCGCCTGTATGCTTCTGTCTACCAAACCTCATGCCAAGATACTCAGCGTTGACCCGTCCATTGCATTGGAAATTCCGGGTGTTGTCGACTACGTAGATCACACAGACCTTCCTAACCCTCAGGCAAATTGGTGGGGGCAACCCAAGTCCGATGAGCTTTTCTTTGCTGTTGATGAAGTTACTACTGCTGGTCAACCAATTGGTGTGATTCTGGCGACTACCGCTAAACTCGCCGAGGAAGGCATGAGGGCTATCAAGGTTGAATATGAAGACCTTCCGAGAATCCTTACGATTGAGGAGGCCATTGAGGCAGAGTCGTACTTTGACCACCATCCCTACATCAAGAGTGGAGATACTGAGGAAGCTTTCAAACAGGCTGACCACATCTTCACTGGTGTATCGCGAATGGGTGGCCAAGAGCACTTCTACCTGGAGACCCAAGCCTGTGTGGCAATTCCAAAGCCGGAGGATGGTGAAATGGAGATTTGGAGTGGTACACAGAATCCCACCGAAACGTGAGTATCAATATATTTGACTGTTCCACCGCTGAAATACAGCTAATAGTTCATAGACAAGCCTATGTCGCTCAAGTGACAGGGGTATCTGCGAATAAAGTCGTGTCGCGCGTGAAGCGACTTGGTGGTGGCTTCGGCGGCAAGGAGTCGCGATCTGTTCAGTTGGCTGGTATTTGTGCCACTGCCGCTAAAAAGACAAAACGACCTGTGCGGTGTATGCTTAACCGTGATGAAGATATATTGACTTCCGGTCAACGTCACCCATTCCTCTGCCGATGGAAGGTTGGTGTGACCAAAGAAGGAAAAATCCTTGCGCTTGATGCAGATGTATTCGCCAATGGAGGCCACACGCAAGATCTCTCTGCTGCCATTGTGGAGCGAAGCTTGTCGCATATTGACGGGGTGTATAAAATACCGAATGTCAATGTGCGCGGCCGGATCTGCAAAACCAATACGGTTTCAAACACAGCTTTCCGTGGCTTTGGCGGTCCCCAAGGCCTGTTCTTTGCCGAGTGTTATGTATCAGAGATTGCTGATCATCTGAACATTCCGGCCGAAGAAGTCCGGACCATCAATATGTACAAGTCGGATGATACGACGCATTTCAATCAGACTCTCACCGACTGGTATGTGCCTTTGATGTACAAGCAAGTGTTGGAGGAGAGCTCTTACAACGAGCGTCGGAAGGCTGTTGAAGAATACAATGCGCAGCACAAGTGGTCCAAACGTGGGATGGCGATTGTGCCAACCAAGTTCGGTATCTCTTTTACAGCTCTCTTCTTGAACCAAGCAGGAGCTTTGGTTCACATCTATCACGATGGAAGTGTTCTCGTAGCACATGGCGGTGTTGAAATGGGACAAGGCCTCCATACAAAAATGACCATGATCGCCGCCGAAGCGTTGCAAGTTCCTCAGGCGAGCGTCTTCATTTCTGAGACAGCTACTAATACAGTGGCCAATACCTCCCCGACCGCTGCTTCAGCGAGCTCCGATCTCAACGGATATGCTATCTTCAACGCATGTGAACAACTTAACGAACGCTTACGTCCTTTCCGTGAGAAGATGCCCAACGCGACCATGAAAGAACTTGCCCACGCGGCTTACTTCGCCCGTGTCAACCTCTCTGCACAAGGATACTACCGTACCCCTGAGATCGGCTACGTATGGGGCGAGAATACCGGCCAGATGTTCTTTTACTTCACCCAGGGTGTCACCGCAGCCGAAGTCCAGATTGACACACTGACAGGTGATTGGACGCCTCTACGCGCCGATGTGAAGATGGATGTGGGTCGCAGTATCAATCCCTCTGTAGACTATGGACAGATCGAAGGTGCTTTTATACAAGGGCAAGGCCTCTTCACCACTGAAGAAAGTCTTTGGCACCGTGCCTCTGGTCAAATCTTCACCAGAGGTCCGGGCAACTACAAAATCCCTGGCTTCCGGGATATCCCGCAGATTTTCAATGTGAGTTTGCTTAAGGATGTGGAGTGGGAGAATTTGCGCACCATTCAGCGTTCTCGTGGAGTTGGCGAGCCGCCCTTGTTTATGGGTAGTGCGGTCTTCTTTGCCATTCGTGACGCCTTGAAGGCTGCACGTAAGCAGTGGAACATGAATGACGTGCTGTCTTTGGAGTCCCCTGCTACCCCTGAGCGTATTCGGACTAGCTGTGCTGATCCGATCATTGAGCGGGTGAGAGTGCAGCCCAAGGAGGGGGAGAAGAGCTTCTTTGTTGCCATATAGCGGCGATGAATTTACGGCCGATGAAATTGTATGAGTTTATGCCATGTCTTGGGAGTTTTTGTTTAGTATAGTCAGACCAATATACCACAGTCTTTCCATTCTAGTTTATATCAATCTCGTAAGACGGTATGGTGGTTTAGTTTTAGGACTTCGTACCTGTACAAAGTATAACATATCAGAAGTTATGATCTGAAATCAAGTGGCATTCTTGATTCTAAACTGGAATTGCTATCTTATTGGGAATCATTATTATAGAACACCAGCTCAATATTGGTAGAAAGAAATGGCCAAGGCACGTACAATGAAATGTTGGAGATGGCATAAAGAGAGAGGGGGAAATACAGGGCACCGTTCCCAGAGAAGCGAATATAGAGGAAGACAGGAATGCATTTCCCATCATCGCTTCACATCATATTCAACGTAGCTACTTCCCCTCAGATCAGGACCTGAGTCCAACTGCAATGCATGTTCATAATTCCTTTGCCCTGCGAAACCAACCTTCTCATCACCATATGACGGCTCAGTCCGCACAGGAGCGGAGGTTGCCGCCGACGCCGTGTACTGAGGAACAATGTTTCCATCCCCAGACAAATTCCTCGGAACAGCAGTGAGTGGAACTTCAGTAAAACCATTCTGATCGTGGGAGGGTGGCCCACCATTGGGAATGGGATCCAAGACGTGACCCTGGCCTCCCTCGCCGCGCTGCTTCTCGCGACCCCAGAAAAGCATCATGGCGCGAGTGATACCGATCAAGGCGATGAATACCCAGAGCAGGAGAATGATGCTGGCGATGATGGCTTCCACTCGCACGGCTGCTTCTAGTTTGTTGATCACGCTGGTGACGACCTCTGTGATCTTATTGGCTGTCTCATCGCCGGAATCGGCGAGGAAACTGTCAGAGGGATTAGCGCTGTCGTTGATGCTGGAGGAGGCACCGGCGGAGAATGTGTCATTTGGGAGAGTGGGAAGAGAGATGTGTGCGTGTTCAACTACCCAGTTCAGACCCTTTTGGAGTGCCTCCGCTTTGAGGCCGAGGAGGCACTCGTATAACTCGTATACGGGCTCTTGAAGTAGGGTTCCCTTGAAGGTCTCATTTAGAACGCTGGATGTGTTATAGATGAAGAAATTCAGAGTTCCGTTTATGGCTTGGGTGCTGCTATTGACCCACCCGAAGACATCGTGGTTTAGATCGGTGTCAAGATTGATGATCGCCTCGTTGGCGTCGGTGGCCCAATCTGTCGAGGCACTTTCCAGTGCGTCAACAACCTTGTCTGCGAATTCTCCCACCTCGGCACTCAGTGCGGGAACGGTTTGCTTCACCGAGTGCAGGAGAAGATATTGGCATAGACAAGAGAACAGTGCTGCCAGTGCGAGAGCCAGCACGAAAAGAGCAGGGAGAGATGTTGCATAGGCAATCGCCCATCGGACGAGGATCTGACGGCGGCTGTTGCTAAAGTGACTTGCTGCCTTGATACCCGCAGCGGCGGTGTATGGCCGCGAGACAATATAGACGACGTCCATTGGATCATGGGCTTCCTTGCGAACCAACTGGGAGCGCTCTTTCATTGAGCGCCATCGGCGAATTTCTTGCCACGCAATTGGAATGCACACCAATATGGCAGCAACGATGAGGACAGCAATAAAAATATTGCGTGCTTTTAGTGCTAGCTCGGTAACCCCGTCGAAGAAATTGTTGATTCCTTTGTTGTCGTTGCAGAAGGTCAACTGTTTCTTGGCAGGGACCGGGAGGGCGGACCGGTCAAAGCTGTAAGTGCCCAAAGTTTCATTGACCAAGTCCTTGACTTCTTGAAAGGGCGTTTGGAAGAGGGTCTTGGTGTAATTCTGGATCTCTTTGAAGTTGGGAAGGACGATGCTGTCCAGCTTTTCCACTGTGCGGTTGACTGATGACGGAAGAGACAAGTTCTCCAGCGTACTGATTGTACTGTTGAGGTTTATTGGGCTAGGATCATCCGAGAACACGCTGGCCACTTTGTTGATCGTCTCGAGAAATGAGTTCAGTTCGTCTTTGTATTTATCAACGGTACTCTCAATGTCGCCGCTGATTGTCTTGAGGGTTTTGTTGATCCACTCAGTAGCTTCCTTGATCAATTCGATCCCGGCTCCTACTGTGCCACGGACGGCCATTGTAATAAGACAGGCGTAGGTGGAGTACATCATATTTATGACAAACCAGAGGATCTCCCCAACGCCTGTGATAGTCATCAACAACACAGACTTCAGAGCAGAAACGGCCTCATCAACCGAGGAAGCCACGAGCTCGTTGGTACCCTTAGATAGGTAGTAGGGCATCGAAGCCATCGCACTACCCATGGATTCCACCGACGTGCATGCAGAGAGGGCCTCACGCTTGGCGGAGGCCATGTTGGATTGCAAATCGCCAACTGCAATCAATACCCGGAAAAGAACAAGCAATAACAGTATTGTCCATCGATTGATCCATACTTGTGAAAGTCGAGCCCGCAAACCGAGGTAGGGTGTGAGACCATCTGGATGAAGAGGAATTATCCGTCCCGTGCTTGAATCGTGGGCGCCATAAGGCGGGAGCAATGGAAAGATCGAGCGCCCTGATCGGGTGAATACCATCGTAGCGGCCTTGTGTTTTCGAAGGTGATAGTTGTCAAATATTTCAGGTGTGATCTCGTCCAGCGATGACCAGAAATACTAGGAGGCGTAATTAGATCGAGGAAAAGATGTGCGAAATCAGCATCAAATGGAGGGTTCTTAAAAGAACATAAAGAGAGCAAAGAAAATAATCAAAACTATTGGAGGGACATGCTGTATAGGATTTCTTATAGATGTTGAATGAATGGTGAGGTCAATAGATGAATAGATCGGGTGGTAGACTGAGAACAATGGAATCAAAAATAAAACAAGGGACAATGAAGCGTCAAATATAGCAGCTGTCAAACGTCACCTGAAAATTGTCAGACATCCTGAGCGGCAGCAGGAATTACAATGGCCCAATATTGCTCACAAAGAAGCGGTTTAATGGACCTTGGCAACTCCGTATAGTCGAGATAGCCCCAATCAGAGTGAGCCATGACTATTTCGAAACAAAGAAAATATAAAAATAAAGACTGACGATAAGGGGCCTGTGCAATTGTTTGTTTCATGAAGCATCAAGGCATGTCACTGGCTACTGTGAGTGTCAAAAGCGCCGGAGTGGACAAACAGCCAAATATAGCATCCGTGGGCGCTTAGCCGCCCACGACTGAGAGCCAATAGCCGGACAGCGAGGGATGGTTGATCTAACATCATGCTTGTTCCCGTGTCATGTGAATAGATGATTATGTACCGAATACTCCGTTTGGCATTCCTTGGTGAGTGAGTCTTTATTTTGGCTGTTGTGACTCGGTGTGAATCGAATCACAGAAATCGACATTCGAGTGCAGAGAAAAATCCCGATGCGTACAATTTTTGATAATAGAAATATATGTAAACATATTGCAATATATCCCATCATTATTATAGATCATTCATTAAGTCCATCAAGGGTTGGAACGTGTTAAAGAAGTACTTGATGCTAATTCGAGTTGTGGTCGCCGGCGTGAAAAATACAAATCACGTGATATTCACCAAGTCCACGCAAAACGTGACCACACGTGACGGAGTCGCACCCTAACAACTTTAAACATACCTTGAATTCCTTGACAGAAAGACTCACGATTTATAATTAACGTCTTGTTCTATGATTATTAGTGATATATGACTATATGAGTATTCGGCTTTTCTGTGGTATATTTTCAACCTTTTCCTTAGGTTCGTGCTTCAACGTGTGTTTTTCAAGCCTTCCACGCAAAGACGATTCATAGAAAGCAATGCCCTGAACATGAAATTAAATTCCTCGATCTATACATATAACTAAGAAAGATTAACCAGCTTAATATGGTAGCGCAGTATGCTGTCAAATCCTTGTTGTGGTCCACGTCCACGTTCGCGCGACCTCTGAGCCTCCATGCCAGTTCTTTCACTTCCTTGATGTAGTGGGCTATTGAACGGAGGCCGATGCTGTGGGATATGGAAGCCCAATACCGATAGATCAGATGACGAGTAAGAGGTATGATGTCGTCGTCGTCGTCGTCGTCGTGTGAACCTTGTGTATTGATGACGAGCAAGTCGTATCGTTATAAACTTTCCAACATTGAATTGCATCGTGAGGCCGTTTGCTCAATACGGCGGCCTGGTATCACGTATTGGTCCTTTGGGGACGGAACCTAGCGGAAACTTCTGGCTCAGATCAGCTTTAACTTGAGACTATTTGCCAAGTAATCGTCGGGACGGTAACCGTAGCTTCATAATAAGCATTAATCCACTGCAGGATGACTGGTTGATCCCTGATGCTTCGCTCGATTCATTTGATCAGTCCCAGAAATAAAACCGTTGAGAAGAGAGACATGTGAGTATCTTCATCTCTGTCACATTTGGCTAGTCGCAACTTCCGATCGAAGACTCTGTTATGGTAGCACGTGCCCACCCCGTTTGTCTTCTCCATTGTTGTCGAATGTCGAAGCCTTGTCCCTCTTCTTATTTTCCCCTCTACCCATCTCAACCTTTTCTGATCCTCCTTTATTTCAGATCTCTTCCCCACGCATACACAGCAGCTTTGGTTTGTACATCACGTGTTTCATCTCTTTGAATGATCAAAGCCATTGTATCAAAGAACCTGTCTCGTCTCATGCTGCATACCACAGAGGCACGAGCCAACATTTGAAACCCCACACAGTAAGTTGTCACACATCCTCACGCGTTGGTTCATCACCCATGCCCATGGATCGCACCAAGATTAATTCTCAGGATACTGAAAGGCTGTGTGCCTTGATCATGCAATAGCAAAATCATTTGCTGTGAGTACATATATCTCATAGCTCTGTCGACTGATGCATGGTTGAGGAGACACGCACATGCACAATCTCTCACATGAGACCAAAGCTCACAGCCTTCAGTATCTTGATGACTGTTCTTGGCAAACCAATCCTTGCAAAAAGGAATTATCCATCTTGTATTTGGCTGATGTATCTTGCAGCGAGACATCTTTGTTGAAAGCCGAGGACAATCTTGGGATGAAGAGAGCCCTGCGCCGACCGAGGAGTACTTGGTAAGCTCTTCATGCATCCCCATTTACGAGCGTCAACTGACGCGTTAGAAGAATCATTGAGCAGTAAGAAACTGCTAGTCACACCTGTCAAGACATATGTAGGCTATTGCCTATCATCAAGTGAGTCTTGTGAAGCATGGTATCAGGTGCAGCTAATTCATAGTTAGTCTGAGTCCAACACACAAAGTCAACAGTTCATTATCATACCAAAACATACGAAATGGCCCCCATGGTCAGCAAGTCTGCTGATCGTGAAATTTCACCCCACCCTCCCCGACTTGCCCCAGGAGAGCAGCATCAGCATCCATGCGACGATGAAATCGAAACCCAGCAATACCCCGAGAACGCTCAGCTCGCAGCCATAGAGCAAACTGCACTTAAAGTCCGAGTTCCAGAGCTGCTTAACCCTCAGGCAAGCCAAGCTGAGACAGAGCTGCCCGATGCAAGCTTACCGGAAGATGAAGATATTGGATCGACTCGGCTCAACCTACACAAGTGGGCTGATGGACGGGCTGGGCTCAATCTGGGCGATGGAATCACTCTGGGAAATGGCCAAATGAGGTTGAACATTTATGACTGGCGGACCTCTGCTACGAAATTCATCGTGGAGAACAACCCCACGGGTAATCCCAAGTGCGATCTCGATGCAGTCATCACAGAATCCGATAACATACGTGTTGACTTTAAGGCCACCACTGATTACCCAGATGGCGTGATGGGGGTCTTGGGGGCGATTAAAGCAATCTTCACAGCTCCAGAGGAGATTGGCATGAGAAATATTGAGACTGGCTTCGCACCGGCCTATCGAGAGTCAAAGAACCCGAACAGAGACAGCTATTTCATCAAATGGACAACCCCGTGGGAAACATTTGGATGCCGAGTAAGCTGGATGAAGGCGGAAGAAGATTCACAGTCCATAAGGTTCAAGTTTGTGAATGGCAAGAATGCCGGACCTGAGGAACAGTTGATGGTCACTGTTGATGAGAATGACCGGTTTTACCAGCAAATCTCTGACAATGACCCTGTCAGTATAGACACTTCACCAATCATGGGACTTAACTGACATATCACAGAACACTTATGGCAAATGGATGGCGCTTCCGGTCCGGATTTGGCTGCGCACTCAGTGGCTGGTGGCAATAACTGGCGATGTAGACAACGGACTGTTTGGGAAGTTATCTGTCGGTGGCAATTACCCTTCCTCTATCAAAAAGAGGAACAAAGGCAGGAAGCAATCAAAGAAATTGCCAAAGAGAGCCCGGGAATCTTTCAAAGCTGAAGGAAACTCAGAGGGTGAAAAGTCAAATGCCTCGGTTGCGCCAAGTCCTGAGCCATTAGTGGTAGGGCAAGAAAATACGATGGAGACAATGGGAAGTCATGAAGTCAAGGAAGAGTCGACCCAGCAAGAGTTGACCAAGAGGGTTTCTACACTCAGAATTGATACCCAGAAGAGTAACAGAAGGTCAAAGGAAAAGGGTAGGGGCGAGTGCACACCTGATTTGTCTGGTTCGTCTGTTTCACCTTCCGACTCAGGAAAGAAGGATGCGGACGAGTTCACAGGTCGACCTGGTAACCAGCGTGAGTTACTTCCGGGAGTGCAGGACATCGCTCGACAGGATGTCGCGACTGAACAGCAACTTGCGGCAGTTGCTGATCAACAAACAGTCAATGCCTCCCGGTTCCCTAAACCCAGTGACTTGACTACCCCATTGTCTTCATCATTCGAGACAGCCCGAACCCACCTCTCCCCCAACACTCCCTTCCCCTCATCCGCGCTTTCATGTTACTTCACGCCTACAACCATTCCATGGAAGGAATACGCGGTTGATGGGGAAGATGGAGTGCATGCGGAAGAAAACGAGCCAGCAGAGATTTCGGATCGGCTGTCTCTTACTCCGCGGGGGGATGAGGTTGGGCTTCTGGGATCTGTCTCGAACAACAGGGACGAGGTGTGTTTTTCTGGTAGGTTGCTTACTCTATATCACTATTGATGCAGCTACTTACTATTATTTAGACCCTGAAGAGTACCTTGGCGGCCACAAGGCGCAGCAGCCAGTCTTGCGCCGAAGTGAGTCTTTCGATGTGGCCAGTCTAGGTATGAATCATATTCTCCATATATTCTGATTTGAACCCATGCTAATAAAAGATTACAGGGAAATTCAAGGGCCAGGAAACCGCATCCTCGTTCCCAACGGCCGACCATCCATTGTCCTCCCTTGCCTCTTCTAACTCGTCTACCACAGGCTCGGTCGGGGTTGAGTCAGATGAATCCAGCTCAGATGAAGCCGCCCAGCCTGACGACCAAACCCCAGCCGAGCCTAGCCGACGAGGTAAGAAGAGTGCATACAAGAGGAAGAGGCAGGAGAAACGGAGGCATAAGAGATTGATGAAGCGTCAGCAAGAGCACAGTGAGCAAGAGCACAGTGCTGACGTCTCCCGCCCCGTCTCCAATGCTTCTTCCAAGGGCGATGGACTGGAAGGTCGTTCTCCGTCTCCACCCGAGTCGTTTGAGGATGAAGACCCAACTCCCACAGCCGTGCAGTTCGGCAACATCGGGACCCCATCCCCTGAACCGCAGTTGGACTTGGGCAGGATCGCCATTCTTTGCGAGAAGCAAGGCTGCCAAGTCCACTGTGGTCTCGGGGATGGAGTCTCCGTTGTTTGCCCTAAGTGCGGACCGTTTTCGGAGGTCCGCTACTGCGGCAAGGACCACCTGTGGGAGGATGTCAAGGTGCATTGGCTGGTCTGCGGGACCCGACCAGTCTACCAGCAGCAGCCCTTGGCCGGGTCGATTCCATACGACGTTCTCGTGGGTCCACCAATGCTTCCCAGCCTTCACCAGTGGGACACCCCTGAGCGCCATCGTCAGGCGGTGTGGTTCAGTTCCGCCCGCGACCGAGGTGACTACTTCGTGTTCGCGGAGTGGGACGACCTGGTGAAGGCTGCGGACGCTCCAGGCAGTCACGTTGGGCTGCGATGTTCACCTCGAGTCGCACACATCGTGCGATTCGAGGACGCCAAAGAGAAGGACCGGTTCCGCCGGTGCCTTGCAGTTTGTCTCTTCTGTAAGTTTCATATTAGTTTCAGCTTCCTTGCACTTTGACTTTCAGTTTCATTACACCCTCAGCTTCCTCGCACTTTGATATCATATATCCCTCGCCACTGCCTATTTCTCAGATCATATGCTAACTCTTCTTTCCTTCCAGCGGCGGTTGAACATCCAGCCCTCGTGGACTATGTTTACCGGCTCGTCCGGGACTGGATGCGGGCTCACAACTTGTGGGCCAGTGACAAGGACATGGACAGCATGCTGCGCTACCAGATGGGACTCGAGATGGGTAGCACCCTCGATGAGAGCCGTCTTGGTTTGCGGCATGCTTGTGAGACGGAGTGGGTCGGGGCCAACCGACGCCACTGCGAGGATTTGACCTGCGCGAGCGAGCGTCGCCCCACGTTGCTCGGTTACCAGTGTATGGGGTTGGGCTTCCGGAGAGTGTGCGAATACCTCGAATCCAACTATTGGATTCTGAGGGCGCACCGAGCCACCCATCCTTCGGTGAGCGACGTGGTGGCTCGCACGTGTGGGGGAGGATTCTCGGAGGTCCTTTCAATGGACCGGCGGACCTTCCGCCGTGGCGAAGGTTGGGACGGGGCGGGAACGGGCCCCATGGAGCTGGAGATGCCGTGAAAACGGCCGGTCAGGGTAGGGAGCCGTCCCCTCCCTAGCCCTTTTCTTTGTACCGGGGTCCTGGACCTGGGGTGGCTGGTGTGGAGAGAGATATTATCAGTGTTCAGTCGGTGGATGCCCCCCAGGTCCAGGATGCCCATTTATGTATTACGTTTTCGGTGGCGGCGGGTTGGAGGGGGAGTTGATCGCCCCCTCCTTTGTTTCTATGTACATAGAAACAAAGACCGCTGGGCGGTTGTGACTTTGTCATACTGTGCCTGGTTCATTGTACTTGCTCTAAGTTACCCAGGGTAGATACACATGAGTAGATATGGATGCACTGGTAGATTAATCATGTATGAGAAGATGGATGTATGAAGAATGGGTCTTGGTGGCATGTATTTTGTATCTTTATATCCAATTTTCTATTGGAATCGTGACAGTTCTATGCGTATCTCATCACTTCTCACATATCAAAAGCCTGCAGCTCTTTGTTTACTGGGTGATATACTTCTTCAGCCCTCTCAAGCGCTCCTTGGCAGTCTCGAGAACATCATCGTTCTTGCAAACCGCAAAGCGGAGATAATCCTCAGCAATGTGGGCATTGGCATCAGTGTAGAATTCAGTGGGAGGGATAGCAGCCACGCCAACCTCCTGGATGAGGAACCAGCAGAGCTTGAAATCGCGAGGACGGCTAGCAACATGGGGTGGGAATGGATAGTCAGCTGGGAGCTTTACAGAGGCCATGTTGGCCAGCACAAAGTATCCACCCTCAGGATCAGAGTACTATAGATATAGTGGTTAGCAGAGTAATGGCAGAGTGGACTTGATAATGCTAGTTGTGGGGGGGGGGGGGGGGGGGACGTACCGGGATACCAAGCTCATCGAAGACCTCGCAGAATCGCTCAATTTTACCCTTCATGTCTGTTCGGCTCTCGTCCCAGAAGCCCTCTTTTTCTGCCTGCTCAAAAGCAACAGCAGCAGCTTCCTGGAGAGGAGACACACTGCTGTAACAGATACGGGTGTGGGCACCGGCCACATACTTGATCAAGTGTTCAGGGCCGATGAGATATCCAACACGCCAACCAGTGGCGTAGAAGGCCTTGCCGGCGGAGCCCACGGTCAAAGTGCGCTCGTACAGCTCAGGGGATAGGGTGGCGATTCTAGTGTAGGGAACGTAGAAGAGGCGATCGTAGACTTCATCAGACAAGATGATAAGGTTGTACTTCACACAGAGTTCGCCAATGCGCTCGAGCTCCTCGCGCGAGAAGACCTTGCCAACGGGGTTGTGCCTATGAACGCACAGTTAGTTGGAACCTTAATCGTTTCTCTAAATCAAGGCTGCTTACGGGGAGTTCAGGACCTGGTACAAGGATTAGCTTGAATATCCAGGAAAAATCCGGTGCCGCATGCTTACAATCATCTTGGTCTTCGGGTTCATAGCACGTTCGAGCTCCTCGAAGTCAACAGTCCATTCAGATGCAGGGGAAGTCCTGGTAGCACCATCCTTGGGCGGGTGGAGGGGAACATAGCGGATAGTACCGCCGGGCATCTCAATGTTGCTAATATATCTATCCCGAGTGAATTAGCCTCTCAATACTCTCGCAAAACCGGGCTACTTACTGGTCAAAGAAGGGCTCGAAGATAATGACTTCATCACCATCCTCGATGAAGCCCATAAAGGCACTGAGCATGCCTTTTATTGTCATCAGCGCCAAATGTCCATTTCTAGGTAACTTCCGATTTCTCACCTTCATTTGCGCCAGTTGTGATCGACACTTCGGTCTCGGGGTTCAGCTTCTTGCCAAATAAGGGTGAGTAAGCATCCGCGATAGCCTGTCTGAGGCGAGGGCGGCCCTATATTGTATGAGTACTTGTGTAACCGTGCGCAGATTCGTTGGCGTCCTCTACCTTTGTCGGAGAGTATTGGTTGCATTCCACTCGGTCTAGCGCATCCTTGGCAGCGTCAAGAGCAAACTTGGGAGGGTTATAACCACTAAACAGAAATATTACACGTCAATTGCTATTCCTTGAAGTGACTGGCCCAAATTTGACTCACAAGAACCCTTGACCCATGTTCACAATCGGCTGAACTGGCGAAGCTGCGGCAGCTTCGTTGACGATTGACCTTGAGACGCCATTTAGCATGTCTTTCTCAACTTGTTTTTCCAAACTGCATACCAAACATCCTGGCGCTGTCCTGCCACCCGCTTGGCGGGGCGAAATGGATCGGGTCGCGAAGCTGTTGCCGACATCGCTCTTGCACCGTAATCAAGGCGGGGTAATCTCGAAATGGCTGAGAAGAGGTTCTTGGACCTGCACTGTGATTGAGCAAGAATGTGCCTATAAGGGGAAATCATGGGCGAAGAGAATAAGAAGAGAGGGGATGGAGAAGTTGAATTTCCCCACGGATGGCGTGCTCCGCATTCGGCTCCTACATCCCGAGGTCTTGTTTTTATTTTCGGTCATTCGGAGGTTATATAGTGCATGTACATAGAAGTATCTATACATATCATATCTAAATGTAGTTAGTTAGCCAGTTAACTAGGCAGTTTGTTAGTTTTCAGGCACCAAGGTTGTTACTTACTAATTAACGCGTTGAACGCGTCGCACCCGCTGGTTGACATTATAATTTCTAAGTTTACCTCTTACAAGACTTTTTTTTTTTCAAGAGTAACCTGGATGACCATATCATTCTCCGGTCATCATGGTTTCCTGCCCAATATGCGAAAAATCTGTCTCCCAGTTGAAGATCAATGATCACATTGACTCAGACTGTCAGAGCTTCATCGAAGAACCGTCTTCCTCTCCAGCTGAACTGTCCCTCCAGAAGGGACCAGTCCCAAGCATGTTCCAAACTCCGTCCGCGCGCAAAGCTTCTACCCAGTCGAATGTTCCTAAAGAGTCCCCGTCGCGTCCCACAACGACCCCACGCTCTCTCAACGGCAAGCGATCAGTTATTGAGGAAGCCGAACCCACGCGGGAATGGGATAGGCCAAGGCAAGCAAATGGTGACTCCAAAGAGCCACAAGCAAAACGTTCAAAGATCAACGCGTTCCACAAAGCAGCACCTCTAGCGGAGCGCATGCGACCTAAAACCCTAGAAGAAGTCTGTGGCCAAGAACTTGTCGGACCAAACGGCATCCTACGCGGACTCATTGAACAAGACCGGGTACCGAGCATGATACTGTGGGGCAGCGCAGGAACAGGGAAAACAACAATCGCTCGAGTCATTTCGTCGCTGGTGGGCAGCAGATTCGTGGAAATCAACAGTACCAGTAGCGGCGTGGCAGAGTGCAAGAAGATATTTGCCGAAGCTCGTAGTGAGCTGGGACTTACGGGGAGGAAAACAATTATCTTCTGTGACGAGATTCACCGATTTTCCAAATCACAACAGGATGTCTTCTTGGGTCCGGTGGAGAGCGGCCAGGTCACGCTCATCGGTGCCACAACGGAAAACCCGTCGTTCAAAGTCCAAAATGCGCTGCTCTCACGTTGTCGGACATTTACTCTTGCAAAACTCACCGATGAGGACATCAGTGCGATACTTCATCGGGCTCTCCGTGTTGAAGGCCCGAGCTATTCACCCTCCGAATTGGTGGACGAAGAGCTGATTCAGTATCTCGCTAGATTCGCCGATGGAGATGCCCGCACTTCGCTGAATTTGTTGGAGCTAGCCATGGATCTGTCAAAAAGACCTGGAATGGACAAGGAGGACCTGAAAAGATCCCTGACCAAAACGCTCGTGTATGACCGTGCTGGAGATCAGCATTATGATACGATCTCCGCCTTTCACAAGTCCATCCGAGGGAGTGATCCAGATGCAGCACTCTACTACCTTGCTCGAATGATTCAATCGGGTGAAGACCCCTTGTATATCTCTCGACGGCTGATCGTTGTCGCTTCTGAAGACATCGGCCTGGCGGACAACACTATGCTGTCGCTTGCTATATCCACACATTCAGCCGTTGAGAAGATTGGACTCCCGGAAGCGCGAATAAATCTGGCACACGCTACTGTGGCGATGGCGCTATCGAAAAAGAGTACTCGCGCATACCGTGGCCTGAATAACGCCTTTGCCGCCTTAAACGAGCCCGGAATCGCGGGCTTGCCCATTCCTATTCATTTGAGGAATGCACCAACGAAGCTTATGAAAGAGCTGGGATATGGTGCAGAGTATAAGTACAATCCAAACTATGTCGACGGCAAGGTCCAGCAAGATTACTTACCAGAGGAACTCCTCGGTCGTACCTTCCTGGAGGACTTGGATCTGGGCACGCGAAGAGACTGTGATTTGAACAGTACCTCATATCAAAGAAATTGACAGGTTTCATGATTTGGTTACTTCTTTTCTACACACTACGTTCATGCCCATTCTACCTAAATAGGTAAGATGGAACTATGATATGACAATTTTCATACTTCCGCCTTGGAACCCCGGAAACCACGCGAGGTAAACCTTACCAACCTGCACACTATACCCGATATGGAATCGGCCTCATGGGCCTGGTCGTGCCTGCTGAACCTCGACCGACGCCGTTGTGGCTCCGCTATGAGGTTGAAGGTCCAGCCAGGGTTGAGTTAAGCTTTGGACTTGCTGTTGATGGTACTAGTCCGCTTTGAGTAACTTTAGAGGTGCTCAGGTGTATCTTCTAGTTTCACCTTTACTTGTCATTCTCTACTTCTCTACCCTTGCAAAGTATCGACAACTTGTTCAAGTACAGACATCGTTTTGCTGTCAGGTTCTACCTCGAGCCTGTCCTTTCGCTCTTGCTCTCTTTTTGCACGATCTTCCAGAGTCTCGATCTCTGCTATTCCTCAGCGTTTATCATCGAAACCATGATAGCACAAGCTGCTACGCGGCATCCGCCGTCTCCATTCTCTCCTCGTCGGAACCGCGGGCGCAAATATGCACCGTATACACCGCATACACCGCATACACCGGAGCCTGTCTATCCTGTGAGTTCGATCCATCTCTCATCTCGTCATCCTAAATCCCTATGGCTTTTGTATAAGACTTACACATCTCATGAATTATCGACACTGAATACTGACCATCCAGTTTACCATGTCTCCATTTGCATCAAACATGCCTTCCTTTTCCGATTATAATATCGAACATCCAATGTCACAGACGTGGCAATTGTCGTCAATGATACCAACGGCATATGAGACCCAGCCCATAGATCCAGAGATACTTCAATTGGTCAACGGAATCGAGAACGACCCGATGGACAACCAATCCCAGGAACTTGATGTTCCCGGTGGCCCAGTTTCTTTTGATTCAATGATAGCGATTCCCACAATTGAAGACCAACCACAAAGCTCCGTATCCCCAATATGCTCGAACCCTCGACCCCCGACATTGCCTTCCAGCGGCACTGATTCCTGGTCATGCACCTCAGGTGAACATGACCGTGCTCAAAGTGCATGCAGCAACGGTGAAACCCAGCCATTTATCGAGCCAGTACGCCCGCTCTCACCCACCCTAGAAGAGCTGTATCCCGATGGCTTCGTCCCATGGGATCCAACAGACCCTGCCAAGTCTGACAACATCCGCGAAAGAATCCCGCGTAACCAGGCCGAAATTCAACAACAGCGAGAAGATACCGCTGCACTTAAGAAAGCTGGCGGATCGTGCATGGCATGCTATCGAGCTAAGAAGAAGTGTGGAACAACTACACCATGTCCTCCATGCTCTTCTAAAGGGAATCGAATCTGCTTTAGAAGTTGGGGAGACCTGTGCCTGCTTGGGCCGCCTACGGGAAACTCTCTTATGATCCTTGGCTTCCCATCCCAAGAGGCGAAAGATAATCTGCACCGTATGAGTGAGGAGGTTTTCAAACGCACGAATGCATTCAGAGCGGTGGTCAATATCCGCGAAACATATGGCGGAGCCTGTACCGCATGGAATTGGACAGCAACGAAGTCTAGTATCACACTATCGAGTTGGGCAGAGTGCCCCATCGATGATTTTCTTGCTAGGATTACCAATGCGCTCCCCCTCATGGATCTGGTCAAATTGGAGGAGCAACACAAATCAAACACACTCGTTTGGAATGCACTCGGAATTGCAAATGTTTTTATGGCCATTCAAGGCTTGGCGCAAGCTCGAATCCGTACGTCCTGGTTTGAGATTACCACCGGACGACTCGTCTCGTTTTATATCTTGATTCTCTCTTTCCGGAAGCTCGCACAAATGTCTCAGGAGTTTTGCCCTTGTTTGTACGTGGCTCTATGTGGAAAGGACAAGCAGAACAACAAAAAAAGCCGGTCACGGAAAGAAAGCGAGATCGATCCCGCTTGGGTCGCCGCAGCATTATATTACCGAGTTGTATGTGGCTTGCAAGATCTTCAAAACAACCCAGTCGTTGCGAGAATATTCGGCTCCTCTAGCTATCATCTGAGTGGTGTTCGCGAAAAGCTCGAAGATATCCTGCGCAGTATGCCCCCCCGCCATGGGCCTACGGGTAAATCTTCCAGTAGAGTGATCCTTGAAGATGATGTACCAAAATTCCCGTCATCTTTAGACATCGATATGGCTTTCTGGCTGGGAGTACCGGATGACCCTGAGCAAACGCCGTCTGTTTCAAGCCGACAGGACAGTCCATTTTCCCCGCCAGCTTGCGAAATGCAAGTATTTTTGGCTGATCATTTCCCTCGACCTTGGCGTGTGGTGGATCACCTTGAGCAGCATCATGTTCATGACACGATCATCTCCGAGGAGCAGAATGCTTCTGATAATATGGCCTATATCGATCAAACTGAGATGTTGGACTCAAACATTTTGTTCAACTTCCTCGGCAATGATAACTATAATGCATTCGATCCAATGGCTGCGACCTTTGTTGACACACTCGATACAATGCCCCTCAACGGCAATTTCCCGCAATCCCTGTACAATTGTTGATGCATCACGCAAGATGAAGATTTGCTCACTATCCCTTTTTAATTATTATTATCATCCATGGGAGGAACATACGATCGTTTGGTTTGAGGAACGTTAGCTGGAGGAGTTGCTGATGGGATATGTCCAATTGCTTATGATTAGCACCAGGTTGTGCTGTGTCTAGAAGTTCGCTTATTTATCCTTCTAGCAATAAAATTCAATATTAAATGTCCAAAAAGTTATATTTTCGTTGATTGTTATATCTGTAACAGAAGCAAAACAAGGCGTTGTCATTCCGCCCGCGTCTGGCGCGTTTCCAGAATCCTCCCACCGCCAAACACCTCATCTCTCCACATTCTCATGGGCTGTGAGCCCCTCCGCTTGAATTAATGCTGAAGAACCTTTGACCATTCCAATTAAACCTGAACACGCCATTCACCATGGCCTCTGGCCAACCCTTCGCGTCGCGTTCCTACGCCGGCACGAAACTGCCAGAACGCTCCATCAACACGAACGCCATGCCGTTCAGCGCCTCATCATTCTCACGGCACCGCGGCCTAGGAAATGCCAATCAAGAATTCAACGGCACCGAAGGCCAAAAGCAGATGCAACAGTCTGCGCCCGCGCCAACAACAAACGCGCAGTCCCATGGCCCAGCGCAGGACGCGAATCCGCTGAGCAGACTCACCGAAGAGCAGAGGGAAGAGATCAACGAAGCTGTAAGGGATACCCAATCCCAATCCATCTATAACACTACAATTCTCCCCAATTACTATACTCCCCTACAATCCCTCTGTTCCCCTCTTGGGAAAAAGGAAAACGCAACACCAAACCACGCCCAAAAATCCCAAAACCCCAGCTAACACCACCCCTTCTAAAGTTCACATTATTCGATCTCGACCGTGACCGCCACCTGGATTACCACGAGCTCCGCGTTGCCTTCCGCGCTCTCGGCTTCACCCTCAGCAAACAAGAGCTAATCTCCCTGCTAACAACCTACGGCGTGCCGCGTCCACAAGTGCAGCAACAACAACAAGCCGCCGGCAACCAGCACGGTCAGACGCAACCGCAAGCATCAAACAAAGGCCCCGTCTCGAACCCACAGCACCCGTCCAACCTGCTCATGCCGCTCTCGTCATTCCAGGCTGTCACGGCGCTGAAGATCCTCGAGCGGGATCCCCGTGATGAGATCCTGCGCGCATTCGAGCTTTTCGATGAGGGCGCCAAGGGTTTCATTGATCTTGAGGATCTGAGACGTGTTGCCAGAGAGTTGGGGGAGACTGGGCTTGAGGAGGAGGAGCTTAGGGCTATGATTGAGGAGTTTGATCTTGAGGGTGTTGGTGGTGTTACTCGGGAGGCATTTGTTGGGATTTGTTGGCAATGAGTGCAGGAGGGATCTCTTAGTCGCCTTGCTGGGGCTTGACTGAGGATTGTTTGTTGTGCATGGGGGTTTTCCTTGGTGTTGGGATTTGAGTACTTTTTCTTGTCGTTGTTTTTACTCATGTGCTTGTTTTGGGAGTAAGTGTCTTCTTCTTTTTCTTCGTGTTTATCTTGGGTTAAAATCGCACTTCAAATGGATATTCATTCTATACGATATGTACGTCTACATGCCGAGGTTCGCATACTTGCAATGTGACAGTGCGTATCATTGATAGCCCAAAGGGCTCGAAGTATCTACTACACAAAGGATGCATACAAATTCAAGACGATAGCCACAAGAAAGGAAACCCAAAAATCCAGATCGCGGATGATATAATACTATAAGGACCGATATGTAATAGTAAACCACCCGCGATGACGCCAATGCCCCAATCCCCCAGACCGCAAATCCCAGAAGGAACGAATGCAAACAAGAAAGGTTCAGTAGAACCCATGTACTAGGATAAAACCAGAAGCAGAGGGGTGATCATGAGTATCGTGGCGGGGGACCAGGGGGAGGCACATTCTGGTAAGGCATATTCTGGTAACCGTCATTCCGGTATCCATGCCACTGATCCATAGGCTGGCGAGCACTAGGCTGGGGCCCATTGTAGCGGCGGTATGTACCAGGGGGAATAGCCTTGCGGGCCTTACGCAGCTGTGAACTGCGCTTGCAGCGACTGTAGATGCAGACGATGAGAGAGAGCAGGATCAGCGTACCGCCGCCAACGCAGACGCCAATAACTAGCTTCTCATGCTGTTTGATCCAGCCCAGAGCCGAGGAACCCTTGCACTGGCCTGCGCTACAGCGACCACCGGCATCGCAGGGTGTACCGTCGAGGAAGTTCTGGTTCATGTTGTAGCACTCCGTGGTGCCGAATGTGTGGGGGAGTGAGGGTGCACCGCAGATGAGATCGCAGGATGGTCTATTTGTGTTTTCGCAGGCCCAGCTGTCGTTGGTGTTCAGCATGGAGCCTATCACTGTGCGACACTGGTAGTCACGGCTGGTGCATTGGCCGCTAGCACAGGTCAGTCCCTGGTCCTTCTGTCCGCAGCTTGCACCGTCGTCTTTGTATTTGTTTTCGGGACAGGAGCTTGAGGATCCGCTGCACGTCTCGGCGATGTCACATTCTCCGGTGCTGGCACGGCAGATGGTATTGGCGGAGGCGAACTGGCATTTGATGCAGCAGCTGTCGTTGGCGTCGTCGCAGACAGCACTGTCTTTGAATTTGCAGGTCTTTGGGTCACAGCATGAGTTGCCGCTGCAACTTTCTTCGTCGCCGCAGTCACACTCTTCGTCGCCTTCGACAATGCCGTTGCCGCATTGACTGCCGGTGATTGTGACGACTCCGCGATTGTCGGATAGACAAGAAGACTTGATGCTGTTTCTGCCAATGGCGGAGCAGATGTTACCGATGGTACAGTCGGAAAACTTAGTCATGGTGTTCTGAGCGTATGGGTTCATAATGTATTTGGCACCGGCATCGCAGGTCGATGAACTTAGCGGGCAGCATTGAGACGAGGCTTCTAACTTGTCCTTGCAGCCGGTCTCGTCGCAGTCGTGCACTGCTCCAAAGGTGTGACCAGTCTCGTGGGCAAACACCTGCCAGGAAGAGCCGGAATTGCGAACTACGACGTTGGCACCAGCCACAGAGTTAGCTCCGGATGTGACTAGTTCGGAGGAGCACAGACGGCCCATCCATGACACTCCAACTTCGGTGCCTGTAGGGCAGTTTGTCATCAGAGTCCAGTAGGCATTGTCATCTGAGTGAGTTGAGCGCCACTTGGAGAATTCATTCAAGCGCCAGGTGACGTTTCCGCCGTTGCAGTCCACATTCCAGGGCGTAGCAGTAGAGCCCGTGCTGGTGCAGCCTGTCTCGGAGATTGTAAGATTCCGCAAACCAATGGAGATATTGAAAGATTCCTCATAGAGATTTGAAGCCGTGTTGACCACGTTGATGATCCAGTCCTTGGCCGCTTCCCTAGGGGTAGAGTTGGTAGCCATGAATGATTCGGTGAATTCACAATCCGTTGCAATTCCGATCAAGGCGACTTTCTTCGTTTTAGGACATCCACTGGAATCGCCGATGGTCGTTTTCAGATTCACGCCGCCAGTGTTTCCTGCGACACCGCCAATATCTGATGACTGTCGCTTGCCCAATCCAAACATCGAGTTCAACGAAGCAACACCCCACTGACCATCTGCTTCGTCCATGTCATATGAGAAGATCGAACTGGATAGATCAGCATTGTACCCAAGTCGATCTGCACCGCACCCGTCGGAGCCTTCGGATAGAGAAAGCGACCGCTTCTTGAGCTCAGAATGCGTATAGCTAATCATGTCGGAGTCACGGTAGACTATCATGGATTCCCCATCTCTGGGTTCGACATCGGCATCGATCGGGCGCTTCTTGTCAAGATAGGTTGACTGTAACTCAATGTGGTGCTTGTCATCGTTGACACTGAAAGCACCCTCAAAGAGGGGCTCTAGACCATCCCTTTTGACGGTGATTCTTGCCCAACCCACAGGCGTCCATCTCCCCTTGCCAGATCCTACCAAGGCACGACCTTGGAAGACTTTATGTTCGTGTCGCTTGATCGGTTCCGCATGTGTGATTGTGCCATCGATACCAACGTATTGTACGTAAGCGTCATCGGCCAAGATATCATGATTTGGCTTGAGTTCTAGCTTTATGCGCTTGCCGTCTTGGTGTAAGGCGAAGGTGATATCGAAATCCGATAAGTGGTCTATTTGGTGTGAAGGAGTACGAATGATAGGATTGTCAACGGCTGTCACCCGTCGAATGGCCTCTGAGGCCTGTGATCGTGCTGAATATTGTTAGGCAGGGCTAGGCTGGGTAATAAGCAGGGCATATTTACCTTGTATTTGTTGAAAGAATGAAAATGCACCGATTAAGGGCAAGATATTAGAAAACCTCATCGCAATATCCGAATCTCAGGGTTCTTCCCCAGGTTCGGAGATAGAGTTTGTCCCTGAGTGGCAAAAAGGGGGTAATTTCTTGAAAGAGGGAAAATATTAAAAAGAGAGAATCAAAAGAGAAAAAGAACTAGAATTCAAACTAAAGAGTGAAAACGAAAGTGAGATCAGATAGAAATCCGGACTCAGCCGTAGTCTCTGGCCAAGTGATTAGGAATCCTGGAAAGACAAGGGGCTTGGCGGTTAGACTGAAACAGTTCCATTTTATACATTTTAAACGGTCATTTTTTGACTACTTCAAATTTCAGAAAGAACATAAGATACACTTTATATCTCGAATATTATATGTTCTATTAAACTCTACAATATTTACTCCATTCTTCGTCTTTTGTACTTTGTACAGCGTCTCATTTTAACGGACGCGTGGCTCCAAGCCACTAGATATTAAAAGAATCCCAATGCTTGGCATTTAAGGCTGCCGAATAATGGATCTTTTTATTATTATTTATTTTTCATGAAATATTTGATGTGCTAATTGAGCAAAATGTGGGATTGACACCCCACATATAGGGCAGATACTTCCCAAGGGTTCATCATCATCCCATCCATCATCCGACTGTGATATCTCAGGCACATCAGATGATTCCTGTACAGTCCAATCCTTGAGTACTGTCTCCTGCTGTCGAAACATTTTCTCAATATCACGTCCACTGTTTTTCTTCTGATCTCCCGCACTCTCCACCATATTGGTAACCGCAATGTTCAACAATCTAAGATTCCACCCCTTTTCGGGATGTAATTTGCGAAACATAGAGAAGACACTTTCCCGGACCAGCCGTTCAGCCAATGCATCAATATTCTCATCCAGGTTGAAAATAAAGGGTGGCAGGGGTGCCGAGCGAGAGATGCGATTGGAATTGTATGCACGTCCGGTACCAAAATCGGGAGGTCTTGACTGGGTCGATAATCGTAGCGTGCGAGGATGAGCACGCCATCTTCCTTGAGGAGCAGTGTCATCACTCATATCAAGCAGGTCGGTTCTTACACGGCGGATCAAACTTCGTGACAACACTACTAGCTCTCGTCGTACACCGTCGAGCGTATCTAAACGGCCATATGAATCCTCGATGCTGATCTGGGTAGGCACATCGCGACCCTCGAGCACCTCAGAATTATCTACACCATGGAGAATGTTCCACATGCGCATCCCGATCCCTTTCACTGAACCTGGCCCGCCAAGGATTCTGTCCAGTAGAGGTGGGCCCATACCAGGGAACTGGCGGATATCCTTGACTGTAATCTTCTCATCGACGCTCTCTTGCCCTGTCATGTGGGATTTCAATTTCTGGGCAATCCGTGAACCAATTCCAGGGATTTTTCGGATCTCGTGATCATCCAGGAACTGGAACACGTTGCTAGTACTATCTTCGGTCGTATATGGTGGCAGAAGAGTCGTCTGACCGTTGGGTTTGTGGACATTACCGACCAACTTTGCCAACAGTTTGGAGGTTGAGATTCCGCCCGTAGCCGTGAAGCCTACTTGATGCTCCAACTTACTCCGTATATGACCCTGTAAATGAGAGGCAACCAGCAACCTCATTTCCAACGAAGACGAAGCTTTCTGAGCCACGGAGGCTGTCTCCATTGCGGGGAAGGTCGATCCGTGGAAACGAGTGGCATCGTAAGAAAACCCAACGGTCGGGTCCTTCCGATCAAGATGAAAATACGAATTCGCCAAGTCATTTTGATTTAGCACTCCAGTGTTGTAATCAATCATTTCTGTGACGTCGAGAAAGAGCTCGTCAAAGCCTAGCTTTTCGACACGGTCTCCCCAGACAAGGGACCGAACTAGCAGATAAAGCTCTTTGGAGGCATCTCGGAACTTGGTCAAGTCTTCACCTAGAACTATTACCACATCGGGACAAATGCGTTTGGCATCTTTGATGAGCTGCAACTTATGTAGACCTCGCCGCCGGGCTTCGTAGTTGCAAGTTACCACGATCTGCTTTTGCTGAACTGCCAGGGGGAGTGACTTCAATTCAGGTCGCTCGGCCTCGAAAACTGAGGCATAGAAACAGTCATAATCCTGGATATGGTTAGTCAAAGCCTGGCAGTAGGCAAAAAGGAGAGTTACTAAGTGGAGGATTATTCGCCTGTCGTTCCGCAACAGTGCAGCCATGAGCCCTAAGCTAATACAGAGGTATCCATGCGATTTGATTGTCGGGTGCCTGGAGCTGAAAGCTCGTTGGAACAAACTCCTGAACCGAAGGCTTGGAACCTAAGTTTGGAACATGCTTGTGGCTGGTGTGTGGCGTCGGTGGCTCAAAAAATCAGGCTTACATATTTCTGCCTGTCCTTTCATATTATTGTATGGCTCTGATATGTCCCTTTTCGATGAGCATCTATAAACTACTTCAAAAGTGCTCAGTACTTTTCAGACTACTTCCGTAGATAATTCCCCGAACCCCTCTTTTTCAGAAATAAATGCCAGCTAAAAGGACAAGTCGTATTGGGTGGGGCCGATGTCACCTTTGACGGCGCTTGCGTCACGTGTACTATTTTAAATGTCTTTGATCTCCTAAGTACTCCGTATTGGAGTACATATAGTAGACAAAAGTAGATATAAACAAATAAGAAACGTTTCTGTTTCAGATCATTTAAAGCTACTTTGTAGGTAGCATAGAATTTTTCCAACCATTTTTAGGTCTTCGCCACCAAGTGCGTATAGATGTAGATCAGAGACCCACGGGCCTTGTTCTTTTTATAGGTTTTTCCTCTTCTTGATTCGATAGTTTAATTTCAGGATTTATATTAAAATTCAATACGGTGTAGAATATGATATATGTGATTAAATTAGAAAAAAAAAAGAGAGAAAAAATAGTTATGGTGGCGTCGATAGTTAAGTCTAGAAGGAAATCTCTGTTAGAGTAATCAGATTTGATATTAAGGAGGAGTTAAGTCAAAAAGTTTATCTACTGTGACATGCATCTTTCATCACATTCAAGCGCCAACCTCCTCTATTCTTAGACCCCCGCTATACCTCCCTCTTTTTTTTTGGTTTTCTTTGATCTTTGAAGATTCTGAATATTTTGACTCTTCTATTATTCTTCTGGTCTTCAATATGTCGTGTCTGTCACCAGATGCCTCGACCACAATAACCTCACGACCAAAACTCACCCTTCAAACCACCGCTCTCCCTCGCACATTCGGCTCTTCAACTACTGGCCTATCCTTTTCCTTCGCAGCGGCGCCTACTGCATCCCCCACTATTCGAAACACCTTCAAGAATGCCTACGAGGTCACATCCCCATCATCCGCAACCTCCCCCTCCAAATCTACCCGCTACAGCAAACCGTCCTCCCCCTACCTCCTACATCCGAACAATAATATCTTCAGCCGAAGCCCCTACCAACTCCCCATCGGAGTGCGCAGCATTCTACGCAACTCCCCACTAGAATCCGCAGCACGCCGACAATCAGGCTCCATATCAGCGGGAGGAAATGGCCCCAACGGCGCAGCCTCCCGCCGCGTCTTCTTCCCAGCAAAGAAACAAGTCAGCTATCGGTACCCACTTGAAGAAGTAATCCGAACAGAACGCTACACCGCGCAACACATCGACCTCGTAACGGAGGAGGCAGTGCAAAACGAGGCAGACACCCAAACCCCACCTGAGACATGCCCCGCCCCCAAGCCTGAGGGCGAAAAAGAGGACACCGATTCCAGCCCGTCAACATCGGAGACAAGTCCCTCCGGCGATGATACCAGTGCCGATGAATCAGTGCGCGGGTCTTCACTATCAAAGACGGAGCGCAAGAAGCGCCGCACAATGCGGATAGAGCGCCAGGTCCGGGCGGTGGCGTTGCTAGATGGCTTCGAGGCCGATGGCTCGTCTACGCCGCAGACACCTCGGCACGGTCGTGCCAAGCGCCGCAGGGAATGGAAATGGACTCTGGGGCCTGTCGATAAGGCCTCGAACCCTGGCTCCGAGAATGTCTCATTGTTGCACTCGGCTCAGATTACCTTTGAGTCAGACTCTCTTCGGGTATCCACTGACCTTGCATCCGATCAATAATTATGCAATGTTCATTCATGGTTTCATGGTTGATGTCTTTCTTTTCCCTGTTTTTTTTTTCTTTCTTTCTTTCTTTCTTTCTTTCTTTCTTTCTTTCTTTCTCGTCGCTTCTTTTTTCCCTGCATAATAATGGCCATGCATATATTGTTTACTCACGAATCATGTTGTATAGAGGCGCTGTTTGGGTTTATTCGGTGGCTTTGGGCGTATCTGTGCCACTTCTTTTTTATGGCTGTTTTAGCATATCTTCTTCTATGCATTATATCCTTTCGATGTATATGTACCTTTTTCCAATCTTATAAGGCACCGCGAAAGAAACTAGCGAGTGACCGGCAAAGTTCACGAATCCAACCAATCCTTGTATCTCCCAACTTTATAACCGTTTCTTCTTGTTTACGATACAAGCGGATCGTCTGCGTAATGCGAAAAATATTGCCGGAAGTTTCCAGACTACGGCTCTGTTCATAGGGCCAATATCCCAATTCAACCTCGTTCAAATTCGAATAATATTGATAGCAACACCACCGGCTATGGAAGGTATAGTTTCCCATAATCATCATGACCCCGGAACAGACGAGATATTGTTGAAGTCATCCTTCTTCCCCTAACACTTTCTATTGCCTTTATGCCCATCGTGTTCGAGAATAAACGAATTATATGTGGAACGACAGCAAGCCTACCAACGAGGTCAACACCGGTGGTAGAGGAGTTGTAATCCAAAGATATCAAGATTAGCTTGAGGATTGAGAAAATTTAGTGGATGTGCCTTTCATATAGGCTTTGCATACAGAGGTAGGGTGTCAATAACTCATGGGTTTAAACAGTAAATAATGAGTGTTCACATTTTATACAGTCAATTCAATGCAAATGATATACAAAACGCCCGAAACAAATAGAAAACATTCATACATCGTTAAGTCTCCGTCTCGACATCTGGCTCGCGACCAGTGAGGCCACCCGCTCCAACCTTCTTCTTCATCTTAAGCAGTGCATACTTAGCCTCGTCTTTGGCAAAAGCAGCATTCCGCGCAGGCCGCCATTGCATGAGACCACGCTGCTGCCGCTGCTCACTGTGTTTATTCGCCCTGTTTATCTGGCTGGTACTCATATTGGCTTGTGACGTAGACGGCCCACCAGTGCTGCCACTGATTGTCGAGGGTCCATTAGACAGGGGTTCGAGTTCGTCATCTGATTCCGAGGTTTCCTCGTGATGATCACCACTTTGGAAACTGGATCGATGAGAAGCGTGATCCTTGAGTGGGGGAGGGGTGTAGGGGTCATGGGGAGGATGGTCCCGGCCAGGCTCAGCGACCTTGTTTCCGATGGAATCAGTGTAGGCACGCGGGTCATGACCAAACGCACCACTCCAGTCTTGACCGTCGTGGTCAATCCATCTGTGACGCTCAGCGGGTGAGGCTTGCTTCAACACGTCACGTCCGTCGATCAAAGACTGCTCGTGCATTTCCTGCACTTCTGAAGGAACTTCAATTTGCACGGTGCGAGAACGGACACCTTGTGACAGACACGCTTCCCAGGTCTCGAAGGTCTCGCGGGAGTCGTTGTCAACCACGAAACGCTCGTGCGATTCGTCAATGCCCGGCGAGAAGTTGCATCGGAATTGTAGACGTCCCACCTCGGTCAAGTCCTCGAGTCCGGGTACTTGCTTTGCCTTCCAGTTCTCCTCCGTAACATAATTTTGTGTCAAGCGGGCACCCATCTTTGTCGTCCAGATAGGAAGGTCGATGTCTGTTTCCTCGTTATCGACAAGATGTTGGAGCCACAAAACAGCGTATGCTACTGCGTTTCGCTTGCCCTGGTTATGGAACTCGAACACAATCGGGGAGCGATATCGGTGCTTCACAGGCATGCGCAGTGAGTCGCGGAAAGTCTCGTCAGAGGTATCGAATACCGCATCACTGTCATGCATGTGACATTTGTGCCGGGTGATCTTGCCAACACTGCCACCGGTGCGCATCTTGATCTTAGTGTGTCGGCCATACCCCTTTGCGGTGATAGATTGCCCGACAAATTCAAAGGTACCAACATCCCAGCCAAGCATGGGAGGTGGCAACTTGGTCTCCACGTGGCGGAACAAAAGAGAAATACGGATGCGTCCAAACCCAATACCACCGTCGAGGGGATACCAGCGGGTCACCTGTGAACTAGTCTGAAGTATGTCGGACAACTTGAGGGGAACCACACCAAGGATGGGATCATGCTCGCGATAGCGCTGGTCTCGGACCGTGATGGTCACAACAGCTGAGCGCCAGTCACGAACAAAGCGCTCAGTTCCTGCGTTGAAGATAGGTTTGGAGCTCACAGCCTTTGCACGAGTGCGGTATATCTGAACCGAGCTGTTAGTTTCTAGGAATTGGTGTGGAGGGGTATGTATCTACAGATACGTACCAGCTGATCGTTCAACATAACCTTGCAGTAACTTGTTGGGAGATCTTCACCCTCCTCTTCTGTGTTCTCACCATATGGCTTCGCCGGCTCATACTCCTTGCCCTTGCGGTTCCCATCACTACCCTTAATGTTGGCAAGCTGAAGGTTGACGATCTGGTGCACAACAATGTGCACGATACCGCTAGGCCAGATTGGATCAGGTGGCGTGTGCATAACGGCATCTTCTTCCTCGCTGTTGATAGCTCCCTTTTCGTCTTCGAAAGTCGGATTGCCTTTGAGATTTTCAGGAAGGTCTTTCTTCTTGCCATCAGTGCGTAGCTCAGGGCGGAGTTTTGGTTTCCCGAAGTATCCAACTTCCCAATGTAGCTGACCGGGCATTTCAGTGCCCTCATCCATACCCTGAAGTTTTGACACCTGGGGGTACATCTGACTGGGATGCTGAAGCATCTCACGGATAGGTAGCTCGACCTTGCCAACAATATCATCCGCGGTGTTGCGGTCAGAGTCCCAGAGCTCGATGCTCAAGTTTTCATCGGCCTTGATCAATTCCGGTGTCACGAGAAGGGCAGCAGTCTCTTCCCAAATTGGGTTGAGGTCATCTGTAATCACACGGGTACAATACATGGGCTTGCCATACTTTGAGAAGGACAAATTGATGTATGGATCACTGCCACCACCCTCACTGCCACGAGTATCCTGTTTACTCAAGCCGACAGCGCGGTGAATACGAATCCACATCACACCCAGAGCCAAAGTATCTTTGTGGATGTCATCTCCTGTCAACATCATGCCAAGATCCATAGTCATTGACTTGGGAGCTGCAAGCATGCCACATGCGGTACTAATAGCAGAGTTGACAAAGTTGGAGATCAAGGGTAAGTTTAGAACATTGACTCCAGTCCGGAACATCGGCATGCAGCCAGCCCTGACATGGGGAATGCCGACCAAAGTGAAAGTCACGTCCTTCATGAACGGTGCCTCGGGCATCATTTGGAAGCGCATACGGACAGTTCCGACGAGCTCAATCAGCTCCACGAACACGGGGAATGGCACACCAAACAAGCCTCGAATTCCCAGATAGAAAACCAGTTGCATGTGCATATTGCGTGCCTTTGCTGAGGCAGACTGCCCAGTTGGCTTTGCGTGATAGGCAAAGGAGGCTTCCATGTTGTAATAACTCGCACCTTCCTCAGCAGCAGCAGCTTCCTGTGGATCCTTATTCTTTCTATTTTCTTCATGAATGTTTTCCTTCAAATCCTGTACATGATCGTCGGGAAGAGCCCGCATACTCAGTATTCGGAGTGGGTTGTCGCCCTGGTCGATTTCTGCGATTCGAACATTCTCTACAACTTTGGGTGCAGAGACTTGCATGATGTCTTCGATTGTGTCGGCGATAGGTGTCAGCATCTCTGGGTTAACTAGTCCCCATATCACACCAAGGAAACTGTTCATCCACTCGACAGATTCAGGAAGGAGATTGGCGGTGGCCTGTTGATCTGTCAGTACTCCAACCCATGATGCAATAATAGAAACTTACCATCTTCCCACGAAGCTGCTCACTGCTCCACTCCATTGCTCGACCACTGCGAATGACTTCCTGCATCCATAACCACACACCACTTGTGATGCATGCAGCCAATGGAATAAGGCCCCAGAGAGATCCTCCGAACATTCGCCCCAGTACAATTATAGCAACAGGTATCCCAATGCAAAGGCCCGTCGCACGCTTTTCCAATGAATCAAACATGGGCTGATATGAGACAGTCGGCGTGGGGTGGAACAAAACATTAGTCTTCTCTCCTCGAATGGGAACATCAGAGGTTGTGCCTTCGGCAATGGGATCGGGGGGTGCAGTGATGTCTTGTTTCTCTTTATACTCTGCAAGATCTTGGTCGGCCCTTGTTTGAACGTCCTGATATACACGTCAGCGGTGTGCCCCGATGAACGATATTCTATAGAGAACTCACCGTGGGTTTACCAAGATTTGCATTTGGAACTGTCAACTGCGAATGGATTAGACTCCGTTCATACTTCGTTCAAAATGACCCCACATACCATTGGATTCGTTACAGTTTCCATCGATGTCTCGTCTAGATCTTCAACACCGATTTCCTTGCCTGTGGTTGGGTCTGTCACGGTACGCATCTTAGATTGGGAGAATCTGCGTGGCTTATGGGCGACAGCATCTCCATCTTTTTGATCCTTTTGATCTGCTTGCTCTGGTTGTTTCCCAGAGGCCCGTTGTGCTTTTTCACGTGCAGCCCTCTCTTTCTTGGCTCTAGTTTCTTCGTCTATCTTGCGATCACGTTCCTTTTTCTCGGCATCGATATGTTCCATAAAGTGATGAATAGTTGGAATTGGATTGGCACCACTCCAATGCTCCCCAACCCGATGGCTCTGGGGAGCCTTAGATTGCTGGCCTGTAGCCATCTTGGAGGTGAAATGAAATGAGTCAGTTTCGGTTTTGTTAATTTCACTGTACAAGAAGACCTGGGAATAAAAAAGAGAAAGCTGGAAAGAAGGGAAAACACGATCTCGTGATCGACATGGAAGCTTCCCCAGAGCTACGTCATCGACCAGGAAATGCCCAGATAGGCTATGACGATATTACCTGGAAATATAGAGAAGATCATTCGATCCATTAACTACATACATTAGCTATACGTATACTATGGAGTACTTTGTACCTATTTACATGCCCTTTACCCCACATTTGATGTCAATGGCCCTGGTCTCTTGTCTTGGCGTTGGGATCTCAGGTCAGAGTTGGCAAAAGCTGTTATAACATCGAGACAAAAATTTGAAATTCAAATGTTAGATTTGCACTTGCCATACATGAATTCCAGCTGAATTGGTGCGATGCTATATATTGTAGTGGGCAACCATGTCCTCACTACGCCTGTCCTCTCTTCAGCGGACCTGGCAGTTTATTATGTAAGTGTTGATGTATGCCCAGGTCAGGTGCCCAGTACAAGTAGCAGATAGATATTGAGAACACACAATCCTACACCTCTCTAGATCTACTTGGATGAAGGTCTGAGTTCACTTTGTATGTTTTGGGACGTTGAATTACGCCCGAAGAGCATAACCTAGATTATTCCCCTCTTCAATATATAAGATGATGTCATCCTAATGAGTAAGCCAATAGTTTTACACCTGCCCAGGTGAACATGCCATTTTTCTTACTGTTTTGGTAATCATGTATGTATAAAGACAAGAAGGGAAGAACTGTTAAGAGGCTGAGAGTTGGAGACGGGCGCTATTCCGTAATTGTGCCAAGCGCACAATGCAACTCTGGGTAGTTGTCTTGGCAAGGTCTTTTTTAGACTCATAACGGTGTCGACTTGAAATTAAGAACTAAAAGGCAGTTTATGGGGGTTCAAAAACAGAGAAGACGTAAAGAACTGCCTATAGGTATGTATTTATGTATTCAAGGTACCCGTAGACCAAGTCCTCAACAATCCTAAATTCATGTCGCCTACAATATCCCGAGGTCAACTCCTAATTGCGTCAGGTCCCATTTTGACTTGGAATCAAATTTTGATTGGGTGAATGAGATCTGACTTATGGCAACCTTGGAATAAACCGTCCTCGGGTAGAAGTGGATACTTTTTTTTCTCCCTTCACGGTACTCCGTACAACTACTCCGTATACTCCGTATTGGGTTCTTTGACTCCAATATATAGAGCTTACAAAAAGAGATGATTAAACTCGGAGCTTGCTACCTTTCCTAGAAGAGCACGGCTATGACTACTTTAACCGGTTAGTGTACATTTGAATTGAAAAGTGGCACATGTCCATGTCATGACACTGTATATCAAATATCATAATATATCAAAAAAAATCGGGAGATGTGTATCACTAAATTCATAAATACCAAAAAAAGCCATGTGAAATCTATTTTAAATCTATTTAATTTTTATAGTTGGCATTAGAACCATATATGAAGTATAAATATGAGGCTCAAGATATATTAGACTCTTGAATTCTCTATGTATGATCCCAGTATCTGTTTCAGTCCCATCTTGGAAGGTGGGCATACCATCAGCATGTTTATGTCTCTTTTACTAAATCTAGCCAGTGGGCCGGGACCTCTTTTTTCACTCGGCACACCAACCAATAGTCCCAAATGATATTGAACCGGCATAGTTAGCCTACCAATCAGAGGCTCCATTTCTCTTGTCAAAATAGTCCCTGTTACAAGCTATACTCCGGTCATCAATTCCAGAGATATTTCTCTGAGGGGATTTTCTTCCCCCCTCTCTCACAAACGTACTATCTGGTTTGTGCGTCTCTTTTATACCCTCGCTTATAACTCAGCACTAACGATGAATAGCGGGCTGCGAAGTCGCAATGAGCGGAAGGCCACCTCTCCATCACTCTTCGCAGTCTGAAACCCATCCATCTGTCCCTCAAGATGATCAAGACCCCTTTACCTACGACAGAGTTACAGAGAGTGGAGAAGTCTCACCTGTCACCCGATCCGACTCGACGGCCTTCAGCACATACTATCCCTGGAGCACATCCCGAGTCATAGGGGGCCAACCTATGAACGCCAAAGTGGCCATTCCCCGACTTGAGCTTCCACTCGTAAGCAGTAATGGTCGAGTTACTCGAGCATGCCACAACTGTCGCAAACAGAAGAACAAGTGTTCTGGTCATCGACCTTCTTGCCTCCGGTGCGAGGAGGCCAATGTTCTTTGCGTCTACGTCGATGGGAAACGAGAGAGAAATGCTAGGTCTGTGATTTTCCTAGATATCATCACCCCCAAAATATTTACCCCTATAATATAGACAACTTACAGCCTTAACGAGCCAACTCCAACTCTACGAATCTCTCGTGCGCGATATTTATCCCAAACTCGACGTCGAGCTGGCCAAATTCGTTGACCAAGCTCTCGGAAAAGTCAGTAAAAAGACTCCATGACCCCGTCGACCAAAACCAGACATCTTGATCAGTCTAACGATCAACAGATAGCTAGTCTTCCCCCGTCATCGCCGACCGTCGCCAAAATACCAGATGAACCAGACCCGTCAACCCCAACACTTTCCTACGTGGATCATACGCTGGAGGACTTTAATAGAGACATTTCCCTACAAGCGATTGGCTTTATAGGAGAGCATTCGGCAACCGCATGGCTATACAGACTTAGGTGCTTGATCGGGAAGACAAGTTCCAACTCGGACGGCCAATTCGAGGAACCAGCCCGTCCGTCAATTGCTTCCTGTACATTCTTTATGGACGATGCCGGAATCCTGCCGACAAACGACACAGATGTCTTCGCCTATCCGCCACAAGCAGTCGCCGATGAACTTGTGGACAGATACTTCCAAGTTGCGCACGCCTCTTTTCCCGTCGTCGGTAAAGAAATTTTTCTAAGCCAGTGTCGGTCATTCTATTCGAACTCAACAAAACACCCTGGAAGCAAGTGGATGGCGTTATTAAATATGGTGTTTGCAATCGCTGGAAGACATTCTGAGCTTTCGAGAGACCAACCTCAACTAGATTACAATACCCACTCGGTGTACTTTTCCCGTGCCAGGCGATTAAGCATGGGAAACGGTGCGCTGTTGGATCACCCCAACCTGCAGCAGACACAGATAGAGGGATTAATATCACTTTATTTGCTTTCCATCGGACAGGTCAATAGGTAGGTCGAATACCGCGAGCCTTTAGTTAACCACTGATTTGGGTGTAGGGCATGGAGAACATGTGGTATTGCAATTCAGTCCGCGATTGTGATGGGAATCCACCTTCGTACTGAAAGTCCCAGCATCACCCACGTGTCCAAGGAAACCAGATATCGGCTATGGTGGGCACTGTACATGCTGGACATCCTGCTCTCTGTGATGACTGGACGCATGCCGAGAATTCAACCGGAACACTGCACAACCCCTTTGCCAGTGCCTTACAAGGAGGAGGAGTTCTGGGACGAGCATGTAAGGAGGCTTATTTTGGACAATCAATCCAGAGCCCGCCTCATGGATTCTCTACTCTCCTTTGATCCGACTGAAGTGAATGACCCTTTAGCCCATTCACCTTCTCCGCAGTCCACGTCTCAACGGGAATCATTCAGCCAGCAACCCCAGGCTAACGTCTCACTATACTTACTTTATTCCATTGACTTGGCAGTCATGATGAGACAAGCAATTGAAATTTTGTATTCTCCCGAAGCGGTACGAAAATCGCGCAATGACATTGAATTGGCCATGACATCGCTCAATAGCGCCGCCGACAATTGGTTTGCTCGGCTTCCTGAAACTTATCGTTTCATCGAAACCAGAGTTGACCGATCCTTTGTACGTCAGCGGACGAGTTTGGCTTTTCAATACTATTCGACCAAACTTGTCATTTCACAACCCGCTCTTCGTTCTTATCTCAGCGGTGAAGAATTTACCACTGATCTTCATACCCCAATGGCAATCGTTTGCCTCAAAGCAGCAGGCCAAATGCTTGATCTATTGCCCAATGAACCAAACATTACCTGGCTCTTGGGCTGCTCACCTTGGTGGTGTTCTCTCCACTACCTCACGCAGAGCACCGTAGTTCTCATAACGCAGTTGCTCGCCCAGAATCAAATGGGGACTAGCGAAAGAAATGAGTTAGTCGGAAGAGTCCAAAGGGCTCTGCGATGGTTGAGGGAGTGTTCCACCAGAGATCCATCTTGCAAACGAGCTTGGAGAAATTTCACAGAGCTCTTGTCATCCCAAGGATTGGAGATTTTAAAATAAGATCTCTGGGCCACACCCAGGATCCCTCTGCATCATTTTCATTTGTTTCCCTCACGTATAAACGAGTATTCTTGATTTCCTTTGCGATTACCCGTATTATGCCTACACACACACACACCCACACACACACACATACACACACATACACACACATACACACACATACACACACATATATATATGAGAGTTAAAACTAGCAAGCTAAAGTGCATTGTCTTTTAGGATAATATGCGCAACATGAAACAAACCCTATTTGCGGTAAACCAGCCATAAAAGAAATGTCCCTGATTGCATTCGAGGCCATGCTTGGCAATGATCCTGGGGAACCGAGGCTGCAATGAATATTTTAATTTGAATATCCATAAGAAATAAACAGCTCCAATAAGCGATTGGTTTCAAGAGCCCATAGATAGGGTAGATTGCCACCTGTTTGTATCCGGGGGACCCCGGGGCCCCGGGCGTTCCAAAATGAAGGCCCATATAATGAATGACGTCAACATTCTTAACTGAAAGGGCTATATAGTGACAGGTTGATGGCATATTGAGACCCTAAGTCTTTGACTTCTCTCACTCAGCTCGTACAAATTATACATGATGGCCCCAAAATATATTGTAAATCTTCTCCTTTTCTACCATGAACTCTACTAACAAACATAGATAACCTTTCAAGACTCCGTTCCAACTGAGCAGATCAATGCCTACATGCAACAGATTCACGAAGATGGCGGTTCCGTCACAAACAGATTTCCGGATATGATAGCGAGAGGCTTTTCGTATGTGTCTTCTCCACATAACTTCCACAGGACTTCTTACTAAACTACGTAGAGCGTATATAACTGAATCGGTCCTCAATAGGATCCAGTCTGACTCTGTGGTTGAATATCTGTCACCCGATACTTCCTGAAGCTACGCCCATCCCCCCTTCTATACCTGTACAGCTTAGCATTATTTTCCTTCTCCGTCTATCTCACGCATAATGACATTTTTTATAGCCAATTGATCAATCTGCTTACGTGCTTGCTGTCTTTTAATTTTATAATATCGTACATCAAATGTGTTAATTGAACATATTATAAGCAAGGAGTGACGTTAATATGCCATGCTATTGACTTATGATCTGGGACCCACGCGGTTGATCATTCAAGGTAGATCAATATGCCGCATCTGGCTAGCTTGGAGAGGAGGACAGTAATTATTCTCGTTACTGAAGATTTCCCCGAAACCCAAGACACACTCACCATGAATCTCCAATTTGTGTGTGTGACATACGCGTCCCAAAAAGCAAAATTCCACTCATCAACCACATTAATATGCGTCTCATGCAGGCTGGGGTCGTAATACACCATACTGCTAGACAACAGTACCGTATACATGCGAAAATTGTATATTTTATCATAAGCTCAGTCATATGTTGTCAGAATATGCAGAGTCCCGGATTATGCATGATAACATGATACATCATAGCGCCATTGTTAACTGGCCTGAATATGCAGCCCAGTATAGAATACATACCCGTGCAATCTCTGCTAATTACAATTTCAAGGTTCCTCACTAGCATTCGTCAGCGTACCCTAAGTAGACGCCCTGGGTTCAAGTCATTGCTAAATAAGCCAATCACGCTTAGAGCGGATAGGTAATATTATCCCCGCCTTATACAAACCTTGCTTCTGATTTTTTGGAATGAATATATGCTATTAGATCCTGGCCTTAGCCGGAAATGGAATCCTTGTACACAGCCGGGACGAGGAAACTGGCGTACGTAAGAATCAGTGAAGGCACCTACTATGTAGGATGTTACAAAAGGCTGCGGACGTATGTACTGAGGAATGAGAACATGCATAGGTATTTGAAAGAAGGAAAAGGACAAAAAATGAAGGGGGGGGGGGGGTTGATACTCGTAGGTGGAGACCACGCACCTTCCTAATCCATGGACATACCTATGGAATTACGCAACTTCGATGGTTGATGCTGTATAGAATGAATAGGTGTGTCACGAATGCGACTTCCGTCTGCCACTGCCATCACATAGTCGTCCACATAAGTCTTTTCTCTCTAAGGTTTCCTTCCCCTCATACTGCGAATAATGCATCAATAAGTGTTTGAGACACAACCGTTCATGGTACCAAAACAATGGCATTGAGAACAACCCAAGTAAAGAAGCGTTGCTGGTCATAACAAGATATTTATCAAAAGGGCCATCCAGGATACGTCAAATAATGCTTCATATATAACAAAGTGAGACTTGGAAACATCAAAATGAAGACAAAGAACACAAGGCACGCATTTAGCGCAAAACTATGCATGCACGCCAGTCATAAGCCCACATCCATACCCCAACTATCCCAATCAACATCATAATCAGCCAAAAATGGAGGCTGAAATGTGAACTCGGAGTTGAAAGCCCAAAACTCGGTGTTCGGATCAAAGTATAAGTTATTATCTGTCCATTGGGCTGTTTCCGCAACCTGCTCAATTGCATAACCGGGGTCTGGGATCGTGCCCACCCATGAAGATGATGGGTAGAACTGCCCAGGAGTGGTGTTGGGCAAAGTTGGCGGGGGTGTAGCACATGCAGCAAAGCCTTTGGATGATTGATCAGCGAAGGCACGACGTTCGAGGTATATTGTACCGAAATAGGGAATATCAAGCTTGATGCGACTAAGCCTTCCATTCTCGTATTGGTGTCCTTCTGGCGCGTCAAGTTGCGGTAGTTCGGCACCAATCCCTATCGCATTGATAATCTTCAAGACGCGCAACGCTCGAGTTGCGATCTTGTCTGGAGGAACGGTCTTTGATAGTTGCTCTAGAATAGTCATAACTCGGTCGATAGCGAGGTAATCTTCGTTGGTAAAGTCTTGTGGGCCAAATGGCCCAAGTCTATTCACAATGATTGTCATTGCCGTGGTAAAGGCTTGGAAATCAAGAACCTTGGAGTCAAACCCTTTTTCAGTGGTGCGCCGGATATTGACATAGCAATTGATGATATGGCGAGAGGCTTGAAGACAGGTTTTCCGATTGTATTCAAAAGAGTTGTCATTACCAGACGCTAGTAGGAGAGGTAGATGTAGCCACGCCGTGATTTGGTAGTACCATAGTCGATAGTGAAGCTGCATGAAACAATTGGCCCGCTCCATACATTTGCCTGGCGGAAGATTGTCGGGTGACGCCAAAGGAGGGACCGTGAACGCTTGAAGTTCCGCATCGATGACATGGGTCATTTTCAGCATGGCTGGATTGACTTCTGTGAAGATCTGATTACGGTCAATGATTGATCCAGCTATCCGAGCAAGCGGGTTCAAAACGGATGCATTGCGAACAGGCACATCCTGAGTGTCGCTTTGGTTGGATTGATATAAATCTATTGCCATATTGGATACAGCTCCATGTACCCCAAGGATCAGTGAAAAGTGCCTGTCGACCATCATGATTTGTCTCCAGATTAAGGTGGCTCGACGTTGAAAATCGGCGCTTTTATTGGTAGCTGGTTCATCACGGTGAAACCCGATTATCTGGGCGATATCTGCCGCCCGACGACAGGAAAGCCATGCACTTCGTAGTTTTCCGTCATTGCTAAAGATTAATCCTTGCAGAACCAAGCACTCGAGTCCCTCAATACAGCTGACGATAGAGTCATCAGAGCAGACCAACGTCGAAACACGGCTCATGCATTCGTCAATCAAGACCCCAGGTAGGCAGGAAAGCCCAAGGGAGGGTAAATCAAACTCGGATGGGAGTTGCTGGAGACACAACGCAATCCACAGAATGGCCTTAGCAACTACAGCCGGGTGGCTGGTTCGAAGGATTTCCACCGAGGATGAAAGCAACGATTTATCCTGGTCTTCGAATAACTGCACGCGCATAAGCCACCAGCTACTGCTAGCCTCGGATATAATTTTCAGTGTCTTCTGGGAGGGTATCAAGGCTATCAGATCACGGCGTAGTCTTTCCCAGTCCCTGTTGATTGTACCATATGCAAAATCGGGCGCAGCGGCGTCTGATCGTTGGAAACCTAGCTATTCACCAGTAAGCGCAAGATAAAAGGATTACACACCCCCCGGTGGAAGTTATCAGACGAACCGCTTGGTTGTTAAAAAGAGACAAAATTGGAGCATTGTCTGGGGCTGGTGTCACGGTCGGGGGACTGGATTCGGGACTGGTTTCCGCCCAATCTATGGGTGATTTCGAGTCCCACTGTTGATTGCTCCCAATGCTCCCATTGCTAGCATTACTCCCACCGTCGACCCGTATTAGAAGCTTCTCCAACAGGGCTTCCACACGGGCCATACGCTCGTTCAGGTATGTGCGGTCCGAGTCGCGGAGGTTCTCAGGTTCCGGGAATTCTTGGCTGCGACATGGGAGGCCCCGGGCGAGACATTCTCTGCAGCTTTGGGCGCTATCGGACGCATAATTGCAGCGGACTTTGCGATGTTTGCCTATGTGTGCAGAAAAAAAAAAGGTCAGTGATAAATCATCCAAACCAAAGGGGGGGGGGCTCTTATACATTGCCAGCAACTGCGGGTCCCCTTTCGGATCTTCTTCCGAGGCTGATCAGTCTGTGGGTGGATCGAGCTCATCTTGGAGCGAAAAAAATAGATATCAGGATATTCAAATAAAACACGGATGCCAGTATAAGAAACTGAATTGAAATAATGTCACCTAATTTGTGCAGTTGATATTAGAATGTCAGGGAAGCTGGGTGCTCATGTGGCGACACATCAAACAAAGCCCCAAAACACAGTTCGAGTTGGCGCTATCTGACCGCCTCTACAAATTGTGAGATGCAATAATATATGCAATGCATAATTTCTTTTTCTTTCGATCTTTCATTTCGAGAAGGTCTGGTTCAACCATGATGCTATCGCCTTGAATTGCAACCCAGGGGGTATATTCAAAGCGCAGTCCGTGACTGGCTCAACGTGGAATTCTCGTGGTATGATACTAATGCTCACGTCGGGGAGTTCACCCTGCGAATAAAAAAAACACTGTTAGATTGAACGAGAAGCTTGCGGGGACTATCTCACCTTCATCTTCTCGGCCATCTGTCTAATCGGATCTAAGAGGACTTCGTCTCCCCCCACGCCAACAAAGAGTCTTGAAACAGGAAGATCTCTCCACCAGCCATGTGGGGCTTTGGCTGGGCAATTGTACATATCTTCCGCGGTCTGGCCTAGAAAGATTTGTGCCCAGTTATGCAAAGTCTTAGCCGAAATAACGTCTTTATCAGCATTTTCGATGGAGCTCGCGTGGTCAGTTCCAAAGTCAACCCAAGGGGACAACAGCATCGCTCCTCCTAGGGGTTCATCAACTGAAAATCTTGGCACCATAACTTCAGGATGCGGATGAGCGAGATGTGATAATACCGCAAGTGCAAGATGAGCGCCCGCCGAGTCACCGTGAAGAACAATGTCTGACGGTCGTTTCCCCAGTGTCTGAATGGCGTGCTGCAAAATAGCAACGGCCTGTTGCAACTGACGTGGCCATCGGGCTTGAGGGGTAAGTTCATAGGCAAGTAATAACACGCCAATACTTTGCACGTGTTGTTTTATGTCCTCAGAGAGAGCCTCGAGATAACTGAAGTGGTCCGGTAGCGCGGGGAGGCAGTAGCCGCCACCGGGAAAGTAGATGATCAACTTTTCGGCAGCAGGATTCCCTAGCCAGAATGCCGTTGTACCTTCGGAGAGAACAAGGATATTGGGAGGGGCCTTTTGCTGTTTCATGTGGGCTTCGTAACTCTTTTGAGCGACGGTGGAGGGAAGAACAAGTCTGCGAGGTGTTAGAATTGTTTTTCTGTCAGACCAGTGATTTTGTATATACTGGGTATTGTTTATTCATGTCTAAACTCACTGAAGCTGCTCCATAGATGCATTTTCAAATAAGGCACGCGTAAAAGACATTACAACATGCTTATAGGTTGTAGCGCCTCCCTTCTGACCTCGGCATGGAGCACTGATGGCAGCCTGTATAGCAATGGCAACTAAGTGTAACGTGAAATAGACGTTAGTTTCATCAACTTCATCTCTCATTGGCTACTTACGGGATTTGGCCATTGCAACTCCCAGACCCAACGACAAGGGAGCCATGGGGCGCGAAGATATGTGAATGCGTTCAAATTAGCCAGAAACTGTTGGGCTCACAAAACATTTCAAGTTAAAATATCAGGTCTCTGAAAGAAAGAGATCATGTTGGGCCTCGTCTGGTGGATGTTTTGAGTATAGTGTGGCAGATCCGCCGAGTCGGCGGAACAAAGCCAGCCCAATACGCGCCAACTTTAGACCAATCGGTCACTTTTTGTTCTGCAATGCGTTGGAAGTGCAAAATAAAAAGGGGATCAGAAGAATGAAGAAATTTACTTGATAAATTTATGAGAAGTTATGGGATCTGAAAGTGGAAAGGACCCTGTCTGAGGCTGTGTAAAAGGGCCCTTGGAAACCACCTTTTTTTCTTTTTGACATGGAGCATGTGGTTTTCTATTATGGCTACTATTGATGTCAACATGTGAGGATATGCTCTTACAAAACATATGTGAGTACATAGTACTATGTAAACATGTACGTTTCAAAGGAAGTTAAACCTCAGATCTCTCAAATTAGTGAACGGATATTGAAGACAAAGTAAGAAAAGTAATAAAAATACAAGATAAACTCGTAAACAGAGACGAATTTTGAATACAAACAACAGGTGATGTATCCAGCTCACTCTCTCCGAAGTCTCTTCGATTCAGTCTCCTCATCCCAGTCCAACTTACGTTTCCTCAACTCGATGGTTTGCCGGCGGCGCGATGTTGACCTTGTCTGAGGACCCATGGAATCGGTAGATTCAACACTACGATCGGAAGGGTATTGGGAACCCATAGTCGCGAACTGCTCAATATCCTCAATAGCAAACTGCATCTGCAACGCGCCAAACGAATGGAAGGTCCTGATTCGCGAAATCCGGCGAGTTCCGCGCTTGAAAGCCCCCAAAATCAAACGTCCCACGGTTCGTCCTAGTGTCGTCCCTAGAAGCGCCTCATATTCCGGAGTTCCAGATATCCAATCACGTACTTTGTCATCGGGCCAAGCGAGGCCATTAGATTCGGTGTAGAGCTCTTCCCTCACAAACGAACGGGTATCCTTGTTGATAACGTCGATCAAATAGACATACGTCAGGGTGTCGATCGGGAAGTGCTTCTGGTAAATGGCCTGGCAGACCTCTGACATGAAGAGACCCGGTGCTTTCTTGATTTCTTCGACTATTAACACCCCAGGGGCAACTTGTCCCTCCCAGATATGAATGTCCGAGTATTGATCGTCTCGTGGAGTGTCAGGTTGATTGATGCTGATTTTCTCCCATGCCCCGCCAGTTGGTCCCATTATTTCGAGCTCTGCAAAGTCGTCTTCAATCTGGAGTGGAATATATGGATGAATTTCCATATCTATTTCCAGGTCCTTGGACTCCTTGAGGTCATTGAAATTCAGCGTAGAAGGTAGAATTGGACATACTTGCACAGAGAGGTCAGATTCTGGACATTCGATCCATTGCTGTAGTGATCGGCCAATGGCTTGTCGCCTTCCGTACTTGAGAGTGTTGGGAGGCAGCATTGGAGAGGTGTTGTGAATTCTGAGATTGGACTGGTATGAATATTGCTGCAAAGAAGGTGCGGTCAGTCCTAGGCCAATAAGTGGTATTGCTGGTATCTCTGTGTCAGGCATCATTGATCAAAACAAAGTTGATGGACAAGTATGACCTTATAGGTTTCGGTCTGAACTCAAGTTTTCCATTTCTAGTAGAGCCATTAATAGACAATAAACAAAGAGATGAACTTGAAAGAATTGTCGAAATCAAAGAGCTAAATTTAATCATGCAGTGTTTGAAGACGTTTAGCATATATACCATATCTACTTGATTGAACTGAAGTGTAGACCCTCGATCATAAATAGTAACATATACACGCTTTGAAAGATTGAGACAATGGAAGTTTCATTGTCTTTGCCATTTTGCCAGCCATGTGGACGAAAGTTGATGGGTACTCTCCTCGACATAAAGAATCGACATAAGAAATGACATGCAGAACAATGAACGCCAAGGCCACATAGTTAGCTGCTAAGATGACATTATATTTCAATACGGAGTACACTAATGTGAAATACAAAATTCACCCTCGAGAATTTCTAATGAGTTCATATACTTCGTATAATTTTTTGTCTCGGCTCTGTGTCACTTTGGCAGCCGTTTATTATCCCCCGCATTCAAGGTGATCCTAGTCGATTCTTTGTGCATTTCGTTATTGCTTCGACCACGATGCCAATGTTATTATATATACGACAGCGCTATGCCAAAAGACCACGGCTAATATCATAAATAGTATATTGCACATTTCAACGTCCGAGGCCTATTTCCGTTCCATTCCTGAGCAGAAGGCAGACATTGGATATTTCAACCGACCGCTTACAGTTACCCGGGATGTCGTCGGAGAGGTTCATCGTATAGCTCTATGTCCATGGTACTATATAAGAAGAATCTATCTAAACAGTCATTAATAAATAAAATATCATGCCATCCTATCTCTCATCCGTCCCACGTGCGATGATCTGCCAAGCCCACCGATCTTGGCGGAACACTGGGGTTGGCTAGACTTGGCTTGGCATTCCATTCCCTCGACTTGGCAAGGAGGTTCAAGCTTCCCAGGCAACCTCTAGGATTCCGCACGTGTAAATCTTGCTTATTTCCTATTCGTTCTTATACAAAACGTGTCTTATGTAGCAATATCACTTTCAAAAGAGATTGGAGTATTTCGGAGATTTGTGTTGCTATGGATTTTCTTGGAGGCTCTTGGCAGCTTGCTTGCGATTAGCTACGAAGCTCGTACTTAATGCAGGTACTTCCTCTCTGGAATTTGTTTTCATCGCAATCAGCTTCTCCATCAAGATGCGCGCCTCTGCAATCTCCGCGCTAGCATGCTTTGTCGCGTACACGGCAGCCCAGACCTTCCAGCGGCTGGGTGGTTGCCCTGATTTGGGATGTATCTTCCCGCCAGACCAGTATGTGATGTTTCAATTGAGCCTGAGTACTAGCTACTGACCACCATCTACAGGGTTGACTTCCTAGCAGGTCAGTACTTCGATATCCGCCTCGAAGTACACTCCCCCGTCAATGGTTCTGAAGCTCGTATTGGAGAGCCAGACGAGAACTTTACCTTTACCATCGCCAAGAAGGGTCATGGCAAGGACAAGGGCAAGGCCCCTGTCACTGCAACAGAATACTTCAAGATTGATGAACCTGAGTTGGAGAAGTGGAACTTCACATGGTTTGAAGGTACTACTCGCCTATCCAATCCTTGGGGAGCAGATATGCTAATAGAAAAACAGATCGATTTGCCGAAGACGCAGAAACCCCTTCCCTCGTCAACGTGACCTCGAAGATCTATAGGCGAATTGCCCTTTATGAGCCCGGCGAATACGAGGCTACTCTGACTTATTATGGGGAACAAAAGACAGTGGCCAACTGGTTTGTTCGTGATCTCCCCACCAAGCGTCGCGCGAAGAACGTCGTCATGTTCGTTGGAGACGGCATGACAACAAACATGATCACTGCCGCACGTCTCATTGCCCACCGCAGCATCAACGGCAAATACATGACAAAGATGGCATTGGACAAGTTCCCCGTGCTGGGCCATCAAATGACACACTCCATGGACTCGTTCATTACCGATTCAGCCAACTCCGCCACAGCACTTTACACCGGCCACAAGACTACCGTCAATGCTTTGGGTGTCTATGTTGACTCTTCTAAGGACGCCTTTGATGACCCGAAGTTCGAGACAATCGCCGAGATCTTCCGCCGTAAGAACCCAGAGGCCGGTGTTGGTATTGTGTCTACTGCGTTCTTGGCAGATGCTACCCCTGCTGGGTTGTCTGCTCACACCAGCGACCGTGGCGAATACGACCATGTCATCGGCTCATATTACGCAGGTGGTCTAACCGACTATGAGTGGACAAACTGGGCCGGTCCCGATGTGCTTCTTGGCGCTGGTGCGGAGAACTTCCTCGCGAGCGAGAAGACTCGTGATTACTATAAGCTCTTCGCTGAGAAGGGTTACAACGTGGCCTGGAACCACACCGCGCTGAACAGTGCCTCAAACGAGGAGAAGTTGTTGGGTGTTTTCCAGAAATCTAACCTGGCTACTTGGCTTGATCGCAACGTCTACCAGGCCAATCTTTACAACCAGAGTAACTACCCCGACGGTTCAGGCCGTGACGCAGACGATCTGCCCGGTCTCAAAGATATGACCCTCAAGGCGATCGATGTGCTAGACAAGCGACACAGCAAAGACGGCTGGTTCCTGATGTCCGAGGCCGCCAGCATTGACAAGCAGATGCACTCTCTGGACTACGATCGGACACTGGGTGAGCTTCTCGAACTCGACGATACCGTGCGCGCAACAATCGAGAAACTCGAGGAGATGGGCCAGCTAGAAGACACCCTCATCTTCGTCACAGCCGACCACGGCCACGGCTTCGACGTGACTGGCTCGGTTGACACGGAGTACATGGAGGCGCAGAAGGATGACCGCAGCAAGCGCAACGCTGTCGGATATTACGAAAACTCTGGTTTGTCGCAGTACACTGTCGCCGGATCCAACGCCTTGCGGTACTCCGAAGGTGTCCACTTCCCTGCCCAATGGGACCCGAGATACACCCTGCACGCGGGTGCTGGCGCCTTCCCTGACCACCGGGAGGATTATCAGGTTCACAAAGACGGACCCCGCAAGCCTGCAGTGCAGGACAAGCAGCATGGCTATGTTGCTAATTACAAGGATGCAGTCAGTGGTTTCCTAATCAATGGAACCCTTCCCGTTGATGCGGCGCAGGGTGTCCACTCGTTGACCGATGTGCCGGTCTTTGCGCGCGGCCCGTGTCAAGAACTGTTCGGGGGTGTGTACAACTCGATTGACATCTTTTTCCACATGGCGGAGTGCCTGGGATTGTCAGAGACAAACGGACATGGCAAGCCTAAGGGTGGAAAATAGGACCATTCTGTTGATGACATCACTGTTTGACAGGTTTTACTCAATAATGTAAAGATCGTGTGTTATAGCTCAAATATGTACAAGAGAAGAATATGAAATGATGTCAGTGAGAACTCAACATGTAATTTCAGTAATATACACTTTGAATATCGAGAAACAGTAGCATGCAAGGTTTATATGTAACGTCAAACACCAGTCTATTTACAATGGCCCAGCCAATTGATGCAATATATCAACACTTACCAAACCAATCTATAACGCAACCATTTGAAACACAGGGGAACATAATATATGTTCTCCGTCATAATAACCGGATTTAGGTGGCGTTGTTGGCACAGGTCCAGCTGGCCTTGGACGAGCTCTCGTTGATAGCCACGCCCGAGACATAGAGTCCCAATCCACACTAGTCTTGTCAGCAGGGAATTCAAAATCACACAGATGGGCACAACATACAATAGCACAAGCAATTGCAAGAATGATCAGGTTGATAATAGTTAGGGCGATGTTTTTGGGTGACGAGAAGAAGTTTCCTTTGTTCATCATGAACCAGAAGAAGGCAGGGAGGCCGTCTGTTATCAGTCAGTAATCCATTTCACACCATGACCTTAGTCCCAAAAGTTCGACTTACAGCTGAACCAACTTCCAAACAAGGCACTCTGAACGACAAATTAGTAGACGCACGGTAATAGATACTCGGAGAACATACAATCAAACTCAACAACTCGTTGAACACAGGAATGGACTCTGCGATGATCCAGGCAACAGTCCATGTAGTTAGACCGATCGCAACCCATGTACCCGTAGCCAGGAGACTCTTCTGATGCATGTGGTGGGAGCGGTTGCCGCGGAAGATTCGAACATAGATATACTTGCATGCAACGTGGCCGAAAACGACACCGGCAACAATGACCTATCGGAGATTAGAATAGACTCACGAACCCACTGAAGAGACAAATAACGTACTGTTGGGATGGCCAGACCGTAGGCAACCTTCTTCATCATAGGTCCAGCAGACGATAGAGCCGGTGATGAGACACCTGGGCCCGCATAGCAGTAGATGACCATAGCGGTCACAACGTACATGGTAGTATCGACAACCTGGAGCATGGCGAGGGCTTTGGGGAAGTCGGCGGGATCCTGCATTTCCGACATGATACCGAAGAAAGAGACGTGGGCAATAAAGGCGAAGACAATGTTGGTGACAGCCAAGAAACCTTCCTGGAAAGTCGGGGTCGTGACGATATCGTTCTGAACATTATCGGGGGCCTGGACGGCAATGGAAACCATCGTGACGATAGTGGCGACCAGGATACTGATGGCGGAGACGATGGACATCCAAAAGACCTTCTCTGCTGTCCGCGGGAGGGCGGCAATGCAGCTGACGAGCAAGCCGACGACTCCGAAGACTATAGTGCAGGTACCGTGGTTCGTGATGGTGTTGAACAACACGGAGAAGGTGAGAATGTGACTGGCCATCAAGAAGATGATGAACAGCAGCTGGCCGACGAAGAAAATCTCCCGCCCGATGGGCCCCATAAGAAGCTCACCAGCATCACCCATGCTGTGAACTTGGGGATAACGCTCCTTGAACTTGCCCATGGTGTATCCAGTGTACCACGAGATACCAGACAAAAACATAATGATGACAAATGCCCTGGGAGATGGTCAGCTTTCTTTCCTGTGTCGTGGAGGCGGACATTTTCTTACGGGACAATTCCGAGGGTTGCTACTGCAGACGGAAGAGACAGGATACCAAGCGAGATGTTTTCAGCAACCATCACTAGACGAAGGATATTAGAAAGGGGCTCCTGTTTTGATTGGGTTTAATATGGGCTCTCACGCGTTCCAGCTTGCCTGTATATGAAAGTCAGAACTGTGCTCTTCAATACAAATGAACATGGACAGAATGAGATACTCACCACCATGGCATAATACGATACTTCACTTCCCCAGATTCTTCGTTTCCAAAGGGATCATCCGTTGGCTCTACGGGATATGCCTTCTTCTCCATGTCCATTGTGTCATTGTATACTTCTTGGTCCTGAATAGGACGAGGTGTGTCTTGAACATTCATGTTGTTGAATGGTATATGATATGGGGAAGTGAAGAAAGGAAAAGGTCCAGGGTGAGAAGAAAAGGAACCGAAAATTGGTTGTGGAGGCCCAAAATGAACGGTTCCAGAGTTTTTGCTTGGCGCAGGCGATTAGAGTTAGAATATCCTACGACCAGATAATGCCATAGAATGATATGGTGGGGAGACCAAGCTGCAATGCTAACTCGCTCAAGCACACTCGGGGGCCGGGGTAAAATTGCCGATGAGGTTTGTAAACTTAGCCGAAAAATCCGTTTATGGGTTTGGCCACACTTGTGGAGGATTACATAAACGCATCTTCACCGGTGCCGACCATCGTTGTGGGGTATTCGGTGTCGGTCGAGCCAACCCACACACGTTATAATCTTGGAAGAAGGTTGTTCTGCACTCTACAGATTGTACCGGCCCGGCGAACCCGGCCCGGCGTGACCCCAGAGACGCAGGCCCCAACATTATCAGCGATAGCGTCGAGAAAATTTTAGTCAAGGTTTTATGTATTGTCTGTGAGCTAGATTTACCCCAAATTTCAACCCCAGATTATACAATTTGCCTGTGGAAATGCTTTCTTAAAAGATAAATATAAATATATCTATACATCCTGGGAAACTAGAGTCTGACTGTGGCGCATTTTAACTTTAGTGTGCCGGAACTAGAATTTTCTCGAAGGATTTCTTCTTTGGGACTTCGGGATCCTCGGGGTCGGGAGACACAGCCACGACATGTCCGAGGGTCCAAACCACCCCGGGTTTGGGGTTGGTCCTGTTTTAGGAAATGGGGTTGATTCGAAGGTTGCATCCTGCATATCCATTCTTAGTTGGGATTGCGGGGTGTGGAAATGCCTTTGTATATTGTATAACAATGCGTTCTTCTCATATAAATAATTGGACCCAATCTAAAAAAATAGCTCATTCGCATATCGATCAATAGGATATGTTTTGACATAAACTAGTAATATATGCCAAGCTACGGAGTAGAAACTATGAATATGAGGCGCAACAGGAGGCTGTTGAGGAACGCCACCCTTATTTTGCTGCGCTATGACGTTTTCTTGGCGCATATCCTCCTAATTTTCAGAGGGGTAAATGCGATGCACAGATCGGAACAGGCTAATATGCATCGAATATACGGAGAGTAGAGGTTCCTCCATGTCAAAGCAAGATTGAAAACCAACTACTACCCCCTTGTCTATGGGTCTCCACTGGCACCTATTCGAGATGACTAATAATGTTTGGAGCCTGAGGCCAAATTGCTGACACATCCAGTGTCAACACGTGATGATTCCTCTAAGGTTACCAAGTGCGAGCGGGACGGGTGAACCAATCATCCGGTTTGAGGTTCAACAGCAGATCAGGGGCCAATGTACAACATACAGTTAGGCATCGACTTCCGCACCAAAGAAGCATTTGGTGAGATGGGAATAAGACGCTTCGCTTGTACAAATTCCTGCTTCAATTGGAATGAAACGTCTGCATACTCATTCCGCAACTATGTTAGACTGCGTAAGAAATTGGACTTTGATTGATTGCAAGACCCATACGTTCAACTGCCAATCGATTTTATTCGGATCGAATCCGATTCCCTACTCGGTTCTCCTACATATGACGATAAAAGTCCAAGCTTTTTGCTTGCCCAACATGCATCAACGATATCTTCATCGCATAACCAAAGCATCTGAGCCTAAGACAGCTATCTATGTAGCTTAGAACTACTCCATTGGCGGAGGCTATATTACGAGTCTCTAATCACAACAACTGGAGCAGTGTGAACATGAACCACGACGTTGCACAAATATAGCGTCAGCCCGAAAGCCCTGCACGAGCTTGATAAATTCAAATTGCGTCAATCGAAGTACAAAGTGCACCAAGTAGTATCTTTCCTCGGTTCTTGCTGCTCTCTTCAACCTTCTCACCAAGCAACACTGTCCCCTGCACCATTTTGGGTGCAGTAATAGTGCAATTCGTCACCTCCAAGGTGGCGCCCCTGGGACTCGCAATAGTATAACAGGTCCTTCTCGTTCTTAATGGTACAATCGGGGCATTGATCCCATTGCGCGCTACCAGTGTTTCGCTTCTTGTAGGCACCACAGGCCTTTTCAGTTGCAGCTCTATTGTAAACTTCCTATAATGCAGTTAGAATTGCATTCCCCGGTGATATAGGTTTCCAGTTTGTTCTTACCACTCCTTTGCCAGGTGTATCGATGCAGACACCTTGAGTATGGAGATCTGCGAAAGCACTACAAAGAATCAGTGCGTGTATCAAACATGTGAATTTCGAGAAGATCTTACCCAGCAGCGAGAACTGCGACAATAAGTGAAATGGATTTCATCTTGTGATAATGCCGTGAGAAATGGTTATCAACCTGGCTTCTAAGAATTGGGCGGTAGGTAGGAATTTAAATGGTCCGAAAGCCAGAGAAGTGGTACTTTAAAAAGGACATAGAAGCCTCCTTCTAAAGTGAGTTTGCCTGTCTGGTACTTCATCTCCTATGATACCCTTGAGATGAGACAACCAAGATAAAACTTCCGAGAAAACTCCATTGGAACGATGATCTTTGATCTTCCTTTCCCGAATCGTATACATGGCGTTTTTCATGATGACATCCGTCATTCCGCCAGCCTCCTTGAGGTGGGCTATGTTTCACAATAATTAAGTCTGGTTCAGAGTTGATTTGCAAGATCTTACCTTTATAGCATTTAAGGTTCGGAAGAACACCACGTGTAAGCGGAATCGGTACGAAGGGACACCCCGATGACCGTACATGTTTCATTCTTCATTGATACTAGATGAATTTGGTTTCATATGTTAAATGAATTTGATTTCATATAATATTTTCTTCAAGGCACAAATGGCCATATTAAAACAGCATCACTATTCCGTAGGGAGTACGGAGGACTTCGGATGAACTGGGTTTGGCCCCCAAGGTGTGTCCCAGCTCTCGTCAGGAACCAAGACACCCCACAGCCGTTGCACTCCCCCAGGGCCCATTCTGAAGGATGATCTACATCATCCTTCAGAACTCTAAGCAAAAGACAAATTGATTATCTTGTGCTATCAGGACTTGATATCTGCGGTGCATTTCCGGCTATTCCTCGGAAGTATACAAGTGAAACACGGGTTGCGTGAATATCTGAGCTTTGATACGTTCCGGGAGATCCTTTCTGATAAAATAGCTGTATGATGAATTCGTCAAGTTCGACAAAAGGTATCCCCTGAGCGACTCTAAATAGGGTCTCCTTTCCATCGCTGATTTTGCGATATCACTTTTCCAACTACTCAAACCTTGATCACTCCTTGGTACACATCATGAAGATCAATCTTTTCTTGTTGAGTTCTCTCTGTGCCAACAGTGCACTCGTTTATGCCCTGCCGGCCGATACGGCTGTTCTCATCCTAAACGATGGTACCACCAAGACTGTCGACAAGAGGGACCTTGCTGCCGAATTCCCTGGAGTCAGTCTGTCTCCGCCTACCGATTCTGTCCCCAAATTTATCCAGACTGGATCCAACGAGTCCACCCCCTCAAACCGTCTGAGCAAGCGCTCCGGTGCCCAATTCATCATCCCTCTTCCTGACCAGAAATTCCTGGGCTGGGATGTCCCCATGTCTACCATTGTGCATGCCAACGGAGCCGATGCCACCGCCGCCATGGCACAAGGCCAGTCCATCGCAAACAGCATCTCCGTTAGCACCTCGTTTACGGCCACCGTGGAAAAGTTCCTAACTATCGGAACCACCGTCAGCTACCAATACACTGAAACCGCTACTCTCACCGGCACGGTTACCATGACAATCCCGAAGAACAGGTGGGGTGCCATTGTTAGCAATCCCTTGACCCATCGCAAAAGCGGATACGTATTCAGTGGGCAGCCCGGAAGTGGACAGTACGAACACTATCAGGCGGATTCTTTCACCCAGGATACTTACCGCTACGGACCCAATTCCTTGTCCTGGGTAAAGGGTGTTGTTACAACTTGCTTGGGAGATACTTATCCTTTGAAGCGCTGCGTCGGAGAGGGTGTGATGGAGTAAATCTTCAATTTTTGGGACTTCCTTCCAATTTTTGGGATTTGAATCAGGGATATTGGTCACACTTCCACTTCGCCATATGCCACTTGGCGGCAGGAAGAGTCTTTCATGGCAGAGGTCTGGACTTACTACCACTTTCATGTTGTGTCACAGTTATATAGCCGTCAATTCACAACCTAAGTGCTCGTTCCAGCGCAATAAATGTCCCGTTGCTGGTAAATGTAGTATAGAGACCATGAGTGCCATTTGCCAGATTTCGAGAAGCTAAACTTTTGCTCCGCCGGGTAATACAAGTCCGAGTTTGGTCTACGGGTCGCGTCCAATACCCTGACTAGAAAGGCTGTATCTAGGAGGTAGTAAAATATAGTGATTAATAATCATTCCGAATCAACCTTGGAATCGGAGGAGTTGATGTAAACTATCGGAGCATTCCGTCTCATTGTGTTCCGGGGTATATTTATATCGGCAAGCTAATGTTTCTCAATCCTCAGAGCTCTCTAATGAGTCCTTCTTTTGACTCTACGTTCCACATAGTAACAACAGGAATGGGATTGTTGCTAACAAGATGAATGCAACCAGCGTGAATGTCCATCCCCGACCCATTGCGGTCAACATAGGATCGATGGCAGCCGAGGCTGCAGCCGAGAAAAAAGACCGCACCATGTTATTGGCAGCAGTAGCAGCAGCCGGGTTGGCGGTGTGTAGATCGACCAGCAGAGTGGAGGTGGAGATAAACCCCCCAGTCTGTCCTACGCCGATGAAGAACAGAAGCACCTCCGGAGCCGCAAGAGGCGCGCCGTATTTGAGTGCCCAGCCAAACGCTAGCACGGTGACACTACCGAGGACAACGAGGGGAATAGTAATCATACTACGGGCCTTCTCGATAGAGATCGAGTCCTCGGGTGTATCTTGTTCGGATGTAGTGAAATCAGTGGCTCTTTTGGCAGCCATGCGTCGATAGTTCCAGTCCAGTAGGCGCCCTGTAACAACCGAAGCCACGATGGACCCAGTGCCTAGCGAGATATAGCATAGACCGATCTCAAGCTCGTCCAGGCTGTACTGCGCCGTGTATATCTCCGTGATAGAAGAGAGAACCGTCATGTTCCCACCCATGATGATTCCCGTTACCAAGAGAATGATGATTGAGTTTGGATGAAACACCAGTATCAAAGGTTTCAATGGGTTGGGGAATTGGAGTTTGTGGTCGATAATTTTCTTTGGCGAATCGCTGCTGTGAGGTCGATCAACACTATCCTTGTCGGAGCGATACTGGCTGTTCCCATTTTGGCGAGAGAACAAGTAAACCAAAGGCCGATTCCACGGCTGTGCAGGGAATGAGCCGTCGCCAACGACGTTTCGGGCAGTTTCGGGGAGAAATAGAAGGAGAGGTAACAAGAAGACGCCGGAGGCGATGGTCAGGAACCAGAAAATCGATCGCCAGCCCAAATATTGAGCTAAAAGTCCTCCAATAATGGGACCAATGGCGGGCCCCATGAAATTTCCAGCCATCACAAACCCCATCATCGATCCTCGTTCCTGTTTTGTGCTGATATCAGCCACAGTAGCTGCAGAGAGTGCTACACTGCTGCTGATCCCAGAACTCTGCAAGCATCGCAATATAATGAGAGCAGCATAGCTGTCCTGCAAAGCCAGTCCGATGTTCGACGCGATGTAAATAATAAAACAAATGATATAGGCTGGTCGACGGCCTGTTCTGTCTGCAAAGTCGCCGATAAACATAGGGGCAATTCCTTGGAAGATCTGGTATATGCTATCCGTTAATATATGGGTCCTTATCTTCGTCAACTGGTATATTCTTACCATGTAACTTGTCACAGTTAGGTTGATCATGGATGCTGACACATTGAGGTCGTTGGCCAGCGTGTTCAGGGCTGGGAAATATATCTGGGCCGACAATGAAGAAAATAACCCAGCGCCAGCGGCTGTAGCGACAATGTATCTTTTTTTAGCGGTACTAAAGGAGCTGTACGGTGGAGGTACATCCTCTGCAAGCGTGGTTTCGGAATTCATTCTAGTTCGAGTTTGCTGGGCATGTGCAGAATGTCAAGACAGACTACTTAATGAATCGGACTCTTTGACAATGTCAAGGTTCAACTCGTCCCCTTTCCCACTGTTTAATCGCAATGGACAACTCATCGTGGATCCAGGAGGCAACAGCAAAAGGACCACAGCGCAGTGACGTCAAATCAGGAGAAGGGTTCCACCTTCCATGTTGTAGGTTAGAAATATTTGGATGATGTGATTGAAAGTCTCGAACAGAATGATCGACTACTCAAAAATTATCCACGGAAGCATCGATCATTACTCAAAACACTTTTAGGGCATAAGGAATATCGCCAATATTGACACGCGGCTCTTAGTTCGGAAACTAACGGAGGCATCGGGATCCCGTAGGAGCAAGTGGGTTGATATTCGGGACATTCTGGACCTGAAAGATCTGCAAGGTCGACATCATGGAACCTTGTGGACAAGCTCACATGGCTCCTACTGGCTCGTCTGATTGGTCTTATTATCTCCACTGACCCGCTTTGATCTACTTTGAGGTCCACATCTTCAGAAGCTTGTTGGCCCGTTAGAATTATCATATCGTTCGGGAATATGCACTATTTGGCCCATCGTCTTCATGCAAAGAAACTAGGAAGAAACTAGTAGATGGTCTAATTTGACCCCCTATGTAGTGCTACTTTGAAATTCAATAGGCAAATGCAAAAATGAGGTCCTACAGAAGATGGAACCCCAAACACGCATTCCTGATGGTTAATCGTGAAGCACTCACTTTCTTGACACAATTTCGTGATGATCTGCAAATTGAATTGTGTAATAAATTTACAGGGTATAGCCAATTAACCCTTGAGTGGAAGGCTTGTGCCAGCTCAAATTTTAAGATGCATGTGAAGGTCCACACTGGTCTATTCTAGCTAGTATATTTCTAGTATAGTGCAGCAGATCATAGGGTCAGATCTATGTTGTTGTATATTGCGAATATTTTTTACAACATACATGGTCCTCGTCAAGAGCATCTAGAAGCACATTGACATGACGCAAGCTAATAGGAGTTCCCTTGGACGATCACTGGGTACATGACGTGCAATATACAACGTATGCTGTAGATGGCGTGAGTCGGAAAACAACTACACAGGTAAATCTAGCCTTATTGGGCGAGCAATAAATAACATACAGGAAAATATGTATTTTGTGCAGATCCATTGAGTCTCTGGACCAGCAATATTTAACATGGTATGCCGCCTCGAATCAATTCATCAATCAACTCAACTAAATATCTCGGATACACTTCTCCGAACCCTTTCTTTGCTCCAAATAAAATACTACAATACCTTCAGGCAAAGGCTCAGACCAACATCATGGCTAGTGAAAATCTGGACTCCGTGCCAACTGTCACTATCATCGGCGCAGGGCCCTGTGGCTGTGCCTTTGCGGCCGATTTAGCTAGCCGTGGGAAGTCAGTCATGCTGTATGCTCATCCCGATCATCGAGGTGGAACAGAAATGATTGAAAGGAACAATGGCTGGTTGAACGCAGCCGGAGAGATCAGTGGAAAATTTCAAATCAAGACCACCAGTGACCTCTATATTGCCATTCGACACTCTCCTTTCATCGTGACCACAGTACCCTCATATGGCCAGGACACCATCCTGACGTTGCTGAGTCAATTTGACTTGCGGAATCATACTCTCATCATCAACGTGGGCAATTTCTTTTACCTCTCTGCCCGCTCGAAGATCAACGCCCATGCAATCCTCGAAACCGACATCTCCCCTTATGCCACTCGCATCCAGGGTGACACGGTGTTCGTCAAAGGATGCAAGAAGACTCTGTCAATATGGGCCGAGCCACCAAACACAACACAGGTCGAGCGGCTTGACCCCCAGGCGGAGCTTGGCCTCCGACAAAAGGTCGAGATGATCTTTTCTCAGAAACTAGTGTGGTGTCAGAATCTACTCGAGGTTGGGTTGAACAATGTCAACCCCGTCGTGCATTGTCCTGCGGCACTCATGAATGCAGGCTGGATCGAGGCCACCAAGGGCGATTTCTACTTCTACGCCCAGGGAATGTCTCCCTCTGTCTCTCGTGTAACTGAAAAGGTAGACAAGGAGCGTCTGGCAATTTCCCACGCCTATGGGCTCGAGATCACACCCATCACAGCGTACATGAACCAGAACTATAACAATGATCGGGAATACTCCGACTACCACGACTTTGCCTCAGGCTCTGTGGTCCACAACAAGACCAAGAGCTCCCCAACCTCCCTCAATCATCGCTATTTGTTGGAAGATATTCTCTATGGCTTGGTCCCCTGGTATGAGCTTGGCTTGAAGTGCGATTTAGCTTCGCCAACTATTGGAGCACTTATCCAGATGGCTGCCGTTGTCAGCGGCTTTGATTACTTTGAGCACGGGAGGACCCTGAAGTCTGCTGGACTTGGTGATGCCACTAAAGAACAGGTGCTTCACGCTTTGGGTGGACCGGTAGACAAGACTCCGAGTGCCAATGCACCCTTATCAGACTCTGCTGTTAGTACCAAACTGGAGTTCCATGCTCCATTACAGACTGCTCAAGTTGGGGCGTGATAGTCTTTTTTTGACATTTTCGGGAAATAATTACTTGGCGTTTCAAATTCTCTTTGCTATGCTTCTTCTGTGTCTGTGTGGGTTCATTTTGCAGTGACGATGCCGTGGTTCAAAAATAGAATACACCTATAGAAATAAAATGGCGAGATCCTGTGTATTGAGGATAAGAACAAAAAAAAAGACAATCCTCATTTCCTAGTTCCAAATGTCTTCAGGCCTAATTACAGCACAATACATGTATACTTATGTTAAGTGGAGCAATCGGTTGCTTTCAAAATGGTGTTCAATGACAGTGCACAATAAGTCCACTTCAGATGATTGTGGCTTGCTTGTTCAGGAGCGGACAGCCAACATGAGCCAGACACAGGACAACTTTCGCAGTAAACGTAAGTCAAATGTCAATCTTCATTCGCCGCCAGGAGACTTTCTATAAGGCAATCTGCCAGCTTCTGCATGAGTGAATATATGGTTATGCGAGTCTCGTGTGCCAAGACTTTCGTTTGGCTCGGCAGCGGGTCGGGCCGGAGAAGTCCGCACTTGCCGAAATAGTGTATGCCAGATATGGAAGGCGGCATCTGGGCTAGCAAGATATTCTTCACACAAGCTGCTATCCTCATTGTCCTCTTCGCAAGGTGGTTTTCAGATGAGGTCCTGGGTCCACAGACGGCGCTTTGTTCTCATCTTCACAAGGTGCTGCAAGCATTTCGACAAGGCCCGATATCTTTGGCGACATGATGAGTAGTGACGAGACTAGCGCAGTCCACTGTTATAGGTCCCCCCTTCACACTCGATATCCTTTGCAGACGCGGCCCAATTGTACCAATTCACTTCCTCATCCATACCCATGTTGCTATCGGCTTGGTCTTCAGAGGTGAAATCAGTTGACATGCCCTGATCAGACCACAGCCAAGGCACAACGCCTGGGATTGTAAGCTGACCATCGAATTGAGCTCCCGGTCCCATTGAGAAGTGTGAAGATGTGGCAAGATTTTCGGTATCAAACCCGATTCCTGAATTAGGCACCATGGCTGGGTTGAAGTTCATAGATTCAATGCTTGGCATATCGTACCCGGACTGCCGTTCCTCTGCAGGGATATACCCTTGCCCAGCGGTGAAATCTGAGTAAAATGGTGTATGGGATGATGAATCGGGAGCAAGATGCACACTTGATTGCGTTGTATTTTCAATTTGCAACGGTGGATTCGACGCATTGGTGACAGCAGACCCAGGTGTGAGTGCATCAGGTTTGGTTTTATCTGGGTGTGCTACCAGCTGGCGCCATTGATAAAGGAAGAGATCCGCGGAATTTGAACCAGATGGGAATGGCCCGGTGCTCGATGGGACTGGGGCAATGCGATAGCTCTGCTCCAGCTGTTGGACAGCTTGAAAATCGTTTCTCAGCCGTCTAAATTCCGTAACACGATAATCCCTGGCCTTGGTCATAAGCTTTCGGAGTGGAATCCATATTCGTAGATTCCTTTGCATGTGTGATTGGTTCGGTATCAACGAGGGGCTATGAAGGGCTACCCAGGCCCGTTCAGAAAGAGGCGACCACGGGCGTCGGGAGATCTCTAGCATCATGTAGACAATTGAGTACCAATGGGTATAGGTCTGGAAGACCCAGCGCCAGTGCCTGCATGCTTGCTCATCGTTCAGGGCATGGTTGTACTCAGCGACCTCGATACTGGAAACCAGTAGTTTTGTCCTCAGCTCCTCCGAGAAGTCTTCGCTCGGGGAGGAAAACAACAGAGGCAGGTACATCAGCAAAGTCATCTTGGCTATAACCAGTCGAACGACCCTGACTATCACCCAGTGTGTAATGTTCCCTGATTCACTTGAGTATTGAAGGAAGTCTCGTTGGAAACCTTGGTATATCTGTTGCAACGCGCGACTTTGCTCTTCTACACTCGGTGCTCCGTCTCTGAAGTCATGAGCCAGCATTCTCCGCGTAATCTCACACATGCAAATGGAGACGCGCGCAACGGACATATCAGTCAGACCAACGCGAGCTTGAGGCGTTTCCTTTGATTCAGGATCGAGGTCTGTGTCATCGAGGTTCAGAGGTATTTTAGTATCGAAGCTCGCTCTTGTTATCGTATACTCGGTTCCCTGGTCCTCGGACGCTCTCGCGTCCAACATGCACAGGGCCCACCAGACTCTTCGCCGCATCTCAATCTCATATGGGCTGAGATAATCGAAATGTGTTCCATCACGATGTAGCCCCAGAGCTTGACCCATTCGGATTAACAGTCCTGTCATCATCCACACAAACCTCGGACTATCATGTCGGCGAACAAGACAAAGGAAGATGGCAAATGCCTGTACCAGAGTAAAGTCTGGTACATTCAGAAAATCAGCTCTTGCAAGAGCATGCTCGAGGCCTTGACGATATTTGAGATTGAGCTCGGCTTTGGTTGCTCCGAAATTCAGTAGAATCTAAATACCGAAACGTGAGCCTCTGACCCGCATGATTGGATCTGTCAGAAAAAATGAGTATCTAAGAATTTGGCTTACATCTTCTTCTTCCATGGAAGTGATGGCAGAGTAGTAAATAGAAAACATCAGAGCTTCATTAGCCGGTGAGAGTTCCTTCTTTTCACGGCCACGCCAATCACGAACCATGCTCTTGACAGTGGGGAGATGAACGATTTGAAAGATGATGTTCACGTTTTCAGAGAAGACATCTAGAATAAAGGGAATCTGAGAGGGGAGTGGATGGAGGTCGGCTAGGTTAGGAGAAAAGGGACTCATATTGTGCCCAAATAGGAATCCGTGACGCTCTGCGGGGGTCCGTTCAAGTTCTTGTGTGGAAGGAGTCATCTCTGGCGATGCCTCATCGTCTGAGGTATCAGACTCTCCAAGTGGTACACCACTAACATCTGCCTTGAGGCCATCAAGCTACAATAGAAGTTAGTTGACCATTTATTCCCTACAGCAATGTAAACAGACTATGGCAGCATACCTCATCATTGACCCGAGACCAGAAACCACTGCTAACATAGCGGCTTCTGTTGGAATCATGAAGCACCAGTCTCCCGAACTTATTTTGCAAATTAGCAGTACTAAGATTCGACTGTGTGGAATTTTCAGGCGAACCGACCCCGGATGACCCTTCACCAGTAGAGTTAGCTGCTGATTTAGCCTGTTCCAGCTGAATGCGTAACTCCTGAACAAGGCTTTCAAGGTTGTGAAGTCTGTCCATCACGTCTTCTGCTACTGGTTCGGGTTCCTGCGAGGCCTGTAGATTCGATACCGCATTGTTGAGTCGGTCGAGATGGCGGGCCCATCTTGGCGGTCGGTCTGTAGGTGGAAGAACACACGCGATATTTGCACGACGGCAATTGGAACAAGGTGCTCGCTTGTCGCAGCGGACTTTGCGGCTTCGACATACTACACAGCTGCGCAGCTTAATGGGAGTTGCGTTTCTGCCTGAGGCGTCGACTCTCGCGTTTTTCTCGGCGTCCGAGCCCGACGCGAGCCCGCCCCCAAGTGCCCCTGAGGCTGTGACCGGCTCTTGTGACATCTTAGGCCGTTATGAGCTTGTTCCAATAAGCGATAAATCATAAATGTGTCAGACAAAGCTTGATTATCCCTTGACCAGGCAGCAGGCAGAACAGGGCTGGAAGAGTTTGCCGTCTGACTGGGGGAATAGCGCAGCATAAGCGTCGAGTCAGCAACAACCAACGAGAGAACAGCATTTCCGCCTCAATTTGATAGGCTCCGGTTCTTCCCCTCACTCTGAACCTCCAGGGCTGTGTCGCGAAAAAAGAGCGAGACGTTCTATGTTGACTCGGATAGCTTTCGCATTCTCAATAACGCGCGCAGTTAGCCAAAATGTATATTATGAAGCTCATCATCCCACCCAAGAAACTTGAAAGAAGCTATCAACCTCCCATCTACTATCAACATCAGATTACAGCTTTCTAATCTCTCACTGCTTGAGCAATCACAGCCCGTCAAGATGATGATGCCAACCACCAAGACTGTCGCATTCTTTGGCGCTAGCACCGGCGTTGGTCTCGCTGCCCTCAAACACACTCTCGCTGCCGGACACAAATGCATAGCTCTTTGCCGTGATCCCTCAAAACTCACCGCCATCTTCCCTTCGGGATCACAACCAAATCTGAAAATCATCGAAGGCAATGCACACAACATCTTGCCCGTATTACAGTGCCTCCAAACCGACGATGGCCGCATCGTCGATGTCATCGTGTCCACGATCGGCGCCAAGCCAACGGGATTCAGTGTCGACGATCCGGACGTCTGCAAGAAAGGCGCAGCAACTATTCTAGATGCCCTCGACCAGCTGCGAAGCAGCGGCATCCACGGAAAACCACACATAATCGCTACCAGTACGGCGGGCTTCTCCCGCTTCGTCCGCGATGTTCCTCTCGCTATGGTGCCTGTCTATTACCTGTTCGTCAGTGTCCCCGGAGCAGACAAAGTGGTCATGGAAGACCGTTTCTCGCAGAGCGGCGAATCATTTACAATTTTCCGTGCTAGCCACCTTGTTGATGGCGAGTCAAACAACAAAATCCCTATCCGCGTGGGCATCGAGGATCCCAAGACTGGTCCGGAGTGCATGGCTATTGGCTATACTATTTCCAGAGAGGATGCAGGGAGGTGGCTCGCCGAGAACCTTGTCTTGAAGCCAAACCCGAAATATATGAACAAGAATGTTACTGTTACATACTGATTGGGATGGAATGGTGCCGGTGATGGGTCAATTGGCTGGGGAGTTTTCGCTTATTGGGATTGTATATTGAACATAACACGTTGTGATTATTAGAACGCATCGTAGAGCCTAGCATTTACCTAGGTACTTATTAGCAATTCATACTATCTACACACATATGCATATATAGTCAAAGTTTGTGGGCACAGATTGCCATCCAACAAGAGCACACTATGTCCTTTTACTGAAGAAGACTGTATTCAGGGTCAATTGCTTAGAGTCGAGTTGCCAATGGAAGACTTCCATGTTTATACGTAGCAGGTGTATATATCGTCCTTTGAGAAGGTAAGATTTACCTTTCTTAGTCCCCCATTGATGATACATAGTATCCATACGTAATCGATAGACGTGGAATACATCGCTACAAGAGAGAGCAAGACCCATAGATGTAGATGCTGGATATGTCTACCTAGCCCATGGAGGCAACCTTCCAAGGTTGGAAAGAGACGAGGTCTGCAGGCAACGACCTTGGAGCCTAAATGCATCAATAATCTAGGTGCGACTAGGGAGAAGCAAGCATGTTTAAGATAAGATAAAATATTATTTATATTCTAGAGCCAACCAGTGCGCCCTTAGCATAGTCTATATGCGATGCGGTATATGTACAGTGCATGTGATGTGTATAAGTAAAGCAATATGCGGAAATGTCAAGCAAGATAAAGTCATCTAAGCATCGGTGTTGGCGCAGCTGAAGCTGTTGCTGTTGGAGTTCTTGCTGATGGCCGTGCCGGAAGCGTACAGCCCAAGAACACACAGCACCAAACCGAAGCAGGCAATGGCGATGTTGAGGATGCTAAGGAGAATCTTGCGGGGAGAGGCGAACCACTGGCCGTAGTTGAGGTGGAGCCAGTAGATACCGGACAGACCGTAGCTGAACCAGGAGGCGAAAAGAGCACTGATCAAACTGTTCAGATCACTGAAGACAGGAATAGCCTCGGAGATGATCCATGCAACGACCCAGCAAGCCACACCAAGACCGATCCAGAGACTGATAGAACGCTTGTTGCGCTGGTGCATGAGATCAGACTTGGAGCAAAGGCGGAAGTAGATGTACTTCAAGCCAATGTGGCCGTTGACGACACCGGCACCGACAATTGTGGGGATAGCAATGCCGTAGGCAATCTTGCTCATCAGGGGGCCTGCGGATGTAAGGGCAGGGGAGTGCACATCCGTGCCAACGTAGAAGTAAATCACAACGGCGGCGGTGAGGTAGAGAGCAATCTCAAAGCCCTGAAGCATGAACAAGGACTTCTTGAAATCCTGGGGGGACTCCATCTCGGCGATCAAACCGAAGAAAGCGACGTGAGCGCAGTAAGCGAAGACGATGTTCGAAACGGCCTGGAATGCAGTGTACAGGTTGGTGTCGACGGTGGCGTGGATAACACGTTCGGCGGGGCTTTGGACTCCCACGGCAACCATAGTGATCACGACAGCGGATAAGATGCTGAGGAAGGATGCAAACGAGATCCAAGTCATGCCTTTCATCGTACGGGGGATGGATAGAAGAAGCGAGAGAACCATACCGACGACACTGAACACAATGGAGCAGGTGCCGTGGTTGGTGAGGGTGTTCATCATGACGCGGAAGGTCAGGATGTGGCTGCCCATGACGAAAATACAGAAGAGGAACTGGCCAGTACCGAAGAGCTCACGGCCGAACTTGCCCAGCAAGATCTCACCGGCATCACCCAGGTTTTGAATGTGAGGGTACCGTTCGCGGAAGAGGCCAATGTTATAGCCAGTGTATGTTGCAAGAATGCCGAGGCCGATAATCAGGATGATTCCAGGGACGAGACCCAGAGTAGCGACGGCTGAGGGCAGTGACAACACACCCAGTGAAACTGACTCACAAATCATGAGCAAGCCACATTGCCTGGAGACATTCACACGTTAGCACGGTCGACGAGAGAGATTGGTCCCAGATGATACATACCACCACTTCAAGGTTTTATACTTGATCTCAGCGTACTCCTCGTTACCGAAAGCATCATGAACCTCACCAGCTTTGAGCTGGCCCTCCTCTTCGAATTGTGGAAGATCTTTACGCTCAGCGATCTTATCCTGCGCATAGGCAGGTGGTGCGGAATTGACCTCCATTTCTGTGTAGTTGAAAAAGCAGAGGAGTCAGAGTGTTGAATAAGATGAGTAAAGATGAATTCCCACGAGGAAGGAAACACGGGGGAGATCTGGTCATCTTATTTTGTTTCCCCATTTTCCTCGCGTGCCCTGGGAATTTTTGCCCCATGGGAAGAAATGGAAAGTTCCACAGAAATTCGATGCAACCTGACGGATTTCACCAATGACCGTTCTAGTTCCATCCGAATCCGGAGACTTTGGCCAATACCTGGCCAATACCAATATCCACCTATGACTGTTTAACCTTGCTGACTCATTAAAATTGGTGATAGAAATTGACTGTAAAAGCTAATTTCTACTCCAAATAGACCCACTTGGGTACTACGTCCAGTTGCCTGATCGTTGAGACAAGTGGCGATCACTATTCCCCGTTTTTAGCTTTAAATTAATTTGAATATATTTCAACCCATTTGTATTATCTTCAGTATAATTGTCTACTGTTATAAGGTAGATATTGTGGCTTTTACTTTTATATCGAATAACCTTTTCTTGCCGAGATCAGATCCTTCACCGGGATCCCGGTTGATCGGCTTCCTAAATAAATTTGCATTCTCACCGAGCCGCGAGTGGCAAAAGCGCCCCACCCGAACGCCGGAGTGCAGGAACAACTCCGGTGTGTCCCGCCTGTGGATTCGAACTTACATCTACCCCAGGTCTATTACTATCATCCTTTACTATTGATCACGCTACTCCGTACTCTGTACGGAGTACCCCCTCTTCCAATTCCCCTTATTCATCCCTAGCCTATAGATTTCATCTTACAGAGTAGATAGCCTACCTAATGGGTCATAGTTCCAGTTTTACATGGACCAAGCTTTAGTTTTTGGTCTTGTAATAGCATAAGATAACCTTAATTATGATAAGAAACGTGGAGGCCAAATATCCATATGGGGTACAGGGAACGGAGTAGAAATTGATTGAGCCTTCTAGGGACATATAGGCTCTATCTCCGACCAGGTATCAATTTTGCTTCCATGCAGACATGGCCTGTAACATTTTAGGGACTGTTCACTTGGAGTATCAAGTAAGTATAATATGAATTAGTCGGCCGTTTAAGCTGTAGTCCTTTCGGTAACCTCTTTGGTCGTCAGATTCTTAGATATTTCCTCCCCCCTCTCAGTTGTATGTTGTATATCTAAAAGGGTGAAAAACATTAAAAAGTGTAAACCGTTCAGATGATTATATATATAAGCAGGGATTCCCACCCTAGACGAGACCTCGGGAACTTTGAACTCCAACTTTGTGCATAGCATGACACGCCTTCGAGAATTTTACGGAAAGCGATGCGGAAGAATCGGAAATGGGCACTTTAGTAAAGGTCAGACGTGGCGAAAAGGCCTGAGGCCAGAGATTTGCTATCCAACCTTGGTTTCAAGGTTGCTCCCGAGATCGGCTCCGGGGGCTGTGCCCAGTCCGGGTGAAAGTGAAAGATTAGTAATATATTCTGTACCTGCCGTTCTTGGACTAGTGGGGCCAAGAACGTTCGCTGGCCCAATATGGATTAGCGCGCATTCGTCACCCCAATCGATATTGCAAGTTAACGGCGAGGAATGTGACGGGGTCTAGCCAAGATACTCGTGGATTTTGGGCCTATAATACTGATATATATGAAAAGACTCGCTACATACCACCCCGGTGACTCTGCTCAGCGCTATATGGCATGACTCCGCAGCCGCCACCCATCAACCCTTCATGGCAGCCGTTGCCACAGCCTTTATTCGACATAGAGCTAGAGGGCATGCTGAATCCAAATGAGCCAACCCAATGGATGCAAGAGGGCCATTCTTTTGATACTAATACTGGCTATGAATTTCAACCATTTCCTTTTGACATCAATGATCTGGAATGGTCGCAGTGGACAAACTCTGAGTCACACCTCGTATCGACCTCTGATGCACAACCTGGACGTGAAGATCATGAAGCAAAGGTCTCAGAAAATTTATACGATACTGCTCCACCTTTAGCAGAAGAATATGCTGATCCACCCTTATCGCAACCAAGTCTCACCAATGTCTCACAGTGGCTGGATGGGGCATATCGTCCACCTGTATCATGTGCCCATTGTCGCAGGCATCGACTGCAATGCCTGATAATTCGCACTGGGCCTGCCAATCCAAACCCCAAAAACTCATGCTCAAGTTGCGTAGCCCTTTTCAGGGAATGCAGCTTAGCGAAGGGAGAGAAACGCCTCCCATCGGGTTTTGAAACTTTCTCTCCAGTATTAGGTCATCTCCACGGGGTGCCGGAAGATGGAAATCCATTGTCCAAGTCTGCTATGGACAATGTAGATGAACGAAAAGAACCCAAACAGTTTCTTAGAAAAGGAGCTAGAGTTCTCCGCGAATGGTTCTATCAAAATCAAGAATGTCCTTATCCAACAGATATACAAAAGAATCAATTGGCCCACGAGACTGGCTTTTCCCAAAAACGCATATCAACCTGGTTTGCAAACGCCCGCCGCCGCCAAAAGCAAAAGATCCAGGCCGGTGGGCTTTCTTCAACATCGCGTACTCGCTCAGGCTCCCCAATGGTCACTAGCACGCTGTCTTCCCTGACTCCCATGGAGCGCTGGCAGGCTTCCCCGCCAGAAGATGAAGCTGTTCCAGAACTGGCTATTCAAAATGCCATTGCATCTGGCTCGATAGAGTTGGATGACAGCATTGATCCGTTCCAGCTCGATAGGTCTACCATGGATTTTTTCAATTTCGACGAGAGCTCCTCACATCTGGCGTCCTCAGTATCGAGCATTGGGAGCAGGGTATCTGAGACATCTGATAGTGCCTCTTCAGCATGGAGCCATCATTCCTCGGCAGACACGGGGCTGCCATTCTCACTGCCCCTAAAGCAAACTAAACCCAAACGCATTCGAGGGCGGCAACAAGCAGCGGCAGATTATAATTACCAGTGCACATTCTGTACGCAGACTTTCAAAAAGAAACACGACTGGGCCCGCCACGAGAAAAGCGTCCATCTGACTCTTGACTCCTGGATTTGCACCCCGAATCTCAACGACGTCCAACAAGCTTTTGCGGTCCAGATCTCTGAATGTCTCTTCTGCGACGTAGCTTTCCCAACGCTTGCCCATTGGGAAGAGCATGAATTCCAAATTTGCGCCGATAAGCCTGCTCAACAGCGATCATTCAGTCGGAAGGATTATCTATGGCAGCATCTACGCAAGTTCCACGGCTGCACAAAAGCCCCCGTGGCTGACCTCGAAGCCTGGCGCGGATCGGGCGCCAACGTCCAAAGTCGCTGTGGATTCTGTGGATGTTCACTGTCCACCTGGTCAGCTCGGGCAGAGCACCTAGCGGGTCATTTTAAGAAAGGGTCTCGTATGAATCAATGGGAAGGTGATTGGGGTCTAGATGCATCTATCTTGAGTGCTTTACGCAACGCGATCCCACCATCTCAGCGGGTCATGGTAAACATGTCTGCTTAGCGTCGAAAAAGTTGTATACGAATTAATGAAATAATGAATACATAATACATGCCATTGAAATGCTCATACCGCGCTGGTCGTTAATGAAGCTACAGACTCAAGCTACCCCATCATACCGTAGTCTGCCATTCGCGATTGTACCAAGTCCCCATACCCAATATAAACAGCAGGAGGCTGCCATCCCTCACAACATCTCTGAAAAGCTGTACTGCCATTCCCATACCACTAGACTTCCCATCAAGCAACACCTTACTACCAGTCAATAGCAACTCTCCGGTCACAAAGATCGTAAAGGGATTCTGTGCCGTCGCAGGCTTTGGTGGGGGACTACCAAACAACGTGACCGAAGACCCAATAATGAATAGCAGGTAAACAGCAACTGACAAAGCAAAGACGGTGTGCATTGTCTTCCAAATCCGAGCGCGCTTCCGTTCCGCCTCGGTGGGCGGCGTCGCTCCACCTAGCATATTAGCAATGAAAGGCGGCACGCCGAGCATCGACGCGATAGCAGCAAGTGAGAATCCGGGTGCTGATGGACCGCCCGCTCCGGCCGGGGGTGCCCCTCCTAGTGCATTGGGGTCACCGCCGGGTATAGCACCCATGAGAGAGTTTAGGAGTTTAATGGTTGGGTCTTCGGAGTCACTGGGCGGCTGTCCCTGTCCTTGATCCTGTCCGGCTTGTCTCAACATCGCGCGGAATGCTTCTTGTTGGGCCTGGAGGCTATTTGGCGCTTGCGGGTCGGGATGCATGCCCTGGTCCGGTTCCGGTGCGGATTGTCGGAGCATCGAGAAGAATGCTTCCTGCTGAGCGCGAATCGCCTCTGGTGACTGCATATCTGGTTGAGCAGAGGCCGAGGGTCGGAACTGGGGGTTTTGCGGTCCTGGAGAGGGGGATGCGGAGATTGCACGCTGGGGTTGGGGGGATGGGGAGGCTTCTTCACGCTCTGTTTTGGTTGACTAGTTAGTAGGCTGTACTGGTACGGCTGATGGGCGTGTCTGCTTTGCTATGGCGGGCTCCTTGGGTAGAAGCGGGGATGCGTATTTCATTTCGTACCGGTTTGTGGCGTGCGTCCACTGAGACTGGTGATTTTGTCTAGGCGCGCTGAGCCTCCTTCCTTAATCTTTGCCTCGCGGCGCTCGCGGCGCAGTCGGGCGGATCGTTGTGCTGGTGATTCTTCTGTCATCGTTGCTGGATTTTCAAGAAAATAGACCACAAATGCTGAGATTGGGAACAACGAGGTGGGTTTGCTAGATAGTAGCAATCACAAGTGGGATGTCGTCTGGCGAAGGTGGCCGGCCGATCTGGATGTTGCTGATCAGCCCCAGTCCCGTGGCGATAAGAACACCAGCCACAACACTTAAACAGGAAATCAACGGCTACGCATGGCTGTCTCGATCAGAAATTATTCAAATTGTCAAGTAATGCTTTCTTTCTTCTAAGCTGCTTTTGGATAATGTCAAGAAAGTACAAGGAGCTTTGATGGATGATCAACAGTAGGTAATATTCTTCGGTTAGAATACTGTTGAAATCCAAGGGAAACATACATATGAAAATGATTGTGGTATGATCTCCTAAGCTATACTTATATACAGGCGTCTATATTCAATAACAAAAGTCCTGCACAAGCTGAGTAAACAGCTTCTCAAACTGTTGAAGACTCTCAACTTCGACCCATTCCTCCTTGGCGTGAAGGCCCTCTCCGGCTGGGCCATACACAATGGATGGGATACCAACAGCGCCGAGCAAAGCGGCATCAGTCCAAAACGGACCAGCCTTAACGGCAGGCTTGCTCCCCAACACAGCAGAGGCACAAGCGACCGCCTTCTGCACAAACGGATGATCAGCTGCCACCTTCTGTGTAGGACGCGACATGGTAATGCGTGGCTCTGCGTATTTGAAACGAGGCTTTTGCTGGGCAATTTCTTTTAGCAGTGCGCTGATATCCCTTAGGATTGACTGTTCCGTTTGGGCTGGGACAGTGCGGAACTCGACAGTGATAGTGCACTTGTCTGGGTAGGACGAAGGCTCTTCACCACCCCGAATTAACCCACAATGTAGCGAAGCCTGGCCCAGGAGATCGTCCACTGGCAGCTGAAATTGGTACCTCTCCAAAGCTTGCAAGAAAGATCCGGCATACAGGATGGCATCTTCTCCTGACGCAGGATCGGATCCGTGTGCAGCAACTCCCAGGATATCAACTTCCACCCATATGAATCCTTTGTGGGCCGTCAGTATCATGCCTTGGGTTGGCTCCGGAAGCACAGCAGCATCAGCACGCCAGCCAGCCTCAATGACATCCTGAGTTCCCTGTGAGGCATCTTCTTCGTCTGATACTGCAGCCACAATGATATCACCCCGGGGTATGTGGCCGCTAGCTTTAGTTGCTGCAAGGGCCGCTAACCCTGCAGCCAAACCGCCCTTCATATCGAGGCAACCCCGGCCAAAGACAACCTCTTTACCGTTTTTGGTCCCAATGGACCCGGATAGGGGATCTGCCTCATAGCTAGACAGACTGACGGTGTCTGTGTGGCCGTTAAACATGAGAGACTTGCCACCTCCGCTACCTCTCAAGACTCCCACAATGGATGGTCGTCCAGCGACCTTCTCAATCCAGTGATACTCGATATCTCGATGAGCGAACCAAGCAGCGAGATAGTTTGCAATTTCGGTCTCGCCTGCCCCGTCTGTTACAGACAAGGTCGGGTTGGAAGAGTTGATTTGAGTGAGAGTTTGAGTCAATCCCACGACATCGTCAACAGAGACGTCTTTTGGGACTGGATACTCGCGCGCACCTTCAGTGCTGAGAAGGATGACCACAGAATCCTTGTTCAAAAGCGACGTAGCCTCCTTTGATGTAGCCAATCGTCGCAGTGCAGCCAACGATGCGCCTCCACATGGTCCAGCTGTCACAGACTTGGAAGTTAGATACTGCACGGCGCGGTGGCTCTCGTATGATGAGACTGTGACGCAGGCATCAACCAGACGCTGCATATCGGGCCAAGAAGTAGAAGAAACTGTGCCGCAGTCCATACCATCCATGATCGTGGAAGAAGTTCGGACGGTAATTGGCTTCCCAGCAGCTAAGCTAGAAGATATACATGCAGCCGTATCAGGCTCGACAGCGACTACAGATATGGGTGTGGTCTGCGATTTGCAATGCTTCGCGACCGCATGCGCAAGGCTCCCCACACCAGCGGGTGTGATCACCATGCTACCCGACAGACCAAGACGAGAAAGTTCATTCTGAACTTCGTGCATCATAGTAGAGTATCCCTCCACGATCCACGCAGGAACATCCTCATACCCCTCAAACGCAGTATCTTGAATGAGAAGTATACCCTGTCCCGCACGAGTCTCATCCACAGCCTTCTGCACCGCCTGATCATAATCGCCCTGAACAACGACCAGCCGAGCCCCCTCCCCGGCGATAAGATCCCGAGTCCACTGGTTCAAAGACCGAGGAACGAAGATCCGCGCCTCGATACCGAGAAGTCGAGCCATGAACGCAACTGCCCGTCCATGGTTCCCCATCGAGGCTGTTGTCAGAACAATTGAGGCTTCTTTCGCTCGCCTTGAGAGTTCATCGAGCGAGACCGTAGACGGCAGGTCGAGTTGCGCTGCAATCGCTCGGAAACAGCCCCATGACGCGCCCAAAACTTTGAATGATGGTAGGCCGAATCGGTTGCTCTCGTCTTTTACGAGGACGGCTGCAATTCCTAGCTCGGCTGCGAGCTCTGGAAGTTGTACTAATGGGGTTGGAGCATAGTTGGGGAAGGATTGGTGGAATGCTGTTAGGCCTTCGATTTGCGGGGAGACACTGCTCTCATTTGCGGCCGCGGGGTTAAAGTAGATCGACCGTCGTGACATGTTGTGAGTTCGCATATGCTTGATCTGTGCGCAATGCAGACACTTTATAAATTACTGTGACCTTTTCGACAACCTGAGCCTTCTAAGAACATCGCGCCTTCTGACGACATGTTCGAGTGGGGACTCCGCCTTCTCACAACATCAACGTATAAATCGGGTTCCAATTAATGAGAGATTTTTAGTGCATTCGGTTCGTTCCATATAAGATTCTCTTCGGCACTAGCGCTATAAATTTTGGTACGTACGAAGTACATAGTTCTGGTAAGAAATTTGGTGTTGGTAGATGTCGCGGGAAGGCGTCGATCCCTTGTTAACCTTGGAACCTGCCAACAGAGGTGAATTTTCGGTCAATAATATTATTCGAGTCAAAATACTCGGCAGCCTCGATTATTGCTACCGTATCCACACCTGTTGTGAGAAGGCGCTACCAGAGTCATAGATTGGTGAGTACCCTCGGACCTTGAGAAGACGATTTTTAACCCAATAAAGCGCTTTTATATTTGAATTCTTCAGCTCCCGCCATCTAATTGAAATCACTTCGGTTATTCAATAGACCAGCTGTTTGGCCACTCCCACTTGGCCCGTAAAATGTACGGCACAAAAGGCGCAACACGCGCGCTCCATTTCAATGCCCGGCGGTTCTCGACCGCCACCAGACTACAAGCACCATCAGGACTCAAGATCAATTCGAAGCGCTTGTGGAACACGCTGCACGAGACATGTGAATGGGGTGCTGAACATCGCTATGGCGAGTACGTACCGATTTTTCCATACAACCATTGAACACATTCTAACGACGTAGCAGAAACCCAACAGATACAGGGATGGCCCGTCTAACTCTCAATGATGATGATGCCCGTGTTCGCCGGTGGTTCGCCACCGAAGTCCAGAAGCTAGGCTGCTCTCTTTCCGTGGACCAGATGGGAAATATGTTTGCGCGTCAATCAGGCCGGTTGAACTCGGCTGCTCCAATGATCGCAATGGGAAGTCATCTCGACACTCAGCCTCGAGGTGGTCGGTATGATGGTATTCTCGGTGTTATGGCTGCTCTCGAGATCCTTCGGACAATGAAGGAAAATGGGTTCCAGACTAACTACGATGTCGGAGTGGTCAACTGGACTAAGTAAGCATCAAAATTTGTTTCATCGCACTTGCCATTTATGGTTGTCGCTAACCAACAAATCCACAGCGAGGAAGGTGCACGATTTCCCAAATCAATGTGTTCCTCGGGTGTTTGGGCAGGTGCTATCCCAATCCAAAAGGCTTGGGACCTGCGTGATATTCACGATCCTAATGTAACTCTCCGCTCTGAGCTTGAAAGACACGGATATCTGGGCGACATTGCTTGTTCTAGCGATCCGGCAACCGGATACCCTCTCGGGGCCCATTTCGAGCTGCATATTGAACAGGGCCCGATTCTCCCAGGAAACAACCGATCAATTGGTGTTGTTCAAGGTGCCCAGGGATACAGATGGTTGACTATGACCGTTCACGGAAAAGATGCTCACACCGGAACAACACCTTTCAGTGCCCGTCAGGATCCATTGCTTGCATCGTCTAGGATGATTGCCGCTTCACATGATATTGCTAAGCGACACGATGCACTGGCCTCAACTGGTATTATCAGAGTCCCATCGAATGCGTCTACGAACACCGTCTCATCGCAAGTGACTTTCACTCTTGATATTCGACACCCTCAGGATAGTGTGGTGCATGCCGTGCAAGACGAATGCCTCAAGGCGTTCGAAGTCATTGCATTGCAAGATGGCAAGGGTGTCTCCTTTGATTGGACCTTGGATACTGACTCGCCAGCTGTCAAGTTCGACGATAACTGCGTGGCATCTATCCAGGCTGCGGCGGATCAGCTGGTTGGCCGTGAGCAATCTATGCTCATGACTAGTGGTGCCGGTCATGATACTGTTTATACTAGCAAGCACTGTCCCTCTGCGATGATCTTTGTCCCTTGCCGGGATGGTGTGAGCCACCACCCGACAGAATATTGCAGTCCGGAGGATTGGTAAGTCCCTCTCATTTCCTTGGAGCCTGTTAAAAATCTGACACTCGCAGTGCTTTGGGTACGCAAGCTCTTCTTGAAGCTGTTGTTCACTACGACCAATTCAGGGTAGAGACTGAAGGGCAAAAGTAATTGACATTTTCAGTTGACATTGAATCAGACCTAGATTTCGATATGTTATATGATAATATAAGTTGCACCCTACAAATAATTAACGAAAAAAGTAGAAACCTTAAAAAAATAGTATTAGGTATAACCTTATAACTTCGAGATTGGAAATGAAATATGTCAAAAACACCAAA